CCACTGTTTTTAGGCCGGCGAAAGTCCGAGGGGGATGTGAGCGAGGTTAACCGCTGTGTCAAGGGGAATTATTTATTTCCATTTTATTTGTTTAAAGTTAAATTCGAGCGCACGATTTGTTTTACTTGCACAAAAAAGGAAGATATATTGTAAATATTTTCATAAAAAATTATCCAAAATTTTTGCTTTTTTGATATAATCGACGAATGGGCTCGCCTCAATACGCCTGATAGAATCTGAGAAATTTGGCGTTTTGGCGTTACTAAAAAAACAAAATTAATTGTATTACTAATCAAACCTTTTCTAAAATTCTGTATCGTTTCCGCTCGTTGGCCAACTTGGCATAACTTCAAACTGCTGTTTACTATTACGTAGTGACGTGAAAAATCGCAATGTGTCAGGATGTTTGTACCGTAATAAATTATTCCGCGTTCGATTACTTTGATGCTCCTTCGCGAATGACCTGGTTTTTCCGGAGCACAGCGCAATTGTATTACATTACATTAATTATCCCGAGAAAAATGCAGAGGATCGTTGCGCGCGCGGATCGAACGTCTTCTGCCAATGTTGTCCTCCGATAAACTGTTTGGTAAAGGTCGACCCGGCATCGATTTTCGGTGATTTTTAACTCGGTACACACTTGCATCTTCGATTTTTTTACGTAATGGACGAAGATTGAATGATCTTTTCAAATTCGGTGAAGACTGTGAGGTTGATGCGGTCTTGTGTGACCATTCAGATTGCCTCTTGTGATGCCAACAACACACCGGAAGTGGAATGCTTCTGTCTCGCATTTCGTAACTTTTGTTAGGAATTCTGCCTTCTTCTTAACAGCAACATCCATTTATTTGAAAATACCAGAGACAGCATTTTATGTTTCGTTAAAAAGTATGTTTCTTTACTGGTCTGCTTGTTTCGCGTTGACAAAACGCTGAAACGGAAACGAACTAAATGACAAAAATTTTTTATACGGGTTTTTTACAAGCTGGTGTTGGATGATAAATATCAGAATAAAACGTTTCCCATGAATGCCGAGAAATATTTTTTCGCATTTTATTACCCGGCTTTTTATTGACCTTGCATGCGTCTTTGTGGATGAGCAACGCGAGTGCATCCATCAAAGCGTAAACAGCTTGATACATCCGATGACTGCGCGTTCAAATACATCTGCAATCGACAAAGTACATAATTCCTTTGATCACTGCGTTTTTTTGCTGAATGCGTTTAATGGCTCCATCCTGTTAGCCGAAGGAGGGGGGAACTTTGTTCTTTGGCCCGATAAAATCTAGCAACAAAAACTAATATAAAACGGCCAAATTGGTCAGTGATGCAGAAATAAACACCGGGGTTCGGTGTAAGTAGACGATTAAATTGAATGGGAGTTGGTACGTTTGATGGCCTCGGCAAATACAAAGCATTTATAGCACGTTGCCTCTTAATGCCGATTGCCGGGTTTATTTGTTTTGTTAAAGCGATATCGATCGAGTTAAAAAATTCAAAATCCTTTTAATCGAGGAATTATCCAACAGCACTAGAATCCGAAAGCACTAGTTAGAGTTTAATCTAACAGTTTTTTATGGCAAGAGTCCAATAAGAGATGTAAAGTTTAAGAAATCTGTTGTAAATCATAGTGTTTTGATATTTGTTGTGGCATTAGATTTTTAACATTGTGGAAATAAAAAAGATAACTTGATTATTCAAAGTCGAAGTGAAATTTTTCGCAGAGGTTTTATATGAGAAAGTAAAAACGATCGTTTTTCATTCTGTGATAAGCGGTAGTTACAAGCCAAACCCGGTGTGAAAGTGTGTAAATGGCATATTTTCCATAATGATCAGCCGCGACCGATTGGCGGTGTGCGAAATGCCAATATGTAATTGTGATGATACACTGCGGTTTGGTCTAATCGCCGTTGGAAGGCCGGCTGACCGTTGGTGTGCAATCGACGGAACCGCGTTGTGCTCACAGGTGAAGCTGTTGATTTAAAATCTAGAGGGGATGATTTCGGTTCCGGTTCAGTGTCACATGGGATTTGCAGATTTAGCGTGACCGTTACGGAATATTGCTCTAAATTTTCCCAGTCCCTGGGAGATCGTGAGATTTTTTGTGTGTGCTTCTATCATCAATCAGTTCAGCAGCATTTAAATTTTCTCGTATTTCACAAGACTTTAAGTTTTTTATTATAATTTTATTTCAGGCAATCCAGATTTAAAAATTAAATTTCTTTATTATAAAAAAATCACTTTATGTACGATAAAATTTTAACCTAGACTAACGGCGGAAAAAAATAATGTTTTGCGGTTTACAAATAAGTTGTGTCTACGGTATGCGAAGCGTTGGTGGGAGAATAACAAGCATGTCGGCGATAATCTGTTTACCGTGTTCTTTAAAGACCCAGCGGAATGAGGCAAATGTTGATTTAAGCTGTAGCATAATCAGCGCGAAATATTATGTACATACTATACTTCGCGTAGATGAACTGAAATGTGGATCAGCTGATACGGCGGCTTGCATTTGTTACCGGCAGATTTTATGTATCCAAAATCCACTTTGCAAATAACGCCGCCTGGTGAACTGCTCGCTAATCCCGACACGAGAGAAACTGTAGAGAAGTGGGAAAGCTACCGAAATCCACCCGAATTTTTACCGGTTTCATTAAGTGTCAACAACCACATTTTTCACGAGAGCAGAGCAGAGCTTCTGAACACTTTATTGCGTCGTAAATAGACTAATCTATGCAAAACAGAAAGCGGATACAAAACCGCTTCAACTCTAAATTAATACTTACACCTTTAAATTTTCATCAGTTTTTTGCGAGGATTGGAATTTTTTGATTTTAACGGCAGTCCGACAATTTTATAATCTTTAATCTAAGCCTCATTTTACAATTCTCCTTTAGAATTTTATAATAAGCTGATAAAATAAAACTGATTTTTGTGAAAATACTTACAAAGTTCACCTTTTAAATGCCTTTGGCGACAGACCAGAAGTGTGACGACCAATTAGACAAGCTGGGGCAATCAATATTTGTCTAACCGTCTGGTATTAATTAGAAAACCTGTGCGCATTGTGTGATGGGGAAAATAAAGTGGATCAATACGCACTGATAATCCTGAGGATTTTCTCTTTGCCCAGCACGCAGATTAATTTTCCCCCGCCGACGATAGCAAATCATCCAAACACGTTTGACCAGTGGTCAGCGGCTGTACATGTAAACAGTGATCAGTATATCAGCGCGGCTGCGCTGGCTGGGCTTTTACTTTGACCCACTCAGCGGGGGATGCGTATTGTCGGGATCGCCGGCATTTTCAATCAAAGCCAGTGGATTTTTCTCCATTCTATACTCCAGCACACTGCACAAACAGACAAGCCCCCGTGGGCGACATATTCGGGGGCGCGCAGCAGCCTTTTTCATTTCGTAGATGGAATGCACTGGACTCCGTCGCTGACAAGTTAATTACGCCATTTAAACCTATCTGTCGCCTGTATCGATTCTAATAACGCGTAGAAAGGGGGGAAGATTAGCTTCCATTTGACCGAATTTCCCGTAAGGGGCTTATTTCTTCAAGAGGTCTGGAAATTTTAATACAATTGTCTACAGTATGTGGGGCGCGCTAGTGAACCAACCTGTTTCAACACAAATTAGTTATCGTTTTTCTAAGGTGAAAATCTATATGCAGCTTTCGAATAAGAAAATGCAAAATGAATTTTTTTGTGCGATTGTTAGTTTAACAGTTTTGCAGGCTTACGTAGTGTAACGGCTAATTTCGGGCGACATGAAAGCGTATGGCATATTTTACAATTAGTTGTGTTGGGTTAAGTGATTTATGTACTTTCGTACAGTCATTTCAAACAACTTTTTTTATACCCATTCTACTCATCGATTTAACAACTCTTTACATCTTTTTATTAAGGTGAATGCAGGTTTTTTAGGCTGTTTGAAAAACGTTTTCTCATCGCACTGTACTCTGTATATGTTATTGGCATTAAACATCTGTTGTCAAGTATAGCATCTCAATAGATAAACAGGGTCAGCGGTCAAACGCATCTTAACCAAATGCCTCTCCATCAACAATACTCTCACCACAGCAACACACACGATCGCTTTCACTTCCTCTCAGGCTTTCCAAGTGGTACCGCCACCGACAAAAAACCGCGTATAAAAGCGGACACGCTCATGACATAACCGCTATCATGCCCTGAACACTGGCTGCATTCGCCTCGACGGCCAGTCTCGGCAATCGGCAATGAAACGGCTTTCCAAAGCGGCACTTCCGGTGGTGCGGGTGTGTGTGCGTGCCGGGGTCTTGGGCTGGATTTGTCATTCAATCCAATGGTCAAAATCGAATAAAGCGCTTGTCAGTCAGCTGTCAGACCTCCCGGTTGGTCCCATCTGCGGGGCTGTTGTTTGAGTGGCTTTGATTTGTAAATGACATTCTGGGATATTTATGAAAAGAGCGGTGATTTCAAGTTTTAAATTATGCAGAGTGCTACTGCTATGCGCTGACAGTTGCCGGGATTTATGCGCTGTACTTACTGATTAAGGCGCATTTGCTTTAAAAACAGAATTTAAGAAGGGATTAGAAATCTGTGATCGGAAAAGCGGCGAAAAGCTATCGTAAATAGAGAAGTCTTGAATCCGCATATACACGATTACTATACAAAGATTTAATGAGCAGTCATTTCTGATAACTTTCGCTTACATGGAAAGAAGCACTGATATTTTCGCTCACTGATATTTTTAATGAGATTTTTCGTCTTCGTAGTTAAATCTAAATCAGAGCAATTTGAAATTATTTTATTCTTGTATTTAATATTATCACGCAGTGGCCATAAAATAATGTATCTGTACGCGTACAATTCTTAAGAGAAACTGTAGTGTAACGGCCGATACCGTGATCCCAATGGTATGGGCTATTATGTGTAGACTGCAAAGAACCCTTTAAATGAGAACTAAAATCGTTTTGCAATACTTTATCGTCGGATGTTTTTTTTCCTGCAGGTGATCACTTGAAGTATTGCTCACAGGAAAGCACATGTTGTACAGAGGACACGGAAAGGAGACTGCCGGTGCTGGCGCTGGCCGACTACGAGAAACTTCTTCAGGATCACCTCAACCGCTTTAAAACACTCCTTACTACCAGGACAGCCAAGTTTGACGGTAAGAATAGGTCCGAGGATAATGCCGGTACCGAGGTTGCGTTGACTAAATTCGGGACGGCGAAGGCAGACCTTTGCTCGGGGAAAACAAGACCATAACGCGGTTAGGCGGGGCAACAATTTACTTTAGTAGAAGAACAAGAATTTAAAATCCTTCCTTTTGGAGTTTTTTTTCCAGATGTTTTATAATCAGCCTAATTACTGTAACGGGCGGCAGTCATGAACAAATGCTGCATTTTTTGTTTTTCGATAAATTCTGGAGAATTTTTCGAACTGCGGGAATAATTAAAAGGGTCACCCGTAGGTAGAGAACGGTGCCGAGCTTTTTTTTGACTGCAGATAGTTTTCCTGTATAACGTTCGGCATGGACTGTTTAAAGATTCTTCTCCATTGTACTACTACGCGATTTTTTTATATTGAGATAACAAGTGATCTGTTACACTTTGAAATACAAATCAAATTTGCAGACGATGAAACTTTGGTATGGTAGTGTTATCGTAGTGAACTGGCTGGCATATACGTTTAATATCACCAAATTTTGCGAGTTTGCTCCAATCAAATCCATAAAAACTTAAGAACGTGTTTATTCATGTTCCATTACAATAATAATTATACGTGAGCTGTAATCCTTTTTATGTCTCTCCTTGGCTAGACTTTTTTTCGGACCTAATACGGACCGCTAAAAATAACCTGCACGACATGTTCATCAAGACATACGGTGACAATTATAAGGACAATGCCGGTATCTTCACCGAACTGTTCGATGATCTGGAGAAGTATTACCGGGGTAACCGCGGCAACACCGTGGACCTGCAGGCCTCCATGAACCGTTTCTTCAGCCGGTTATTCCAGAAGATCTTCATCATGCTCAATCCCACACAGCAGTTCGACAGCCAGCAGCTGCAGTGTTTAGCCCGAAATATGGAGAAAATTCGTCCGTTCGGGGATGCCGCCGACAACCTTAGCAAGCAGGTCAAACGCAGCTTCACGGAAGCCAGGACGTTCGTACAGGCGTTGGCTATTGCGCGGGATACGGCCCGAACTGCCTCGGAGGTGTGGGAATATTTATTTGGCTAACTGCGAAATCTAGGAATTTTTTATTTAATTATGTATAAAACTGCTTAAGTAGTTACATATTTCTTATAAAAGAAGAATATTTAGGTGAAAAAAATATTTTAAAAATAATTATTCAGCATAATTTCTACATTATAAAACGTTCATTATTATGATTTTGTTCCTGTAGTGTGTTTGCCATTCGTTTGTTAGCATTTAAATTCTTAGGGCTTTCAATAAAAACCCAATAATTTATTCTTGGTTTTGGAATAATTTGAATTTTTTAATCGGTTCAATTCAATAATATTTCATTAGGATTCCTTGTGTGCTATTGCTAGTTTTTTTAATTAGGATTCTTACGCTTCAAAAAGCTAAGAAATTATTTTTATAATTTATCTTGCGCAGCGATTTGCAGTGAGATTTTATTCACATTTTTTCCTTGGCTCAAATTTCATGAGAAGGTTATGCGGAAGCCGTAACTAAGAATAGCACGTAAGAACGTCAGCGCACAACTTTCAGAATTTACGAGCGCGGTTCATTGTGCCAATTCCGTGATCTGGCTCGGTTGTGTGTGCGCTGTGCAGTGAACGGCGGAATGACCGGAAGTGGGTGCCAAAGCGCGCTGTGCGCACTATGTAACCAGCGCGATTCGGTAAACCCGGCAGAAAACACGTAGGCGGACAGGCAGGGAATAACGTTGGGCTTCAATTAGCGTAAGTTTGTTTTCGGATTCCCCGATAAGAGCGAGAACCCAGCACCGCATCCGGCTGATTGATCTGACAATTCCTTATGCCTAATGATTCGTGTCGCTTTCCAAATGTCATGTTAAGGCGGTAGTTTTTGGCGCGTCTATGTAACCCGACGTCTATGTAACACTACGAGTAGTTGATTTTTCCAGCACATGTTAAAGTTGCATAAAAAATAATTAAATTATCTCTTGGCAGTAAAAAATGAGAAAAAAATGCTTTAAATAACTTTGAAACTTTGTGAAAGAATCAACCAAAGTAGCGGTTTTATGACACCGGTAGAGCCACAAAAAATAATCCGTGAAATTCTACTTATATTGTCTTAACAGTTTTATCTGGAATTTTATGACAGTTTATGTTCATTTTTTTATGTTTTCACGGTATTATACATGTAGCATAATACACATCGAGCCTGTATTTCAAACCGGGCCGAACAGAACTGCACACTTTAGGTCGTTAGCGGTGCAACTCTGTAAAGAAAACTAATGACTATGCTAAGTGGTTAATTATTAACTTTAGACTGACTATAAATATTTAGATAAAAAACCGTTACGAAATAAACAAAAAGGGGGAAAGTTTATAACATCATTGAAAAGTTAACACAGTAAATAAATATTGACGCTTTAATAGATTACGCCATCGGTGGGTAGCCACTGCTCCGTCGCACTGACCAGGATGATGTACTGTCCACAGTGCCGCGGACTGCAGAACCTGAAACCTTGCCATCCATACTGCTTAGCCGTTATGAAGTCCTGCCTCGGACAACACATTGATCTCGACAACGAGTGGAACCAATTTGTCGGTAAGAAAGCTGAAACATTTACCAAGAAAATTTTTTATTTTAAGAATGAAAGCTTTCTACAAATACAAGAAATTTCAGAGCGTGTTTTGTTGCAATATATTTTTAACACGTAAAACGTTCTTCTAAAAAAACTTTTCTAATGTTAAATGTCAGGAAAGAGAGATTTTACTTGTTTTAACCGTCTTTTTATGAGCAATTGTGAACTACTTGTAATTAAGACCTGCACGTGTGGCGTTTTTGAATAACTTCAATCCAATCAAAAGCTGAAATGTTTGCCCAGCTTAACAGCTGTATTTAAAAGCTCCTTAACGTTGAAGACGCACATTCGTATAATATAATGTAGATCTGTCAAAAGGGGAAACTAGCTACCACTTAGTACGGTAAGCGGTCTGACCAGTGGCCTATTGATCACTGTCCACTGGCGGCAAACATATTTCTCAAGTAACCTGTTTATCAAATGCTCCTTTCAATACACATTGTCGGCTCATTTCCTGCCCGGTCCGGTCTCTCTCCGGCGTTATTGATATTTTTCTCCATTTTGCGCGCCACTTATTATGCAGGCGAAATCGCAGAATTATTCTTTAGAGGTGAAGTTGTTGACCTTTGAAATATCATTGACGAAACCACAATGAGCGTGAAAAGACTGCGGAAATTTTTTCAAGCGATTCATGTTGTCGGAAAAAAATACGTTCGCATTTTTAGAAAATTTCTAGCGACGTACAAAACGATTTATTTAATTTCAGCTAAAAGTTTTCTCTAAGAAGGATCATCCAAAGAATCCTCGTGAATATTTTTTGCAGCTTTTCCTTATTTACCATTAATTTGATGACTCGTTAACGTCGGTTAAAATTTTTTTTCTAGAATTACATATACACATTGCCGAAAATAAAGTGGTTAGTATACTGTAGAACTTAACGTCAAAAGGTTTCGAAATAATTAATGACTGCGTGACCTGATGAATCCGTTTATCCTTAAACCAAACACATGTTGACATGTAAATGATTTTATGGCGTATATCAAAGGGCGAAATGGAAGCAGGTAATTACGTGAAGCTACTGCGGCGCAGTGTACAACACAAACCCGTCTGGAGCTGTACGGCGGTGTTCTTTATGACCTAATGCCACCCAGTTCTCAGATCATAAAAACGCCACCATTAAGACTCTCCTCCAGACAATAATGACGCGCCATCATTGTCCCATTGTCATGAATGCTGGGCTTCGCTTAATTTACTTTAGCAAATACCACCACAGTAAAGGTTACTTCGGGTGTGTTTTTCTTTGAATCCACTGAAACAATGCGCATTATTAGCGATGATATGTTTAGGTTTCATACCGGGCACAGCTTTTCCCTTTTGCAATACCGTTTTTCTCAGCAAATTCCTCAGCGGATCAGTATGAAAATGTAATAGGTGCGGCCCGTTGTGGACAAGGGAACTCATGCATTCTAATACTTAATATGATAGCGATATAATAATAATAACAATTATTACAATAATACTTGGAGTAATTACCAATTATGCAGCGATTGACTTGGGGGAATTGTGTTTGTATTCATAACCATGGACAGCAGTCCATAAAACTTAAGGTTAATGGTACTTAAGCTAAAAACAAGATCAGCTAGAAAGTAGTGGCCATAAAATACATAACACCTATAATTAAATAAATTAAAAAATCAGTGTAGTGTAAATTGCCTGAAAAATTATAATACGTTTTTAAACACACGCATCAACATTAGGGTTTTATTAAATATAATAAACAGCACGTGTGTATCTGTATATGGCGATGTGGAAATTGTTGGCTAAGAATAACGCTTTAATACTGTAGTATGGTTAATCTTCAAACGTCGGGGTTTTTAAATTTAATCATACGGAGATTTTTAGTTTTTACGTACGCGTATATATATAAAAGTTCATATATGTGCATACTCTGGGGAAAACTCATGAACAATATCAACACATCACACATGACTTATTTTGTTACAATGTCGTTCCAGATAGTTTAAAGCACTTCCCTAAATATAAAACCGGCAAAGCCCGGCACACTTGACCAGTGCAATCCTCTTAAAAGGAGGAATGTGGTCACTTCCCTCTCCCGTATAGCGAGGCACGAGAGGAACAAAAGTGCCGTTGAATTTCCTCAAATACACACTGATTTGTGTGTTTCCCCCTAAAAGCTCTTAAGGAGTGGGATTAACAAACTGAGCAGGATTTTCCGTGTGTTATTTAAATGAATATTAATTCCCCAGTCCCCAGTGCTGGGCAGTCCACCATCTGGCCGCCCGAGTCAAAGCGACTTAATCGCACTTTTATCATTTGTCTTTTGTTATTCCTCCCCTTATTAATACAAATAGCCCGGAGAGTTGATTATGTCGCAGTTAGGGATCATGCTAATTATGCGCATACCGAGCATTAAGAATTAACCACTTTTGACACATTCCTAACTCACTGCGCGCCAGTCAGCGCCATCTGCCTGCTTCTTCGCCGGCCCGTTACTAATTTTGTTATACAAAATTTTGCCAGTTTCTTCATTAAAACATAATTAAGTGTTGGTAACGCTAAGTTACGGTAATTTCAATTTTTAATTATTTAAAAATTAATGCTCTTCGCAGTTATAACGGTTGGTAGAAAACAATGCGGGAAACTTTCACGCACGAGATAACGTATGCGCAGGCGGAATCAATGGATAACGGTGGTATTTTAATTGCAGATGCGCTGCTCTTATTAGCCGACCGGCTAAGAAATCCATACAATATTGAGGCGGTGGTTGCGCCCATTGATGTCAAAATATCCGAGGCCATCATGAATCTCCAAGACAATGGGCCGAAAATTTCCGAGCAGGTAAGCATATAGTATTTAATCGGAGCGCAACAATTCCGCGTATCCAGTTGCCGACGCGCAGCTGCTCGCGTCCAGGTGGCCACATATTATCCCGATTATTGGTCATTCGCCCAGTTATCAAAGAAACTGAAAACAAATTTCTTATCGTAGAAGCGAATGTATACAAAATCTAATTATCAACACGAACAAAATATTTGAAAGATTTTCTGTTTTTCCGTATAATTTTTTGTGTTTAAGATTTTAAAAAAATAATAGGCAACATTAGAAGACAAATAAGGCAATTACGGATATCAATACAGAACAACAGGTGACCTTCAGTAGTACAATAGTCTAACAGTACAATAGTTTAGTAGAACAGTGCTGAAAATGTTTTCCTTTTTTAAATTTTTAGGAATTATTTTACGTCTATAAGATTTCAGTTATTAAAGCCGTAATTTTGTTAAATGGGAATTACGGATACGAAAGACAGGTGACCTTTACAGGTGCTGAAAGAGTGCGGTGCCAAGCGTACCCGCCGCGCTGCCCTGCGCCAGCCACTTATCAACCTGACCAAAACACTCCGTTGTCAGCCAGCGTTCATCCAGTTACCGGTCTGGTCAGTCTAGACCATCTCAGTAAGGAACTGAAAGAGAAACTGGCTCCCACCAAGAACTTTTGGAGCAGCCTCCCCGGGCAGATGTGCAGTGATTACGGGAAGAGCATTAAAACCCCGCTGCAGGATGACTGCTGGAACGGATTAACCAAATCCAAGTAGGTCACCCGAAGAAAATACTCTTTCAGGGGAAAGTACTCAAAGTAGGGATTAAACAGTGGATGCGGTAATGGAAGCGGCTTTGCAGGTCGATTGCGTCAGCGGTGGAAGCGGCGGGTAACCCGGGCGCAAAGATGACCAAGAGTCTGACGGAAGCGCCCGGCGGCACGGAGAGCGGTGTAGGAAAGGGTGGGCTGATTAATCAGCAGATTCAGCAGCTGCGAGTGGCCACCATGCGATTGCGACAGGCGTATAACGGCACGGATGTGGATGTTATCGAACCTGGTAGGTTAATGGATAACGTCATAGTCGTAATACCGATTAGCAGTCGGGTGGCCGTCGGCAACTTCTTTATTTTTTCATAAAAATAATGAAATTGCACAGTCGTTTAATACAGAAACAAAATAACAATTAAGCTCGCTTTTATGCACCCTCAGAATTCTTGGCACATGGCCTGTTATTTGCTGCATTAAATAAAAAACATAGTTGAATAAAAATTAAAAAGAAGTCAGAAGTAAAAAATCGAAAAAAGCTGTTTTAAAATTGTTACATTTAGTTATCGTAAGCAATATGGACTTGTCTCCACGAGAGACAAAGTTACACAAAAACTTTTATAGAAATTCGTTGTAGAGTAAAATTTTTGGTATTTTAGTGGCCGATTCTGACGACGAAGACCATACCGCGGAATCCTCCATAACAGCTGACGTGGAAGGCAGCGGCAGCGGTGATGGTGCATTCGACGCGGACGGCTCCGATTTAGAACCCGACGAGGACGACGAAGACACCGAAATCGAAGGCTCCGGCCTGATCGAGTCCACCGTGGCCACCATCCGCGTCCACGGCCCGAGCGCCATCACTCTCCCGCCGGAGATCCCTATCATCATCCCCGAGACGATATCATCGGCCGCGCCTCCCCGCCCTGCCGCCCCCATCACCATCGAGCACGAGGTGCGTCCCCTACCCACCTCCACCACGCCAGACGATCTCCACTTCGACACCACGACGACCACCCACCGCCCGGCCATCATCGTCACGACGGCCCCGCCCACCACCCGCAGACCACCGGAGCCCAAGCGGCCGCCGGTGGCCGCCGCGCCTTACTGCCATTCCTCCGTTTTCCTGATACTTTTATCTGTGTTAATATGGCGGTTCAGTAGTTAGCTGAACGCGACCACCCCCGGGGACGCACGCAGATTATGTGCCGTTTATTGCTGACCTTTTGACATTGTGGTCCGCGCCCGCCGCCCGCCCCGATGGCCCGAGAGAAAGAGCCGGCCGGGTGCCGACACAATATGTGATCTTTCGATGCAGTTTTTATTAATTTTGTCTGTTTTGAAAATAAGTACATGTCTCGTTCGTTGTTTTTGTGGACATGTCGACTTCTTTTTTACGTTTTTCGTACTGTCTTTTTCTGGTTAAGTTAATTGTTTTTTTGTTAGCTGTGCCGTTTTTTAAAATCCATGTTGTCATGGGTCCAAGTTGATAGTATGGAGATTTTAAAAATTTTAATCCTCTGCGTTCGGTTAGTACTTTTGACAGACTTGTTACTGGTGTATTTTTAATGGTTACCTATGTGTAGGAAGTTCTATATTGTGATTGCGTTAATAAAATACTGGTTTCGTTGTCCTGTACCGAAAAATGAAATCCAGATTCGATTTATGCTGTTGCAACCCGCTATCGCAGAAGTGTATACTCGTGAACTGGATTTGTTTTTGTTTGTTCGGCTTAATTATTCTTCAACAAAAATGCCACACGTGATCTTTGGTCTGGAATTTTCCGTTCCTGATTAATTACGAGTGATTTGACTATACACATTACACATCTGACTGGGTTGTATGCCACGTTTGCCACGCACAACGACCCCGGTTTGAAAATACAGCATAGCATTCTTTACAATCAGGTCAATCACACAGGCAAAGTGCGCCTGAAAGGGCCATAATTATCTGATCGCACGAATCTTCCGGCACACAACCATAGTAAGTACTAACGTCACGTACTCCATGATACACAAAATTAATACTGCCGTATTCAAGTATATACTGCGATACTGCATATTCTTGTGTGCCTTGCGTTTGCGCATCATGTGTTTTTTGGTTTCTCTTCCGCTCAAATTTATATTAATTTCGACATTTATCGGTAACAGACACCTGTGGACGGATTTAGAATGCGTTGGCTCCGCGCCACGCGAGCTGCAGACCCTCAGCGTGGCGACTATCGAAAAGTTGTTGGTATTGCTGGAGTAATAGTGGTGTTCGGCTTATTCTTCATCGTAATTCTGCTGGTCCTCACAGCAAACAGCGAAGAAAACCTGCACCGTATGGAAGACCCGTTAGTCCTATGCAGTAATGCAACGCCAGCACACGCCGAGGCCGTTTCCATGGTATCCACTGATGGGAACCAGTCGTCGCCTCTGCTCTTGAGTGCGGAAACCATGAACTCCGTTGTGGACAACGGTTCGCCGTTCGATGCGGAGGTCATTAGGTCGATGTTAATACTGGCTGTACGGAGTGTTTTCAGTAACTTTACATCGGAAGACCGAAAAAGTAATCATGCGATATAGGAATCGTTGGCGTAATAGCAACCGCATTTGGCATCTGGAAAACTGTTTTATCAGTTGTTGAATACAAGTGATTTGAGTAGTTTGAACGGACTTAAGTAAGATACATGAGTAAGACCATGGTCTGCTCTTATTGATCTGTATGTAGGGTGTAGCTCTGTTTCTATAATGTCAAGTAATCTAATTCAGTCAATTAAAACGGAACCGCCCAGAACGGCAACAAATCTCAAAGGTATCTCAAAGAACGTGATAGTGCAGATTTTCGTCATCTTATCTCGTGGCTGCACAGGTCGTTTGCTAATAGTAAATTAATTTTTACTGGTTTTTATTTTTTTAATTAATTTTTTGGGTGTATGGAAGCGCTTTTTCACAAACACCAGCCAGCGTTAAATGAAAACTTTACCATCTAATGCATCCGTCAGAAGAGGTCATTCGAGAAATTCCACTCCAGCCTTTTGGATAACCGTTTGTATTGTTGCCGTTGGTATTAGCATTTGTTGCCGGTGGTTGTGACTCTGCGGGAACTTCCTATAGTCCACTGTATCTGTATATTATCATATAGTTCTAAGCGATCACGAATTGTTGACTCCTGAACCCATTAGCGTGCGTACGGTACAGATACACGTAATACTGGGTAAAAACTATACATGCATGAGTGATGGAGACATATGGCGGCGGAAACAATACTGAAATATGGCCTTTGCATACTAATTGCGTGACTGGCCGACTGATAATGCAGCATGATGCAGTATGTTAATTTTTCAAACTCACAAGCAACGAAATTTCTGCGTACGCTTAATGTTTGCGATTATGGCAAATGAAATAACGGTTCCAAATTTCATTAATCTACATCCGCACATCAGCTTTGCAAGTTTGCTGAACATCCGCAAACAACGATGTCGAAATCCCAGACTGCATTCTTTTTTGCGTTATTAATGGTGATTATTATCCTGTTGATCATTCTGATTTTGTTGTTGTTGTCTGCACTGATTAAATGTCGGGATGAGAAACTATTTTTGGCCCATCAAAAGATATTTACGCCAATGGAGTTAAGCCGTTCTGATGAGGTGTTCCACATAGCCGAGCGGAATGGAGCGTTAGTCACACAGCATGAGAAGAGTACGATCCCGTCTGGCAATGGACCATCCTCTACAACAATGAATTTTCCGGCCTTCTTCAACAACCGTGATTTTCCCACTACGCTAAACGAACAAGCAACACCAAAGGCTTCAACTCCTGTACCGCGTACATCATCGCCGAATACGCGCTTGCAGCTCAAAAAGGTACACACACGTAACTGGTTCCCTACAGCTGATTATCCTACAACAAGTTCGACAGCCATCGCTAATTTCACGGATTTCTCGGAATATATTAACGCCGCAAAACGTTCAAACGATCTCGAAGATTATCATGGCGATAGCCTCCCGCATAGTGAAATTAATTCAGTACAAATTACTAGTCCACAAAGTACAGTTAATTTTGTTCAAATGATATCGCCTCCATTTTCTACAATGGTTGTCTTGCTGCCGAAAGAAATTACTGCCGTACAACCGGAAGCAACGCAACCGGCAACCTCTTCTGGTTCCCAAGTCAAAAGCTTTTCTTTAACTGCCGATTTTATTACGAGTAGCGAAACCGAGCAAGTGATAAGCAACTCTAGTGAGCGGGAAGATATAATAACTCCGCACCCAGCTATGACGATTTCGCTAGCCAACTCCGGAAAACTGATGCCTGGTCTCGACGATTTGGAGGCAATCCTACCTACCAGTTTTACCGGCACCGTAGTTCCACATAAAGCTTCCGCAAATTTTGTGTCATCTAACGCTACAATTAGCGAAGATATGCCCAACCTTAGAACTCCGACATTACCGACGGAAGATTCTACTTTTGTGCAAAATACAGCAGCACCAGAAGATGGACGCAAAAAACAGAACCATACGAGCAAAATAGTCTCTCTCGTAACGCTAGTGGACCGTGCACAAACGAATGTCTCCACCAAAATGAGCCACAGCGTAAACATCACCGGTAAACCACGAATTCCAGAAATTTCAGAAAGCAAAGAAAACGTCACAGTTATTTCGCTATTGCTGATGCTACCGAAACATTTAACAGCGACTAAAAATGTGAAGGAAAGCCCACTCTCTCTCCTAAAATATAGCACCTTTCGAAGCACGCAACGAAAGGAACTAAGGTTTACTACCAAGAGAAAAGTGGCAACTGACGGAAGTCAAGATTACGTCGAGGATGAAATATGGGATTTCGATTCTACGGAAGACGAAGAAACTCACTCTCAACACGTCAAATCAAAGAAATCATCAGCGTCTTTTCGGCGACGGGGCCAGCAATCTGGTTGGAATTATCGGCCGGGCCGCGGTTCACAAAGGCACCGAAGACCTCTTGGCTATGCATTTAAACTTCGAGGATAATTTTCTCGTGTACGATACTCCTAGTTTATTTACGAGTTTTCCTACACTAGACCATCAATTCATTAAGTAAAAAATTACGTCTACAATACGCTGGATTTATTTACGGCATGGTGGAGCCACTGTACTGTGTGTGGTGCCTACGTGCGCCAATTCCACAGTTGGCGCGCCACTGCCTTCTGCTCTACGCTGTATGCCAAGTTAATTGGGAATTCTTGATTTATCGAGAATCTCGAGTGTATGGAATTTCGTTTCGTGGACAGGTTCATAAATTTCCAATCCTTTGCTGTATCAAAACCATCATATGAAATTTCAAAATTGTTGGGCCAAAACTGTAAAATAAACTAAATATAACATAATAAAAATTATGACTTAGTGGCTTTCTTGGCTTAAACCTATATGTGAAGCATTTTGTTGTAGATAAGTACCCTCGCAAAAGGACAATCTCTAAAAAACTCAAGCACTTAAGCGCAAACGTATACCGGAAACCGCCATTCTTGAAGGTTCTGTGCTTCAAATATCTACCGTTGCTTAGGCCTTTTCGCCAGCCCGTGAAAAGGCATGCCCTATGTCACGTATTACCAAATACGTATATTTTATTTATTCCGCGAGCTAACCAGAGAACTGACTAATCTGTAGACTGTATGTCAGGAATGTAAATATTCATAAAGGTTAACGTTGCTAAGCACTTGAAGTCGTATACAAAGTACATGCCTTCACACCTTCCCCAGTGTGTTTGTAGTTAAACACACTCAAGCACACAGTTAAGAACCAAATTTAGGATCCGCTATTAATCGATCCGGTTTCACTATGGTTCGTTCCGTTCTTCGTAAATTTTCAACTGGCTGCGGTGGCTTGACCTTTTTCGGTTTGGTTGGCTGTTGAGCTGCCGCTGGGTCATTTTTCGCTGTTGTTGTCTCTTTGACGTTATCTGGCGGAGGTTTCACCGTTTCATTAGCAGGGCGCGCTTCCTGTTTCGGTGTTTCATCCGCCATCCGTGCTGCAGAATTGTTCTGTGCGTCGACAACTGGCGTTTCTGGCAATGTACTGCCAAGTTTCACTTCACTGGTTCCAGCCAGTATCGCGGTCGAATTTGATTATAGTGTCGGCGCCAGACTGTTCCGTTGACGGAAATCTCCCAGATTCGGGCGCCGTCCCGCTCGATCAGTTTTCCACTGACCCAGTCAACGTCGCGACTGGGGCGGAAATCTTGAACGAGAACCAGCTAACCAGGCTGAAAGCTCTTCGGAACTGTCCGCTTGTCGAAATTCCTTCGGTATCGTTCGCGTTTACGTTCGGCCGTAGTCATCATGACGGGGATCAGCAGGTCCAACGTTGAGCGCATTTTGCGGCCCATGAACAGCTCGGCTGGCGACTTGCCCGTTGTGGCGTGTGGAACGCTGCGATACCGCCAGAAGATCTGACGCAGGGCAGCTGGGAGTGTTTTGCCATCTTCCATCAGCTTCGCGATTCCCTCTTTCACGGTCTGTACGTAACGCTCCACTTGCCCGTTGGATTGTGGGTGACCCGGTGGCGTTCGGATGTGCTTAATCTCAAACTGGTTACAGAAATCGATGAACTGCTGTGAAGTGAATTGCGTACCGTTGTCGGAGACGGCTTCTGCAAATACTCCGTAGCGACTAAACATCGTGAGCAGAGCGTCGATGACAGTTTCGGTCGTGGCAAGCTTCATGGAAATCACTTCTGGCCACTTGGACATGGCGTCCACTACCACGAACAGCATGGTTCCATGGTACGGGCCGGCGAAGTCCATATGTACGCGCTTCCAGGGTGCATCTGGGACCTCCCACTGGGCCAGCGGAACCTTCGCGGTGTCGTGAGCTCGTTCCGTGCAGGTGCGGCAGTCTTTGCTGACCTGCTCGATTTCACGGTCCTTCTGCGGCCACCAACAGTAACCTCGGGCTTCTGCCTTCATCTTTCCAGCCCCCATGTGGTCTTCGTGCAGATATGTCAGCAGCTGCTGGCGGAACTTCTCAGGAATCACAGTCCAGTGACCCCAGCAGACACAGCCGTTCACCATGACCAGTTCGTGCTCCAGCCGTTTGTACGGTCGGAGTTATCGGAAGTGGTGCTAGGCCAGCCGTTTAGGATGTAACGGCTTACTTCTCGGAGCTCCGGGTCGACCAGCGTCTCCTCCGCGATCGCTGCGACTGACAGCGGCAGGTGATTGGCGTTGTCGCTATGCACGGCACTCACGACGTTGTCCATGCCGAGACCGGATATGCCTTCCAGCTGCGTAGAATGCAGTGGCAGGCGGCTCAACCCGTCTGCTTGGCCGAAATCCTCCGTCCTGCGATACTCGATAGAAAAACTGTATCCCATGAGCAGCAGCGCCCAACGCTGTAGGCGGTTAGCGGTCACGACGGGAACGCCCTTCCGGCTGCCGAAGACGCTGAGAAGCGGCTTATGGTTTGTCAGCAGCGTAAACTCCCTCCCAGCGATGTACTGGTGAAATTTCCTGCAACCAAACACCAGTGCCGAAGCTTTTTTCTCTATTTGGCCATAATTCTTTTTGGCCGCACTGAAACTCTTGGACGCGTGGGCAATTGGTCGCTCTGTCCCGTCGGGGAACCGGTGGCACAGGACAGCACCAAGGCTTTACTGTGAGGCGTCGGCAGCCAGCACCAGTGGCATTTCCGGGTTTAAGTGCACCAGGAATGTCGCCCGGACGATGTCCTTTTTCAGTTCTCGGAACTGACGAGCACATTCCTTTGACCAGTCCCATGTCACTCCGGTCTTCAGGAGATTGTGGTAGACATTACACTTCGTCGATACATCAGGAAGGAACTTCCCGTAGTGATTTACCAAGCCAAGGAAGGCGCGTAGCTCGCTGACGTTCCTTGGTTCGTCCATATCCAGCAGTGCTTTGGCGCGGTCGCGCGATATGTGTCGGCCGCGGCTGTCCACCACAAAGCCAAGGTACTCCACCGATTCTTGCATGAACCGGCACATGGTCTGCTTGCGCGTCAGGCCGTTTTCTTCGAGCTGCTGCAGGACTTTTTCGAGGTTGCGGAGGTGTTCTTCTTCCGTCGCACCGTTGACAATAATGTCATCTAGGTAGACAGCGACACCTTCACAGCCCTGCAGGATCCGCTCGACGATCTGTTGAAAGATGCTCGGACCACTGGCCACGCCAAACGGGAGACGGTTGTAGCGAAACAGGCCTTTGTGTGTGTTGACCACAACCAGCTGTTTGCTCTCCTCGTCCAGCTCGATTTGGGCGTATGCTTCGGCCAGGTCGAGTGTACTGAATTTGCTGCCACCATTGAGTTTCGCAAACAACTCGTCTGGTGCCGGGAGCGGGTACTTCTGGACATCCAGGGGGTCGTTCAAGCCTGTGCTGAGGTCCGCACATGTCCGGATATCACCAACCCGCTTCTGAGTACCGACGATCGGAGCTGCCTACTCGGCATGATCGACTGGTGTCAGGATACCGCGTTCCACCAGTCTGTCCAGGTCCTTCTCTACCGCATCGCGGAACGCGAAAGGCACAGTTCTGGCTCTACAGAACACCGGCTTTGCGTTCGGCTTCAGGTACAAATGTGCTTTGCACTGTTTGCAGGGCCCTAATTCGTCGCGGAAAACGGCTCGGTGGCGGTTCAGGACTTCGTCAAGCTTGAGGTCACCAGCGACCAGCCGGATGGATGGCGCCTGGAGATCCTTGAGGCTTAGTCTGCTTAGATCCAGTGCCTGGATCCAATCGCGTCCAAGGACGTTGCCACCTTGCGCAACCACCACTATCGGCAACGATTTCCGGGTCTGAGCGTGTGTGACCTTTACCGTGGCCGTTCCCATAACACGTAAGGTATGGCCGGTGAAGCTGCGCAGTGGATGCGTGTATGGGACCCGTTTGGGTGAACCAATCTGTCTCCACCGTGGTTATGGTGACACCGGAGCCTGTATCGAGCACCGTCGACACTGGGGTGCCGTTCAACTGCACTGGTACGTAAATGGATTGCCCAATCGCGGCGTCAACCGACATGACGTCGAACTCTTCTTCGACCATCATGGTTCGCCGTCCATCTCGGCCTCGCTGTGACGGGTGCTTGCGGCTGCGGCATACTTTGGCGATGTGCCCTTTCTTCCCGCAATTCCGGCACACAGCGTCCTTTGCCCAACACTCTGTGCGCGCGTGGTTAGCTCCGTATCCGGCGCACGGTGTGTCACCTCCGGGTCCACTTCGAACTGGCGCGTTGCCTCTGCCGCGTCCAGCTCCCTGTCTGTTTCCCCGCGCAAGGTTGCCTCCGCCTCTTCTCGGCGCGCCTTCGATCCTTGCTACTTCAGCGGCTGACTGGCCGCGCTTCGTACTCTTCGCGAGCTCGTGTTGTTGAGCCAATTCGAGCGCTTTTTCCAAGGTTGTAAAATCCTTGGTCATAAGGTGCTGCCGAGTTGCGTCATTAGTGACCCCGTTTAGAAATGTCGATGACATGTTCTTTTCGAGGTCATCAGCAGGGAAGTTTCAGTTGATGTCTTTGCGGCGGAGTTTGTTGGAGAAATCAAGGAGAGTTTCTCCAGCGTCCTGCTGCAGTCGGAAGTAATTCGCCCATTCGACGGTGGCATTAGTCTTCCTGACATAGGCCTGCTCGAGCTTGTCCACGATCTGTGCATTTGTATAATCATCAGGATCGCGGGGCAAGCACATCGAATGTAACATTTCCATCGCTTCAACCCCAAGAGCGTCAAGCAGAATGGCCTTTTGTTCGTCGGTGTCCGTGACCTTTCGCAATTTGATGTAATTGCGATAACGAAACTGCCAGCTGCGCCAGGTCATGGTCGCTGGCTCGAAACGGAGAAGGCCAGATCCGCTATCATCTTTGGACGGTGTAGAAGCAGGTGCAGAGGTAGTACTGTTTGGCATGGCTGCGCGTATGAGTTAGGAAACACTCCTTCACGCCAGAAATGTCACGTATTACCAAATACGTATATTTTATTTATTCCGCGAGCCAACCAGAGAACTGACTAATCTGTAGACTGTATGTCAGGAATGTAAATATTCATAAAGGTTAACGTTGCTAAGCACTTGAAGTCGTATACAAAGTACATGCCGTCACACCCTACCCGGTGAATCTGATTTCATATACTCTGTAGTTACCTGGTTGTTCTTGATGAAATTTGCATGGACTGGCAAAACCTAACTCCTTTCGAGGTGCTAATGCCAAGGTACGCTAAAATAAATATGCGAGTTTCTTAAGAAGCACCATCAGCGGTGTTTCCGGACGGGCTTGTTTGCACGGAGCGCGAAGCGCGAGGTGCTGCAATTAACTGATCATCAAGACTACACGCTCCATAGCAGAGTATATACTTCCACAGCAGAGTTGTCTGACGCCAGAAAGCGCGTCACCGTCACCTCTTTCCTATGGGATATGTGGAATTCCACAATATTGATTCCATTTCCAGTGGCACGTATAATTTTCATGTGGTACTGGAAATGCGTAACATATCTCAGTGGCTGTTGCTCGCGCTCGGTGCGATAATGTGGTTATCAACCACCACTAGTACATACATGATACAAAAGTACGTGTACGAAACCGCATAATTATTTCTTGTTAATGCTTGGTAGCGGTCAGGCTTTTTTGTATACTTAGTCTTGTGCTGATGGGTGTGTTTTAGAATTGGCATAAACTGGATTTTCCTTCTGTAATATGTCTGCTCTCTTGAAATGTAAACGGGGAAAGTTTTACTAGGCGCACATGTACTACATGCACATGTAGTCTAGCCGTGCGTGTGTGCCTGGCACTGCCTGCGTATGTTCCCTGTATACGTACGCTTTGGGTCTTGTTTCCCAGCGGGATGCTCATATAAACTGGCTTGTTCCCTGCGGACTTAAGGGATTTGGCCCGGTACACAGAATCCGTACAGTTCACACTTCACAGTGTACTCCAATTCAGTTCGAAATGTATTTATCATGCTATTGATTATGCAAATAAAAGGCACTGCTACCAAATAGCAGATGGGAAAGAGTTGTTACTGAGAAGAACAATTGTTACCTGGGAAAAAAAGTAACCGACGCTCAAGAAAGGCGTAAGCCGGTGTAACTCCACTTCTAACGGGTTTATTGTGTCCAGCTTTATAGTTTATCGTTCGTGGACGCTCTCGTGTGCAAGCCACATTTAATCTTGCACCAGCCAGCCTTTAAACATCAGCCGATCAAAATTGTGCGGTGCTCGATCGCGTCTACTTCAAGCCACGTCGCGCGACCGTTTTATGGAGCCAAGAATGTACTGACGATGGTGTTGCTTCCGCTAATGAGCGATTCTTTGCTTGTAATGCCGGCTGTAATAAAGAAGAAAAAATTATGAAATCCATAAGTTATTATTGCTTACAGGCACAGCTAACATTTTTGTAATTATTTCAAGTATAACTTCAGGGAATATGGAGAATACATACTCGTACTTGTATAGTTTTTAATGTTTGAAATCGAACTACATAGTGGTGTGTCCGCTTTAGCACTTTTTTATTTCAACGGGTATTACGTATTAAAGTACGCTGCATATTTCAAGCGTTATTGATTTTAATTTCTGATAAAATTTTTAAAGCCAGAGTAGCGCAAGAGATAGGAAAGCGATTAATTATAACAAGCTTCTAGCCACCCAGTTTTATGACATCAGTAAACTTAAAGCGCTACTTTAGCCGCTCATTGTTGTCAGCAACCGTTCTGTGGAAAATTATTAAAAAAATCTGAGCACAGTAAAAGATCAAGTTAATTTCTGCCCTGGATACGCATTTTCAGTTTGTAGTCCACGTACGCTTGTACATATCCCTCGATTGGCTTATTGGCTTATTCACGACCTTAGCACCATTATTGAACCGCGGTCCCGTCAGTCGATTTCTTGGTATTGTCACGCTGTGTGCTTGATGTATAGAGCAGCCGCCCTCGGTGAATGCGGGTATAGATTCCATGCATTTCCTATCGAAATGCTCACTTTATTGCATCCTTTTTCCCTTGTTTCTATATTTTTCCCTTTTTGGGCAATAAACTATTATTTTATGGAAGCCCCGTGTCCTTCCACATCCATATTTATCTGTATTTCGATGGAGTGTTAGACCTCCCTCGTGTCAATATGTACAGTATTACGCCGGATTGCGTTATATGTATTGTAATATGATACCAACTACCAAGTCACTGACTCCTTTGTGACACACGAAATTCAGTGAGTTAAATGAAGCTGGGTTGTAATTGTTCTGCACTGTGTGTAAATCTAATTTTGATTAGGAACATTTAATAATATTAATTATTTTGGGAGCCAACCGAAACCTCTACCGTGTGGATTATTGCTATTTTTTGTCGATGTTTGAAATAAACTGACACAGTCACACAGTCGAATTTCTTTGTATATTGTTTACTTTAGGATTTTCTGGCCGCGCAACGTCGAATGTGTTCTCAAGCGAAAAACCCACATTTGGCACAATGGCATCATTTTATCAGCACATATCTAACGTTCTTTTATTATGTACTCTTCTTGGGTGCTGCACAAAACGAAAAAATTTTAAAGCATCAACACCTTTCGGTTCAGAATGCATTAAAATTCCGGTAAAGCGAAATCAGCATTGTGTAAAGGAGCTGCTGATGGAGACCGGTGTAGAAACCTACAAGGCACAATTCTCATATTATTTTCTTAGTATTATGTAGAGATCACAAAAATCGGCTAAAATAATGAAAACTCCCTTACCGTTTTTCCCGTGGTATCAACCGTTCCACAGGCTGCGGTTCCTGCTGTGCTTAAACCACAGATGAGGATTTTGCCGCTGCTCAGGCCCAGAAGGGCGTTAACTTTGCTGAACTTGGATGTAATGGCTGTTCCAATGTATTTACCAGTGGTGCCGGTAAACCAGTACTGCGGATTATTAACGCCATCTAAGATGCAATAATTATGATTGTGAGAGCACAGTCGAAAGGGAAGGTAATATCACGTACCGTAGCTGTATGTTACTCCGTTCAGCACCGTCTGGGCATTGGCTCCACCGTACTCAGTGTAAATCTGACAGCTGTATTTGGTCGAACCAGTTGCAGCGGAGCAATAGCCGGCGGCGGTAGGCTATTAATAATCGCTTCGATAAACTACTGCTTTGAAGAACCCTTATCAAAAAAAACAGGCACTCTTACATTTTGCAGCCAAAAATCAGTGGAGTCCTGTACATCCCATCCAACAATCGGTCCAGCTGGAGCGTTAAGGAACACTTTGCCGATTGGAACGGGAGCTCCAACGGGGGTCAGTTTGCCCGTGGAATCGACCGTCACTTTTACGGTGCAGTTACCTAAAGTTTTTCTTTCATCGTGGAATCATGCTGGTAATATAGCAGTTATTTTGTAATAGACGACTGTATGATCTTTTTTAGGCCATTATTGTTTGATCATGATTAAAAACTGAATTTGACAAGTGAAATTGAATTTCGAACGGTTGAAAGCGTATTAGGAAAATATACCATTGAAGGCGTATACTGCTGAGTTCATGTTGGAACTGTCCAGACGCACAATCTGATCGATACCGGTCGTGCAGAATGAGCTTGGGCAAGTGCCGGGAACGCGGATAATGGGCGCTGTGAATGCACTTTCAATTCCGACGACATTGCTACCCCGTTCGATCCAGTAGACGCCCTGGTCGCCGAGCCCGGTGCCCCACGAGTTGGCAATCATCCAGTACGGGATACCATTGCTATCCTTACACCAACCGATAATGCGTACAGCATGACCACCTTCTTTTGTGGCACCAGCGCCAGGTCCACGATATGCCCCTATTAAGATATCAAAATATATTTGATCGAAACGGGAATTATAAGAAGGGACCATCTGGTCGTGCAAACCTTGTGCGGGCTTCCACTTCTGCCAATCGGTCCAGATAGTGATACTGGCGGTTATAGGACCGTTGGTCATAATCTCGGTTTGCATGTCCTTGACGATCTGGGCAATTTCGGTTTGGTCGTTGGGATCGTTGATGTAATGCGTCCAGTACGAATCATCTGTAAAACACAAACGAACATAAAGTCACATACAGTATACAAGCGAACATAAAATCGTCACATTACAGAAGATCGCTTGTTGTCTTTTAACACTTGGGACTTAAGAGCCAAATACACCGTATAACCTTTAATTCAAGCAGGGCTTTCACTGACAGCCACGATTAGTAAGCACAGTTTTAGATTATTGCTCTGGTTTGTTGAGAATCTGACCAAAATGCGAGCTGATATACCGGTATGTTTTGTACATTTAGCCGTTGCGGTTCTATGTTTTACGATAATCAACAACAGACCTTGACGAAGATCGGCGGCAGGATTCGACGGTGTGTAGTTAGGGTTAGTGCATGTTGCTGGGCAGTTGAGCGGTATCGCTTGAGGAATTGCCGGATACGGCTCACAGCCGACCATTTGGATATTGCCTCCCGTAATGTAGCCCTTCATGGCAGCATTCGAGTAGGCGGTGGCGGTGTTCCCTCCGTCATCGCAACTACGAGACGATCCGTGTGTCATGGAACCTCATGTAGGAACCGTGCGTACCGTACTGTTTCCATGACTTACTTTTGTTGGCCAGTTTTCTGGGGTGTATAGCATGCTGCTAGATGGAGTGCCGATACGTAGGTCTGATCGACTTGTCCGGATGCGATACACAGACGATCAGAGATCACACTGGCGGAAGAAACAGCCTATTCGTAAATGCAGAAAATTAATGGCAAGACCTGACTGATTCTTCGTTTAACTGATAGTGTTCAAGGAAAGCTGGAAAGGCATCGTGCTCTTATAAAAACGGTAGATTCTACTCTTCTATCTTTATGGGGAAATCATACAGTGTCGAATACACTTCCCACTTACATATATGGCTTAGTTTAGAGTGGAATGCAAGTTTGAGTGCGTATTTTTAGAGGTTAGACCTATGTAAACTGGAGCGAGATCGCAAGGTATTTGCAAACTTTTATAATCACTTACCCAGCACGTGCCGCACTGCCCCTGGTCGCGAATATCCTTGATGCTGTTGCAACCGGGCCACTGTGTCCGCGCATCAAAGCAGTCCGGGATAACCGCCACGGTTCGGCTTTTTCCACGGGACGGCCGGTTGAACTTGGGGTGCTTTTTCTTTTCCTCCTCGGTCAATGGTATTTCACCGCCTCGTCGACGCGGCGACGGGTCATCATTGTCATTACCGGAATCAGGCAAGCTGACATGCGGATGATGAGGACGGTGCGGTTTGATGTCTCCTTCGGGATCGGACGCTGCCAAGTGATCCACTGCAGGCAGGTAGACCGCATTGCTAATTTCCAAAAGGGCAGTTCAATCTAAAGGCTTCTGTTCTGAGTATTTTTATAAAGGTAGGCACAATGAGTGTTACCTGTACTGGCTGTACACAATGCCCACAGCAATTACCAGAAGGCCGAAGTGACGCACCATGGTTGACTCTTGAAGCAACTGGAGGAACCGAAAGCGACGCGGTCGGCAGCGACTGAACTCTCATGACTGACTGCGCCACTACTTTATATATTATACGAGGTACTTGAGCGCTTTTTCTGTGCAGATATTGGCTCGGTTTTGTGGATCATTAAATTTTGCTCCACATAGCAATTTGGAGACGTTTTGTTGCTTTCTTCTGATAAAAAAGAATTAACAGAATTAACCTGGGTAGCAACTGGCGAGTGGCCTCCATATAGGTAAGTGAAGTAATGGTTTCATTCAAGAAAGTTGTAAAACGGTATTAATGCCGGTCGCCAAGATCCATAAATATTCCAGATCCACGGGCCATAAATATCCCATTATCATGTACTCGACTATCCACATTGTAAAATCGAGCGAGCTAACGTTTAACAATGAACCAAACCAATGCACCGGTCGTTCATATTTGTGCGCTTTTTGACCGCGTTTATCAAAGGCCAAGTTCACGAAAGACTGCTATCGCGCGACTGGATAGTTTTACGGCCGTGAAAATATACTAACGGCTCTACGGCTTCTGTTGATAAGCATTTCTCTGTACATTCCCGGAAGTCATTAAGAAAAGCCAAAGACACTATAAAACCTAAACCAAGTTGTTCCCTGGATGCAGAAGGCCGTTTGTAAGCAATGTCAAAGAAATGAATGTCAGTCTTTCCTCCTGTTTGTTACATTATCCCGAAGGCATATGCAAGATATGTATCTGTTGCAATTTTAAATGAAAATTGCACGGATTTTGAATTCCGAATTATTTACCGTATTGCAAAGAAATAGGAAGTGTTTCTACTAGAGTCTCAAAAATATTATAACGTAGGCTTGGGCGAAGAGCAGAACTATGGAACGCTGAAGCGCAGCCGAGCACTTTTTTCGCTAGAGTAGGTAATAATAGTCTAATTTACACAAACCAAGCTGTTCGTTACGCTAGCCGTTATCGAAACCATATTTTCTCAATAAATTGGGCACTGTAAATTTTCACGGATGATTCATCTAGATGTGTCGTCAGTTACCCTCGATTTCGTGGTAGTCAGACACTGGAAGACAATACTTTGCTTGGAATATTGTATGCAATAAATTCTGGTGCACAATGCGGCAGTGAGGGATGATAATTCAAATATGCTACTGAAAAGGTAACACTCCTACTGCTATTATCATTTGTTCTAGTTATGTCGTTGCATGAGACTTTATGAGACGTGGATAACATTATATGAGCAACACTTAATCTTTGCATTTTTGAATGCTATCAGGCAGTGACCGCATCCACTGAATTAGTTAGATGAGTAACTCAAAACTTTCCGAAGAAAGCAGATCATCACCGATAAGAGATCCCAATGAAACTTTGTCGTACTACTGCTTAATTAATATTTGCTGGCGGCTTAGAGCAGTGATAACACAAGCAGATGCCAGGTGTGATAAGTGCTGTCCAAAGCTGCAGAATATCATACGCTCTTCGTAAACGAAATCCGTTAGTAATAATTAACATCTCCTGAGCTTAACCTTGTAGTTGTGCAAGCGTTTGCTTTCGTGTAAACGCGAGACTGGAATAAAATTATATATGGTGGTACAATATTTAGGCTAATATGGTTGGCATATGTTTTTTATCCATTATATTTGTCGCAGTCTGTTGCTTTCAGATCAACAGGTAAAGAGCGCAAAACTAACTCGAGCAGTAAGACATAATGATATTATTAATTCATATTTTCATGAAATGTACGTAGGTAATAGGTAGGTAGTTTTCCTTTGTAAGCCATCGGCAATTATTGGAATTTTTTGCAGCGTCCTTTTTGGAGAAGCGGCCGCATTTGACCTTCCGCATAAAACGAGCAGCGCCGGCGGCTTGCGCCAACGCGGAGGAGAAGTTCCATTGACAGTGAAAGAGCAGGCAAAGCATCCCAGATTTCGGCGTTCACTGCGCAGCAAACGCGACACTGCTGATGCAGTTCCGCTGTGCTTTGACGCGCGTGACAAATGGCCCAAATGTCAAAGCATCCGCGAGATTCGTGATCAAGGTCAATGCGGCACATGTTGGGTAAGGGCAAATGTACAACACTATGCATTTATAATATTTAGCGATAGGATTTTAATTTATAATTAAATTATTTATAACACCGATACTATCCTTTTAAAGCAACCCAAAAAATCACACTTCTACCACATTTACAATATATATGTTAATACAGCAGCATGCAAGAATTACAACCACTTTATCGCATTACTTTTGATAAGTGATGATTTCAACTTTATGTATCGGTAATCACGCGGTGCAGTTGCAGTACCATCAGTTCTAAGTTTGGTATCGATATTGCAGTTATTGCTCGTTGTAACCGCACAAACTACCAGAACAATAAGCCTGCTGCTCAGTATCTGTAAGAGTTATATCAAGTATGGCAGCTTTTTGAAAGCCTTTCTTACAAATTTCTTTCAAATTTTATTTCAGGCTGTGGCAGCTGCCAGTGTACTTTCAGACCGACTGTGTATCGCTTCGGGACAGAATGACCAGACTTTTGTATCGGCATTACATCTAGCGGCTTGCTCTTCGCCAGAACAAACCGGCTGCGACAAGTAAGCTTGATTTTTAGTAGCAGTTAACTGCAGTTTTGGCACATTTAAAGGGTAAAATACATGGAATTTCTTACCATCTCACATATACGTACGCGTACGTCTTTCCTCTTAAAGTATTTGCGTTTTGACTATCACTAGCGTAACAAAATATGATGTTACCTGCAGTACCTGTTATCAGTGATGTTACCTGCAGTTGCAACAGTGGAGGAAATGTGGTTTCGGCGTACCAGTACACCGCTCGATATGGCTACATTACAGGCGGTAATAAGACTGGCTGTGAACCGTACCCAATGATCAACCGCCCGATCCCACTTGACTGCCCTACCACATGCACCAATCCAAACCATATCCCACAGAATCCCGCTGACGACCTTCGAATGATTCATCGAAAACCAGGAACGGATAACGGTGAGTGCCAAAAAATTATTCTCAATTAAAGTGCACCCCTTATGTAAATAAAATTTTCAATAGAACATGCGTACTGGACGCATTTTCAGTCTGGTTATTTCGACGACGACATCAGTGACACCGTGAAGGCTATGCAGATGGAAATTATGACCAACGGTCCAGTTACCGCTGGAGATATTATACTCTACACAGACTGGCAAGACTGGAACCCGCTGCAAGGTACAAACATCGGAATGATTTCAAGAAAGTTTTATTTATTAAAATTTTATGTAATTATTTGATTCGTTGACTGAATTAATTTACTGTATAATAAGACCCAGACGCACGAAAGCTTTGGGACATTTAAAATGTGAGGGTGTCGTTAGGAGCATACCGTGGACCCTCTGAAGATGCAGAATTTTTTGGTTACCATGCGGTGCGCGTCATCGGCTGGTGCACGGATCAGTTCAATGTACCGTACTGGACGATTGCAAATTCCTGGGGCGCTGGTGTGGGGGATGGCGGAGTATACTGGGTGGAGCGCGGCAAGAACGTTATCAATGTAGAATCGGCATTCTCGGCACCGGTGGTTAGTAACGCCGCCTGTCCGGAGGCGGTGGACGTTGATGTCACCTGTCCTTCGCTATGCGACAGCGCCATAGATCAGATTGTTCGGCTGGATAGTGCAAATATGGCATCTCCGATATACGTATTTCAAGGTGCGGTTTTTACCGATAACATTGGTAATCGATTCCTCTTTTGAATGTGTTCCTGCGTATAGGTGCCTGCGTGACCGAAGTAGCAATAACTTTGGACGGGAAGCTGAAAGCACTTGGAGAACCAGTACCCACAGCGACTTTGTTCGTAGGGACCCCTTCTGGACGGATCAGCGGCTGGGATCCGGAAAACAGCAAGAGTTTTTGGCTGCGAAACGTACATAAGTCATAGTAGTGTACCGTTTCGTTGATTTTTTGTAACGTCGCACTTTGCAACAGTCTACGGCGTCCTCGTACTGCTCGTCGCTGCCTAATTGTGACGTGTACAAGTGTGCCACGGACCCTTCTTCCGGAGGTCAATCTGCTCAGACTTATCTCAATGGCACCAGATACAGCTACGGTAATTTGTGCTTCCCTCCCTTGCAAGTCCACGTGCATTTGGCAATCTTTTTAAGCAAAGGCTATTTCGCAGTGATGAAGTATCCTTCGTACTGGATTGCCGGCTCCGCAGGCGTCGATATCGGCAATCTGATAACGTCTAAATTTACACAAGTAAACGCTCTCCTGAGCTTGGACCTGGAAGGTGTCCCAGACATTCTTATATGCGGCATAAGTTCTTCCGGTGATGCAGGATGTGGATACATCAATGCTGCCGGCAATACGGTACGGAGTACGGGCTGGAACAGCCATCTTAATCAACATTTTAACGTTTCCGTTTTACGGTTTCCTTTCAGATAAGTTCCAGAGTTATGCCTGTTCGAGATGTCTTTAAAAACTGCTGAGCATCCGGAATAAATGGCCGCAGTAAACCGATTTAAGTGCTGCACGCTTTTCGCTTTAAATTTGTTTAAAATTTTGGCTGGAAATCGTCTTGTTTTTACGAACGCTTCATTGAACATGCGCAGCACTTCGCACAGTTTCAGTAATTTCGTCGCTTTCCCGCTTTTTGGGCTTTCTTACTTTTTGTTTGCTCTGATAATTTATCTCGCAATCGTTCGCCGGTTTCACGCGTATGCTCCACATTTAACTGCTTCTAAGTGTATCCGTCAGTAAAAGAAAACGGATTGTCGTTCTGTTGAAAAACCTACTGTTGAAAAATTTATGTACATATATGTAATGCTGATGTTGTCTTATTTATTCACTGCAACATAACAAAAACATGTTCGAAAAGCAGCATAACAAAAAGGCAAAAGGTTGTCTTGAAAGCTACCCTCAACATGCACAACACAATTATGAGAAGTTACATTAAGATACTTACGAAAGTTGCAACGCTTTAATAAGAAAATTCTTTGAGAACACCTCTGTACAATGCCGGTTAGAATGGTGCAGGTGGCAAAAAAATCTTTAATATCATTGTGAGTGCTAAACAAGAAGACTTCCGGAATGGAATTAAGGATAAAATTTTCTATAGGTCGATGCATTAGATCTAAACCTTAACGGCTTTTTTTATAGTCTTTGTAAAGTGCACGTGCATACAAATTAACAAGTCACATGCTCCACCGTTGTGAGGTCGTGCGCTGACCTATTATCAGACTAGCACGACCTGATTGCATGCACGCTTCTCATGTATGACTTCAACATTTTTAAAACTGCTTTGAATTAAAAGCCCATACTTCATTAAGCAACGATCGATTACAAATTATCAAGCAAATGTAAACAAAAATGAAAAACTAGGAAGTTCCTTAGAAATCCGTGGTTAAGCAGCTGGCAGCTTGAATCGCACGTTTTTTGTATACGTACCGAGTCGCACTACCAAACTGCTGTATGTTACCAGTTTCGTTGCACGCACCATTCCAGTTTGTTTACAGACATGTGCAAATGTTTACAAAGCACAACAATGAATTTATTATTTACCAACTGCTGGCCGCACCATGTCACAAGTAGCCACAACACCACAACAGCCTTGGTTTACGAAGCTCAAATACAGGAGGACGACGATTAATTTGGGTGACAGCATTAAAGGCTTGATCCGCTTGACAGAGTACATACTTCATAAACGGTACGGGCACTCTGGCAGTAATCCGCAAAAAGTTTGTAAAAATGCAGACCTGATGCATCTGTACTATGCATTTAGAATTATTAATTTATCATTGCGCAAACGGTGCTAACCAACCGGGCTTCCCTAATTGCTTTTTATCACGTTCTTCCCAATGTTCAGCCGAGTTAACAACGAACGAATACTGACATCAACTTTCCTACCTGCTGGCTCTCAAAGTGTACAGCGAATTGAATCTCTTCAAAATATTAACGGGACTTCGTCGCGACCGCTTGACAGTGGCAACAAACAAATCCCTCTGGATGACCTTTACCTTCCTGTACATTCCGAAGAGCATGGACCAATCAGCATCTCGCAAAAGATATTGAGTAGGCTCTGCAAGGCAACTATTATCACAAAATTCAATAAACAGTCACAGTGTAGTGCATATGATATTATAGGGAGATGGCGCGCAGTACATGACAACAACGAAGTCATCTGGCAAAAGTTACTGGCCTTTGTGCGAATGGCGCTGTATGCGGGTGACGTGGGAAGCAATTGGTAAGTTAAAATATTTTATTCATTTGCACACTTCCGCTATTTACACTTTAATTGGGATTGTGGTTATATCAAAAACTCAACAATATATAGATATTTACGTAACAGCATTATCTCTAAGTGTTGACCATAACTGTCCATAAGTAAAAAAAACTGATTCAAAATTACATATTTGGAATGTTTTACAGGTATCTTGTTATCAACTTCCTGCTTCAGGGTCACTATGTGTGGAGTGGATTGACCTTAACGTTTATTTTGGTACCACAATGCGTCGTGGCGTTTCGTAGCCTGTTAGTCGCGCTAACGCCGATGGTGCTTGCACAAAAGCGTGAGATTCCTTTAAACGGTAGTTAAACTGTATACGATATCATAAACGGAACTCGAAGACACGAAAAGAATCTTCTGCAAATGTACTGAATAACTACAAACTTTATATCTTCTTTATATCTATATATTTTTTGTGTTATGACTTTTTACATACTGTAGTACTAAACACTAATGAAAATTGAACTTGTGGCAGTAATTTTTTTGCTGAATGCCTTGGTAGCTTCCTTCTGCACTTACTTCAAGAAGGTTGAAACGTGGATATTCATCGGACATTTTCTTCAGTTTGGTCCTGTAATCAGGTACAAATACTAGAGACTCGCATCGCAATGGAATTTTAAACGGCCTTAGCTGTTACAGAAGTCAAAATAGTGTGATTTAATATCGTAACATCGGTCTAGTATTGTGATTTAATAGTAAGGATGTACAAACAGTCATCATCGTTGTTACAGTCCTCTCTCTGTAGGTTTTGCGCTTACCTCTTTTACCGCGGCAGCCATACCGCAACCACGATTAGACAGCCGACCACTTCCAGAGAGGAACGCAAAGATTACATATTTTGGGAGAATAGCATTTATCTGACGAAACGCTTCTGCTTCATCGAATCCTTCATGGAAGCTTTGCCCCAGATGACCTTACAAATCTACATCATAAATCACCAGATGTTACGAAATGATTTCGACAATTCGCATTTTGCTCAAGGGTTGTCCGTCTTGTTTTCATTCATATCAGTTGCGTATGGTATTGGTTCCGTTCGAATAACATCCTGGAAACTCCGGGGAACCAAAATCCAGCGGGTAAAAATCAAATCTTTACATTTCTTCGGGCGCGCAGTATTATTATCTTCCCGGATCATCGTCATTGTAATTTTCGCTGGCATGTTTGGTCCGTACATATTTCTTATCTTTGCTGTTGATGCCACGATTATCGTCGCCGGACTGCGATCGTATTGTCTTCCTACATGGAACTATTATGAAATTATGCTTCACAATCACATTCGCGATAAAATCTGCATATCCCGTATTCCGGTTTATTTATCTTGGGCTTACCCGTTTGAGCTATCGTGGATTCGGTTCATCCGGTACATTTTCTATCCATGGATAACTTTTTTCGATTGGCTAACAGAGATCCGCGATCGGAAGGCGGTGCGTTATGGGTGTTGTCGGCTGCGGCTGAAAGGCTGCTCATCGTTTTTTCCTTATTATGGACTGATGTTTATGGAGAATAGCATAATATTATCTCTTTGGGCAATTAAATCCATTGATAGTTTCAACGCATTTCGTACCGTGCTCCCTATGTTTTTTCTAACTATTAGTTACCTTTTCGGGATCTTTCTTGTGGGGGCTCATTTTCTGATGAGCGAATCAATCCAGGTACGGATGCGACTGGGACAGCTGCAAATTTACGAATACGCGCGGAACTACTTGTAATTACAGTATTCACAAAATTAAAGTTTGCGAAATATACTCGCCAGTGTCTGTTCACTGCTGTACAATTAAACCCACCCGACTTCAGAGTCACGGCTTAGATACCAACGAAACTGCAAAGAACGATTAAATACGTTTGTCCAAGGTTAATTTCTTTTTGAAGTTTTTATCATGGCGTAAAACTAGAAAAATCTTCAACCTTTCTGTGCGCTTTGACTTCTCTAAATTTGCACAGTTTGATATCGAAGCATGCAACTAGGTGTTTCGACTTCGATTTTACAATTCAGTACTAGAAAATTATTTAAAGTAAGCATGTTTTGCTTACTCCTGCTGCTGATATAAAAATAAATAAAAATACAGCAGGAATTGCAAACTTAATGTTATAAAAGAAGATTTTCGAAACGGATTAGCAGTGTTACCGCACTGTTTTGTTTTCACAAGCAAAGTAGCATACGTGCGGTTTGCTTACAAAATAGTCACCAGCGTAAGTTGAAGTACGGTAACCGATTTTCGGTAAACAACTTTATACGGGGAAACCTCGTAAAACTTCCGTAACTTTGTAACTCGTAGCTTTGTAACTCGTAACTTTGTTTATTCTATGAATCTGTATTACCTTTTCGAACAACTACGTCTGCAGTTTCTTTTAACTTGGAATCCGGTACGGTAGTTTGAAATACGTACGACAGGTTTTTCGATAAAACTCTGAATGTTTTGACAATGTCACTTTCTGCGGTTACATGCCGCACCCTTATTCATATCTGTATATCTGTAGAAGAAAAAACGTCAAACAGGTTATTGTATATTTACTTCTTGGTATGTTCTTCCTGCTATATGTTATTATAGTCACATACTGGTTTGGTAAGCATTGGAAAGCACAGTCGCCGGAACAGATCGAACTTAATAGCCTGAAGGCTAACAAGTGCCAATTTTCAGATAAAAATCTTTGTTTCGCACACATCTCCACCGTGTGAAATGCATTTGTAAATACAAAATCTAGCGTTTCATTGATAACTCGCAAACGGTGTTCGCTAAACCGGTCTTCCTAAAAAAATGTCGACATCCATAGCAATTTTAATAATCGCTGCACTAGGAGGAACTGTTATTTGTGCTCCTCCACCACCGTTTCGAATTTCGGGATGCAGTAAGTCCAGAGGTCCACCCTAAATTGTAAAATCTTTGACATCTTTAATTCGCAACTTCGCATACAGAAAATGGTTGTGAAAGAATATGACAGAATCAGGATACTAAATAAAATCTTTTGTTCAGATGACTGCGCTTTCGGAATGTGCCCAGATGGGCCGCAGGTCTGCGATACCGTGAAAGACCGGTGCGTGTGCCCGAGCGAGCTGCATAAATCAACGGGAGCAAAAAATGAACAAACAACTCGTCTTTCGGGATGCAGTAAGTGTGCAAAGTGACCAACATTGTGGTATCGACAACGAAGCGACCCTGTCACATATGCAGTTTTCTGTTAACAGACGGAAATACGTAGTTACCAGTCAAGATCACATTAGATGGCTGCTTTATCCTTATTTTTAAACTGACCTGTAATTTCAGATGACTGCGGCATGGTTATGTGCTCAGAAGGAGCGATGGTCTGCGATACGAAAAACGACAAATGTGTATGTCCCAGTGGATTGCCTAAGACATCGCAAAACTCCACAGCCGCCAAGATTTGTCCTGATGGAAGATCGCAGATATGTGACACAACCAGCAATCACTGCTTTTGTCCGATAGTAGTAGACGTCCAGCCACCGCGCATTTCTGGATGCAGTAAGTGCTCGGAAATATCTTGAGTATGACATCGCTAAGGCGAGCATGTGATTCACACCAGTGCTTACACATAATAAGCGCAAGTTTATCAAGTGCAGCTTCAGTATAGACCACTTACCAACCTTGCACTTTGTCGCCAGATGATTGTGCTTTTGGAATGTGTGATGATGGCCCTCAGGTGTGCGACACCAGGAAGGATCGATGCGTGTGTCCCAGTGAGCTGCATGCACAGACAAATATCAAAGTCGTTACGTTACCACCAGTACCACGCGAGTCAGGATGCAGTAAGTGACGAGAGATTATTATAAAAATCCATGCACAAGTTTGGTGAACAGTCGCGGAAAAGTTGACAGAGTGTAGATTTATAAGTATCTTGCGGCTGTTGTAGATGATTGTGGGATGATCATGTGTCGAGCCGGAGAGTTTGCCACGTGTGACACCGCAAAGGATCGATGCGCTTGCCCCCAGTGAACTGCATTACACCAAATACCCCGTCCTGTTTTGCGATGGACTTCCTACTGAGTCGTAAAATGCACGTTTACAAAAAAAATTTATGAAGTGTCCAGTTTTCGCGATTTGATGCTAGGATTCGATAGTACACAACGAAAAAACGCTTTGAAGAAGATAGCAAACAATGCGCCAGGCTGTTGTCCTTAAGTCTGCGTGTCAGGTTTACCTAAGTTTGCACTGAATGCAGTGCAGTAATAAGTAATTTGTGACATTATCAATCTGTGGTCCACTAATTATTAAAACAAGAACTAAGAAGAGCTATACATAATACATTCATCATTCATGGCTCGTTTCTCGTTTTTTCTTGTTGTAAACTGATTGTGTACTCGTACAGCTTTTCGCGGCACTAAACCGAACCGATCTATGTTTTTATCAGTGTTTTGTTTTATACCCAGATTTACAAGCTTAAAGAATGCAACCTACTCTGTAGTTAGTACTGCAGTGTAAAAACTTTGCGCGGTCCGAAAGTATACCTTAGGAATAACAAATCATGGTGTTCGAAACAAATTATGCATATTTATCAAACAGGCTAGTTTCGGCCTTAGATCATAAACCTCAACCGCACGTTATGCGGTGATGGCAATCGTGCGATACCGAGGAATTAAATCACGTGGACGGTACAATGTCGGGTAAAATTTTGCTAACATGTTAAGTAACCTTTGTCCTGCAATTTGGAACTTTATCATTGGATATGCACCGCTTGTGTGGCGGCTGGTGTGAATCAATTTCACAATACACAAAAAAAGGTGCAGTAACTTCTTCCGGAAATAGAACATTAATTTTGGTCTTGATTAGTGGTTATGCTGTGCTTCCTGTCTGACTGTACTTCGCTGCAGGCAAGCTTGTGCATAGGTAGGATCGGCAAGGAAGTAACAGCTGAAATGCTGTAAAAATATCTAGCAACTTGTCAAAATTATCAGATATGGCCTCAAGGATTCATAAGATAAACTCGTACAATTGAGAAATATCGATTTAAATTTTAATTTTTTACTTGCGTCTGGATCTTCTCTCTGCATGCAGAGTTAATTTATTTTTCAAGGCCAGTATAATTGTTCAACAACTGTCGCCGAAAATTCTCTCTGTATAAATTTGTAGAAACTGCTTAATAATGTGGAAGTTAGTCAGCTTTTGTGCAGTTCTAACATTTACTCAATGCTGTGGATCACCGTTTGATTCGTTATTTCGGGTTTCCGGATGCGGTAAGCTTTATATAATTATTTCTTCTGCTTCCATCAATCAACCGTTTCATTGCTTCGTTCCCCAATTTAGTGGACTGCGCAATGGGTCAATGTCAAGATGGGCCTCAAGTATGCGACACTAAGAAGGACAGATGCGTCTGCCCTAGCGAACTGACCGGAAACAGACCAACCAGAATATCCAGTTCGCAGTGGCCTCGCATATCAGGATGCAGTGAGTTGGACGTTAAGCTGTTTAATTTCATTTATTGAGGGGTGCCTTGTGCAAATTAAAATACAGGTCTTTAATCACGTAACCGACATACGTATTACAAACTGGTAGAATTATTTACTACTAACTGACGATGACGAACAGATACGGTAGTAGAACTGCTGCATTGGGATTCCCAGCTGCTACCGGAAGAATGAAAAGTACAGTAGATTGTAATTGGTGTAAACAAACAGGAAATGCGAGGCTGCAGCCTTGAGCGATTATTACTGTATTATTGTTGCAGACGATTGCGCAATGGGCCAGTGTCCTGATGGGCCTCAGGTATGCGACACGGCGAGGACAAATGTGTCTGCCCTAGCGAGCTGAGCCGAAATAAACCAACCAGACCAGACCGTCAGCCGTGGCCAATTCGCATATCCGGATGCAGTGAGTAAAACGACAAACAAATTTACTGAGAGAAGTCTTTCGTCTGTATTTAGGAAGTATGAAAATACTGGCTAGCCGGCATATTGGCAAGGTCCACACTGCTACTATAATTACATCAAGATTGCATGCTAATCGTTATTACATTTAAAAAAGGTACCTCATAAAAGCCGAAGCTTCTAACTACAAATAGAATACCAAATAGAATATGATTGTTAAAAATAAATAGACGAGTGCGAGATGGTAGCCTTCAGCCATTCGTACCGTTGCAGATGATTGTGCAATGGGCATGTGTCCGGATGGATCCGGACCGGCAGTGTGTGATCATCAAAAAGATCGCTGTGTATGTCGGAGCGAATTACCTTCCAGTGACCCGCGTTCGAAACCTTCAAATGTCGGCAACCTGGGTGGAAGTGCATTTCGCGGATGCTGTAAGCCGAACGTTAACATGCAGTTACTGTATTTCACTTAAATCATTATTTGCCAACATTATTAACACAAATTTGTTACATATAAAAATATCTATGAATTATGATACAAAGTTCTGTGATTCGTAGTCGGTTGTGGATCGAGATCATGCGCCAATGGAGCCATGGTGTGTGATACAAAACAGGATCGATGTGTCTGTCCAAAGGGATCCCGCAAAAATTGATTCGCAGTTGTGATTCGACCAATCTTATAGTATATATCATTCTGCATGGGCAGTGTACAGTGGTACACTAAGGCAACTAAAACGACATTGTTTTGCAATCTCAAACGTTTTTGACCTTTGTAATTTGTTTGCTTTAATGCTATAAACAAGCCGCGCGATCTATCATCCAATTTTGGTGGCTCATTTCACGAATATAACAGCAGTTGTGCAGTTAATTATGTATTTGTAGTGAGTAGTACCGTCAATATCCAATGAACAGGTGTGACAATTAAGAAGTAATACTTTTCCCCGCACTCCTGCCTCTAATTCAAATTCGAAAATTACTGTGGGAAAAACTTATGTAAATTTTACATGCCGATTGGCGGTTGCCGAATAAAGTTTCATTAAGGATGCCACAGCGTATGCGATTATTAAATAATATCAATCGTCACACAACATTGCTTCACGCGAATGAACGTTTGACCACCACGAGTATTGGAGAACGTTTTGACTTTATAAGTAAATATTGGGCAAGCTAGCCATTCCAATTAACCAAGCAGAAATTGCTGTTATTATTATAAAAGTACGCAGGTACGTTACAAGAGTATAAGCAAGTTCAACGTGTACTCTCACTAAAAATGCACGTTTTTCAGTTTATAGTGCAACTGCAACCACTAATATAGCCGGTCATCTTGCCGTTCTCGTAACAATTAAAGGTAATCTAAACGCACAGTCGCTCGTAACTCATAAGCACCGCATCTAACCGAAAAACTGCAGTATTTGGAAACGGTATACGGCAAAACATACATCTATTGCATGGTAGAAGGTGCGGTATTACTAAGTAAATATCGCGCGAGTTTCTGCTTCACATTATTCACATATCAAAAAGTAATGAAATACTACCGCTTGTCGGGACTGAATGAAATCACCCTGAAGGTGCATATAGTAATTTGCAGTTTTTGTAATGAATGTATTTCGTGTATTGATACATAGCTGCATTAAATTTAAGGTATGAAATCTGCACATCCACTTAGATTTAAACCACTCAGCAGAGATTAGCAGTCAGCACGTGAGATCTGCAGCTTTTGCACAGCAATGTGGACACTAATTATTTGCTTATCTGTCGCTGCGCTGGCAGGAGAGACTGTTCCACTGACCTTTCCGCTGGACACTTTGACATGCAGCAGTAAGTCGGCATGACAAATTGACAACTGGTTATTTGTATGAAACCGTTTGTGGCGTGTACAGAGTACAACGTCGCTCATGCAAGGTGTTTAATTAGATTCGGATGACTGTGGTTTCAGATCCATGTGTCCAGAAGGGGCACGCATGAAAGTCTGTGATTCTTTAAGTGGCAAATGCGTGTGTCCGAGCGAGCGGCGCTCGAATGCAGACACAATACTCGGACATCCGCGCGTTTCTGGATGCAGTAAGTCGCCTGCACGGCTACCGAATTTGATAGTGTACCCCATTTCATACGGCATACTTTGCAGTGAATTCTGATTAAGCAATAATAAGGTATTATTATAGAAACAAATACTGGAAAAGAAGCGGCTTTTTCTTTACATTTATTAAATACAGCATTAATGTTGATTGATTATAGACGATTGTGCGTTTTGTCTGGGTACTGCGACACAAGCCGGGACCAATGTGTATGTGGTGCCTCACCACCTGGAACAGCTGGGATGAAACTCTTTAGTCGGGGCCGTCAGTAGGAATTTCGAATATGTACGACAGTACGAATACTGGTTTGTCGGTGATTCGGCACAATGGAGCAAAACAGTGTTCATATTAAATTGCGCTTGCAGTAATCAGAAGAGATGTTTGCTGATTGGTGACATTCATCAAGTTCGCACGTCGACGATTCTGACGTAGTTCATGGTAGATTCCATCGGTATGTCACGAACAGGCGCCAAAATGGAGATGATGTGGAATTTGCGGCTTTTTAAAATTAAAAACAGAATGTACTGTATTTGTAAATACTTATAGTAATCGCACAGGACATGGTTTTTTGTATGCATCGATTTATTTTTGAAGCTGGACCGGTCACCGGGCGCCCCATATGGCGCGCTACATACGGTGTTTTTAATAACTTTTTTAACGAATCGAAATCTATTATTGGTCCGTGCATTTAGGAGCCAAATTTGTGCAAATAAAAATAAAAAAATGATCTTTCTTTTTAAAATTCGTTTACATAGTTCGAAAATTGTAATAGGTGGGTGATCCCCCAATTTATTTGAGCGTACTCTCAAAGTCATGATCATTGAAGAAACTGAAGCGCTGGAGAATATTTCAATTTAAAAAAGCTGGGCAACCCAGTAAATTAATTTAAATCACTTAGAAAAGTCCTCTTTAATGTGTTGCACAAGAGACACATGCCCGCTCAAAAGGTAAAACTAATATGTACCCACTTCAACGTGTTCCACAGTTCCACAGTTTCCGGTTTCTACTTGCGCAACACCGGTATAGGTTTGCCCGTCTCACTGTTTTCGTAGCAGATCAAACTGTGAACATAAAATTAAAGCGTAGTCAGCTAAACGTAATCACATCTAACCGGAAATAGCGCTGTTTACAACTGGTATACGGCAAAACACACAACTGCTTCACGGTGGAAGGTTCGGGATTACGCACAAATACTTCGTAAACATCTCGCGAGTTCCTGCTACATATTTTCAATAGTAAGAATGCAATAAACCGGACGCTTGCCGGAACTAAATGAATTCAACCAGAAGTTGTACGAGTATAAAATAATCTGCGAGTTACATAGTAAAACTAGTTCGTGCATTGAAGCGTGCTACCTAATTGAATTGTACTTTGCTCCGTTAATACGCAGTCTGTACAGCTGTAGACACCAGTAACCAGCACTCTGTGCGTCGTAAGACATTCTGTTTCGTAACATAATGTTGGCACCAATAATCTGCATATTCGTCATCGCGCTAGCAGAAAGAGCTGTTTCATTGACCTTTCCCTGGGGCACTTCAGGATGCAGTACGTGTAGGCTTGATCAGCTGATTATGCTTAAAAAATTAATTACTATTTCTGTGTCGTATAAGGTGTTGTTCATGCCGTTTTTTACTTATGGTTAGTCGACTGCGGTTTTGGAATGTGTCCGGAAGGCCGGCAGGTCTGTGACATATCACGTGGCCGGTGTGTGTGTCCCAGCGAGCTGCGTCGAAATCCAGGGAGAACACCAAATCTCCCGCAGCTAGTTTCTGGGTGCCGTAAGTATTCTGCAAAACCACCTGTAACCGATAGTACTGTTATATATAGCTATTGTACGTACTTGTAGGCGTAGTTTTTTCTGAACAACAACAAAACGATAACCATAGAAGTAGTTCTAATAGAAACTAAAACCTACTGTAAAAATTGGTTGCTGTCTTATATTTATTGGTTCTAATGATGCATGGTTACAGTGGACTGTGGATTTTGTCGGGGATACTGCGACACAAGCCGGAATCAGTGCGTGTGTGGTGCGGCATCACCCTAAATACCAGAAAATTTGAGGCCTGGGACTGGGCGTAGGATTGTGCTGATGGATCGATATTTTGAATTTTTTGGAACAAAACAAGATCCGTTACAGTTATTAGAAATATTGCCGGGTTGCAAAATCCGATCTTCGACCATTAGTATTAGTTACACTCAATCTTCAACTCCTGCACGGGCTGGCAACCCCGTGGAGAGGGGGAGTGTTTCAAGCAGCGAATAAGAAGACGTCTCCCAGTTCAAGTTAAAAACGAAGATTGAGAGTGATTTCCAGTGTTTTGCGTCCGGAGTTGTCCCTTTTACGGGGTAGGTAACGGAGAATCAAAAAAACTTTCATTGTACTGACAAAATTTTATTTTATAACTTCAGAGACTGTACTTACGACAGTAAGTACTTAGTATTCTTACGACAGCGTACAAATGTGCGCGATAAAATGAAAGAAGCAAAAATTTATTTTTAGAAAGTTTAAATTTTTTGAATAGTTAAGATGTGCTTTTGTTTACGGAAATGCATGAAAATAAATTTTTGCCTGTCTATGGCATCAAAGTTGAAAATTGAATTCAAAATTCAGGTTAGTTTGGTCGGGGTACGTCCACGGCGAAGCTTTACCAGCTATTTAGCTGGTCTAAGCCGTAGACCGTAGTTGCAATTCCGAAGAGCACAGCGACCAATCACGGCGCAAGGCGGTGCCAATCAGCTCCACGGAGTTACATCTCCCTGCAGGGAGTTGAAGATTGAGTGTAACTAATCAGTTAGCTTACTGAAGGTTTTTTCTCACGGATAGATGCCATAATGCCAGCTACTCTAGGGTAGTTTTCGGTGTGCCGTTTTCAGAGAGGAGTGGTATAAATTACGTTCAAGCAGTCATTCAGTGCCTTGTTTTGTGTATACTTGTATACATTCTGTGCAGGACAGTATTTAGCTAATCTCAATAACGATTACGAAAACTTGATTATTTTTTATTATTATTATTATTATTATTATTACATCAAGAGCAGACAACCCGATTAACGGGACTTCAACGTCTGGTCGGTACAAAAGTAAACAACATAAGATTACGACAGATCAATCATTCGGAGAGCAAATTTGAAAAAACCAACACCATCAACACTGAGTATCTGCATGTTAACTTTTTGTATGCGCTCGAAAATATCCCTTAAACGATAGGCCAACGTGCCTTCTCCGATCTTCTTCTTCGCTGAAGCTTCGATTCTCTTTGGCTTCCGAAGATTATACCGCGGAGTGATATCCGTGAAGTCAATCATGTCAACCATGTACTGCGGCGGACGGTACGCTTCGTGGTTGTAGATCTTGTACAACCATACTGCTTCGGACTGCTTCCAACGGTCGTACACAGGCAGGATGCGCAATTTTTGGTACAGCTCGGGTGTTACCCGCTCCTTGTAATCAAAAATCGCCCGCAGTGCTTTCCGCTGTGCTTTAGCCAGTTTGCCGCGCAAAGCCAAAGATGCCGGTGACCACGTATCCGACCCGTAGTCGAAGTGTGGCTGCACACAAGCATGGTAAAGGCTCCTACGCTGGGGCAGATCCAGGCCGTCTTTCCCGCAGTTAATCATTGCGATGCCGTAGTTAACTTTTCGCAGCACGTGATCTATATGCGTTCCCCACTTCAGATTGCGGTCTATGTAGATCCCCAGATATTTTACGCACTTCTCTTCATCCATCTGGTGGCCATTGATCATCACCGCTGGAGAAGGTTGGCTGTTCTTCGATTCGGAACAGATGTACATGAGTTTGCACTTCTTTTCGTTTATGCAGAGGGTGTTATCTGCAAGCCAAGTTGTCACATTTCCAATCTGTACGGTTAACTTTGCTGCAGCTTCTTCTTTCGTACGGCCGATGCCATACAGTACCGTATCGTCGGCGAACAATTCTGCGTCGTTTCCATTTGGCATATCGTTTACGTACACAATAAACAACACAGGCCCCATCCTTGTGCCTTGTGGCACTCCCGACCGCACTGGGAGCCAGTCCGACACATGCGCTGTTACTTTCACTCGCTGCTTACGAGACGTCAGGTAGTCGTGAAACCATAGCAACGCGTTTCCTCCAACTCCAATGGCCTGTAGTTTTTCAAGTAATTTGGCATGGGAAACAGAGTCCAATGCTTTCTTCAGGTCCAGAAAGCATACGGCAGTTACCTGTCCCTCATCCATCGCTTTTCGCCATTTTTCGGACATCTTCAGCAGCAATGTTTCGCATGAATGGCCCTCTCTGAATCCGGACTGTTTGTCAGAAAGGATGTTGTTGGCTTTTAGGGTGGCAACGAGCTGGCTCTGTACAACTTTCTCAAAGATTTTTGAGATGTTGCAGAGAAGCGAAATGGGTCGAAAATCGTCCGGTTGCTGCGCATTATGCTGCTTCGGAATCGCAATGATATCAGCGCTTTTGAAGATGGTCGGATACACTCCCGCCTTGAGTGACGCGTTGATCATTCCCGTCAGCGGTTTTGCAATGTGCTTGTTTAGTCCACCGAGGATTTTCACGGGCATTCCGCACGGTCCTGCGCTTTTTCTCCTCTTGGCCATTTGCTGTATCAGGAATGATACAGTATCCACGGTAACGTCTTCGAACCTGCAAAGCAATGGGTTAGTACTGCCACCTCCTGAGGGGGCGGCTGGCGCGGTGTGCTCGTTGCCGTGCAGACCCTGAGCTGCAAAATGTGCGTTAAGGACGTTCGGATCCAAGGTTAGTTCATCGTTCTGCTTCCCTTTCCGAAGTAGCCTGCCCAGCTCGCGCCAAACAACTTCCGCTTTATCCTGATTTTGTTTGAAAAACTTTCTTTTCTCGTCCAGTATCATACAATACACTTGCTTTTTCAAGCTGTGGAATTCCGCGTTGCACTGCAAGTATTCATCTGTCCCACGGAGCTGACACCTGCGGCGGTAGCACTTGTTCTTTTCTTTAATTAAACTTTTCAGTGACAGACTCATCCAGGGGGGATCGTTCTGACGCACTCTCCGGGATCGCAGTGGGAAGCTTTCGTCTACGATCTGGTTCAGTTCTTGGACAAAATTGGTGACAACGTTGTCGATTGGAACAGACTCATCGTACACATCGTACTTTTCACACACAGTTTCAACTCGCTCGTTAAATGCTTCAAGGGTGGTATGTTTCCATAATCGAAACGTAATCGTTTTGTGTAGCGGGGAAACTGACTTGTAGGACGCTACAGTTCTGCATAGGCGGTGATCCGAAAAGCACACGTCATCGGCTGGTAGACAGGAGTAACTTTCTGCTGGTGAACACAGCAACACATCGATCTTTTTCGCACTGTGCATTAACATACCATCGCGTTTTCGTGTGCGACAAGCTATCCTAGTAAATCCCGAGACTTTATCCTCCAGCGCATGGTTGTTCAGTAAGTCAGAATAATGTCGAAAAAAAGGGGAACAGGGTGATGAAACGTCTATGTTGATATCACCGCAGACAATGTGATCAATACCAGGATACTTCAAAAGCATTTCATCCGTATGGTTAAACAGAAACTCAGTATCAATCGCGTTTGCGTCAGGTGCTCTGTACAGAAGTCCCAGTAGTATTTTACGTTGTCCGATCTGAAGAAGAACCCACAAACTTTCACAACGGCCACATGTTTCCGTTCTCCGAATTTCCTGGCATGGGATATGGGCAGGAACATATATTAGGAGACCACCACCGCGTGATTTGCCCGATGCTTTCGTACGGTCTTTACGAAATACCTGATAATCAGGGAGCGAGTAGAGCTGATCGGGATCGGTCACAGATAAATGAGTTTCCGAAAGGCATAAAATTTTCGAGTGATTATCGTGATTTGAAAGTAACTGATGAAGCAGATCAACTTTGGCATAGGACAGCCCTTGAACGTTTAGGTGATGGTATACAACGGTCGAAAGCCTACACTGTTTTTTGTTACCCATATTACGAATACTCACTCAATTACGTTTACCATACAATCAATAGATGCAGAAAAAAATTTGACGCATTTCAGTACGAACAAACTTAGCCATTGTTGTATGTGGAAGTAAAAAACAGAAGGAAACTTGAGCTGGCGGGACGGAGCTAGATTTAGCCCGCCAGCATAGTTCCTAACATAGTTGAGATGTTGAGATGTTGCAGAGAAGCGAAATGGGTCGAAAATCGTCCGGTTGCTGCGCATTATGCTGCTTCGGAATCGCAATGATATCAGCGCTTTTGAAGATGGTCGGATACACTCCCGCCTTGAGTGACGCGTTGATCATTCCCGTCAGCGGTTTTGCAATGTGCTTGTTTAGTCCACCGAGGATTTTCACGGGCATTCCGCACGGTCCTGCGCTTTTTCTCCTCTTGGCCATTTGCTGTATCAGGAATGATAACACCCTTTAGCGGATTCGGGAAAAATTAAACTTCATGATGATGGTGTACGCATTGTTTTAGTAGTACGGACTTCATTTTTGCCCAAAATAAGCAAATTGCAATAGCTGATCAGTTTAGGGCGATGCTTAACAATATTACCAATCAATACAGAAGGAATTTGGGATCGCTGCATGTTCTATGCTTCCAAATGGATGGATCTTCGGATTTTGAAAGATAGTCTACATCGAGCGCGGTTTGGATTTGGATGGGTGACCACTCTGAGTTCAGGCTGCGAGTGCATGGCCCGCAAGGCTGTGTGCGACGTGGTTAGTCGGCATCAGCGCTGACCGTACTGAGTGGCGTGTGCGTTTCTTCGACGCCTGGGCTTAAACGGATCCTCCATGGTTCAACTCGCTCGTCGCATCAGGATAAAGCACCCGCGCTCCATTCCTCATTCAACTACGGATACGGCCGAACGATACGGATCTTGTTGTCTATAGCGTTTAGTCTGCGTGCTTTATACACGTTTATGTCAATGCTTATTAGCCATTGTCTAGTGTGCCAGTGCATGGGTCTAATAATGCTTGCAATTCTGAGCTGTGTTGTATCATATGCCTTCTGTAGCGGAGTTTGATAATGAGCGTGTGTTGTGTTCGGCCAGGTTTAAATTCCCATGCTGTGTATGCAAAACACAGCAGGTTAATGGGTTACCTGCTACCGAGATGAAACTATTATTAAATTAAACAAATAAATTTCAACATGTGCAAAGCATGAAAACTCACGGTTGTACAGAGTACTTTACTGAAAGGATGCAGTAATACGGGATGCCTTTTTTTGTTTATTATCGGTAGAAGTAGCGATCACAGGCTTTGATTACGAAGTTCTGCACAAGGCAACTACTGTTAACACGGATCTGCGAGTAATGCGTACTTGTAAGCAAAGCCTTCTGGCAGATGCCAAGGAAGAAAATTCAAATTATACAGACTACAGCTAGCCAATCTAGCTCTTTACAAAGGTCGATAATTTTTAACTTACTTGTTAGTTTTCTATTACAAATTCCAGACCAATCAATTTTGAAGTATGTCTGCTGGCACAACAGAGTCAGAATAGGAAGAGTAGCCCAACATGCCGTTGCTCCTTGCTTCCGGTAGAAATTGCGAATTTTCTTTCAGCCCATTTCGAAGTCAAAATTAGAAAACTCTTTTGTTTGACGTGAAATCTGTTGTCCCTTCCGAGCTGGTTTTGCTAATTGGCGCCGATACATGCCACCATGCTCAAACGAGCTCATAGTGCCCCGGCTATTTTCGATATTTCTAGAAAGCATAGTGCTTCGCCGCTCGGTACCAGACGGCGATTTTCTTCTCTCCAGGCCCTACCAACAACAGAACAGAATTCAGCAGGACCATGCGTTCAGCGTAAGAAAGCTGGAGTATCCGCGGATAACCGACCAGCGATATTCCAGAAAGCCGTTACATTTTTGCGCATGCTGCTGTACATTTGTGACATCGGAACGGACTGGTAAGGCATTCGAACTGCCGAAAGTTTTTGTGAATATTGATATCTGTGCTTGCACTAATGCCAAGTACCAGCACATGTGATTACGTACGATAGCTTTATTTAAGTATGGCAATGTACGAAATCATATTATAAATGCCTAAAAGGTACTATCAATCCCCTGCACGTCGTATTACCAATTCTACGCAGTACCGTCTATTACAGTTATAAGAAGCATCAACCTACTTCAGTTGAAGTTGCTGCTTTTTAGGTACAATGCCGTGAGTTTGTTACTGGGGGGCCATTTTCAATGGGCTGGATTAACACTTGCGTTTATTTTGATTCCCCAGTGCGTTACAGCGTCGCGAAGTCTTATGCTGTACACCGATATTGTGGAATTTCAGCGGCAAGATATCGACACCATGGAGTCATTTGCCATACAGTCGGTTAGAAGAAATGGTTCGTGCGAAGTTGGGACTAAAGTTACGGCCACTGATATAAAAATGAAAGCTGGCAGTGGCCGGCATACCAGTTAGTAGAAAGCAGTTTTGTAAACGTAAAATTAGCAAGAAATTATAAACCTGCTGTGTAAGCCCCAACCAAACCTTTACGACATTTTTTCAGTGTCTCTACGCGCAATGTTGTCGCAAATACCAACATCAATAATCATCGCGCACATTTTTCAAATGGGTCCCGTGATAAGGTATTGTTTTGCCTACAAAAGGTGGTCACATACACAAAACTTAATAAGTGAACCTTCTTCTGTAGCGTTGTTTTTGTTTTGGTCGTAGGTACATCACTTACCTTCGGCATGGAGAAATTCATTGTCCTTCTACCGATAATAGTCGTGTTACAAAATATCAGCTCATAAAATACTTGTTCTGGAAGAACACCAGTACCATCACAAAGCGTTTATGCTTACTGGAAGCTTATATGGAGGCACTGCCGCAAATGACCTTACAGCTTTACATCTTGACAAAGCAGGATTTGGTGGAAGAGCTTTTCCGCATTTCTCACGCTGCACAATTTGCCTCCATTTTTTTCTCCCTGACCTCCGTTGCGTACGGGATTGGTTTCACCAGGCTGACGTCATTTAAAATGAGCGGTCGCAAGTGGAAGAAGTTGATCCTGAAAGTAATCCACTTGGCTGGCCGTTGGATTCTGATCGGGTTGCGCATGCTCATACTGGTTGCTTTTGCGCAGCGATTCGGGTCATACATTTTCGCTGTATTTGCAATACATGCTGCGCTGGTGACCATTGCGCTGTACTGCAACTGTTTTCCTCGTTGGAATTATTACGACCTTTTATTACTGCGTCAAGTAGATGTGACCTTTGACAGTTCTCCACATCAACTGTGGGCTTACCGATGGGAAGTCGTATGGATAAAGGCATTTATGTGGATATTCCACCCCTGGACATTGTTTTTCGATCTTTGTGCGGACGCGAGAGACCGTGAAAAGGACAATAATTTTTTATGTAAAATCGGACGGGGTACGGTTATGCTGCTTGTTTTTTCATACGGCATTTGCTTTTTGGAGAACTGCGTCTTATTGGCATTATGGTTGGTACCGTCGGAGCTGTCGTATTCACAGAAGCTGACGGTTTTTCTTTTTGCTACTATCGGATATCTGTCTGGAATCTTTCTTGTTATGATTTTCATACGGTTTAGCAAACCGCTTATCAGTAGACCTTCAAGAGGAAACTTTACACTGACGCGCTTGCAGGTGCCAGTCCATCTTTTAGTGGAACGCATTGAAGTGGCGCCCCCCGTAAGGATAGATTGAAGGACACGCTCTAACGCAGTATAAGTATAAATGCCAGAGGTCCGAGAGGCCCTAAAGCAAAACGGTGTTGTCTAATTTGAATTTTAAAGATAGAGAAGCTGCTATAGCATGTAATCTTTAAAACGGCCTTTTTGTAACTCGGAAATCATTTGGATTAGGCATTGCAATGCTTCGTATTTGCAACGTCGTTACCGTGTTTGTTCCTGTTACATGCAGTGGACTTCATAAAAATGTTGCATCCACAGCTGTATAGCGCAACGCATCTATGTGGATATTGTGTACTACCTTTTGAAGTTCAGTGTAAGTACTAGGTTTGCAAATAAATCTTTGAATCACCAGTTAAGAAAGATTTTTTCGCCAACTTGATACGCTTAATGAAATGCGTAATGGAAAACAACAGCAAAACTCAGACTCCTTCAGTCGTGTGGAAAGACTCGTGCCGTTGAATGCAGAGCCTAAACACTTCCCTTGGCCTTTTACAACGAATCAGTGATAGAGAAACTTTTATCTTAACTGTTACGGTAATCTGGACGAAATCGAATGCTTATCAGGAACACCGAACACACAAACTCAGAAATCCTTAAAGGAATTCCAACAGGAGTCCTACACGACCGTCTTACTTCTCACTTCCGATCGTCAAAGTTGTCGGCCCCAAGATTACGACTCATTTACGAGCATACCACACGTCAGGTCAATATGCACATATAGTACTTCCCGTCAAAGATTATCACCAAAGCACGATACAAAGAAATTTGTCACACATAAGTAACTAATCGTTAATAATGTATAATATTGAAGTAACACAATTTTTAGTGAACAGCTTGCTGATTACGTGGCTCAGGCCCCTGACCGGCATTACATTGTACGAGTACATGAAGAACTCTGTGGTATCTTGCACGAAAATATCTGCTCTCTTGTTTCAGAGTTGAGCAGAAAATTAATCTATACATGGAAAACGGTCGCTTTGGCAAACCCTCTTTTTTTCCCATGCAGTTAAGTTTCTGCTGCAAGTAAATTAATTACTCGGCACAATACGCTTTTTCCGTCTGCTAAATGCTAGTTTTCGATATCCGACTTCACCCATGAAGTGAATTGCCGGCAGTTACAAGAACGGTAGCGCAGTGATTTCATAATTAACCTTCTGTGATACAGGAAATGCAATTAGCTGCACCCATTTTTCACGTAAGATATTTGGCATTCATTCAGCAACCGATCGGTACAACTGTAATTGTACTCACAACACAGTTCATGGAAAACAGTATAATACTTGGTTCCGGTCTTCGTGTGAAAAAGATATGTGATCGTATGCCACACTGCATTTTTTTCTACGTTCCTATAACGATAGTACTGTACAGATACGACTTGTAGTAGACGATAAATACCAAATTGAAGTATTTTATTATCAGAAGCATAACTCAGACATTAGCATGTTTTTTTTAGGAATAACTTTTCTGTGGCGTTATTAAGCTGCGGGCTTTCTCCATGCAGCTTCATGTACAGATAACCGGTTCATATGCTACTTTTACACATATGACATATGCTACATTTTCAGAAAAAGTTACTGGAACGGATCACGCTCAGTCCGAAGCCGCAGTTAGTGGCCGTTCTCAACACTAGCATCCTATCTGTTACCGCACTGATATACCGAAGACACGTGGAAATTAAACACGCTAAGCAGGAATATTACTGGAATTAGGAGTGCGGCTTTGGTCAACGATGTGGATATCAACCGTGTTGATACTGATAGTCTCGTTGGCAGCAGTCGGTGTATGTGATCCTTCCTCTTTCGTCCGTATTCGGTGCTGTAAGTTGGACTAATACGAACTCCTTCTGCTTTTAGGTACTTAATACTTTTACCAGCATGTGGCAAAAGTGCATTTTGCCCTGTCTGGTCCCACTTTTAAGTATTTAAATCATTCGCGCTGAGTGGTACTGAAAGTACGACCAATTTTGTTGCTACTTTGTATAAGGCTATCGTAGTAATACCTTGCTTAGGCTATCGTAGATATTCTTTGCTCTTAAAGTTAGTTATGTAAACACGCATAGTAATGCGAGCTTAGTAGGTAATCACAGAAATGGCTATTTATTTCTTGAATGGGTGTTCACCACCGATTCACCAAACCTGCTAGTAGTTACCTTGAAAAATGTAATCTGTCACCTGTGACCTTTTGTTGAATTCACATAGCGGACTGCGCCCTGCGAGGGTGTACGTGTGATACAGAAAACGACATATGTGCGTGCTCGCGCGATTCAGTAACCGGGCCTAAAAAAACGGTGGCTCGACGCCTTGATGGATGCAGTAAGTCTTCCGAGTTCACCATGCAGTAAGTTCACCATGCTGTCGGCAGCAGTTTTTAAAATCGTTGTCTGCGGAATGCTTCTTGCTACGTCGCTTCTAAACTATTGAATTTTAACGGGTGTCCCCAGATCTGGCTGCAATCGACGCGCAGAATATTTGTACAGACTCATGCATTTTGTTATCATTGTAATTAATAAAATAATAGGTGCCAGCATTTTGCATAGGAAATATAATTGTTCTCATCTGCAGTTGACTGCGGGTTTTGCTCTGGTGTTTGTGACGAAGCCCAAAACAGATGTACTGTATCCGCTCGCACATCTTGAACCACAGAGTCCGTGTACGGGAAAAACACGCATTCAATATACACACTCTAACCGGGCAAAATGCACGACTACGAAATATTCCTCATTTGGTTTCAAGATGAACAGTTCTTCTTGTGAATTTTTGTTTATTAAATCAAGTCTTTTCATTTAAATGGCAATTCACTCTGGAAAAAAAGGTTCTGTAGCTGAAAGCTCGCATTGTTCGGTGGTTCATCGCCATCAAGAATGTTGACGCGGAACGTACCCCTCCCCCTCCAGGGGCACCCCAAAAACCACAACAAAATCCGTTTGTAACTCGTGCTTACGCCAAAGCTGTATGTTAATGGCTGCTTTCGAGCCTAAACATGATAAAAATTGTTAGAGCTCTAATTTTTTTCATTATTCAAGAAGTTCTCCAGTCCAGATGTTGTAAGACATCAGAAATTTATCAAATCGCGAATCGCGCGTTTGGCCCGGTTAGAGTGTGTATATTGAATGCGCGTTTTTCCCGTACACACACTCTGTGGTCCAAGATGTGCGAGCGAATACAGTATATGTGGGGACGAACTGATGAGAACTACAGAAGGACCGTTTAGCCGTTTCCGTACCACTAAAAATAAGCCCCTGTTCTCTTTCGGATGTACAGAGAGTAAGTAAGAAAGACGATTAACCGCGCTCAGCAATGTGTATATTCAGGAATATGCGATCTTCTTATATCACCCAAGGGCCAGTAAAATTAATTATGTTATTTATGTATTGTCCCACATCAAATCATGAGTTCGGCCTGTTGTAGAAGAATGCGCGAAGAAAATTTGTCCGGATGGATCTGGTCATCAGAGTTGCATTAATGGCTTTGGATGCGGGTGTCCAGTGGCTGCTTGACGGGCGCAATGAAGAAGCAGAAAACAAAAAGAGTCACACTTAAGAAAATGGTGATACTGATAATTAATAAATTAAATGGAGTTTTGTAGCGCAACGTGGCAGAGATACGCACTATCTGGCACGAAAATCTGAATGTTCTCCTCTTTCATGGACCATATTTAATAATAAAATAGCGCACAAAAATAATCGCATTTACAAAACAACCTCTGTTTTCCATGCAGTTTAGCCTAATCACATAATTTAATTGCTCGGCACGGTAATATATTTTCGCTTACTTAAATCGGTTTATTTGGTTGCCTGCTTTGGCCCGGTTTCACCGAGAGGTAAATTGCCAGCAGCTAGCCGAATGAAAGTGGAGTGGTTCATAATTAAACTTGTGTTCTACGGAAAATTAATGTTGCTGCACCCATTTTCAGCGGTACGTAACGTGTTTGACATTTATTTAAGCGTTCCAAAGTCCAGAAATAAATATCTCGCAACATAATTCACGGTATAATAGTTATGACCATAGTTTGATTAATGTCTTTATGCGACAAAACTAACGTACCTATTCGTGTATTCTACTGCTTTTCTACATATTCAAGCATCCGACACGGATTTGTAACAGGTGTTCAGTTCAACGCCAATAAGGTACTATGTATATTAAAACGTTTGGTTGACTTCAACTGAACAATTTTGTAGTTGCGTTATGATACATTCAGGGCTCTAGGAACGCTGTTTCATGTATTCGTAGTCATACAAACTACTGTAGTACGAGTACATTTAATTTTTACTCGTACTTCAACACTTTTCTGTGAAAACTTGACATCAAAAGAGGTCACGCTTAGCCTGCAGGCTCAGTCAGTGGCCACTCTCAGAATTATGAAAATGAAAAAAGTACCTCATGATTTGTTGCACCGCTGATTTACGGGAGACACTCGGGAAGTGAAGTGCACTAATTAGAAAATACTAACTTTATTTTGGCCAATCATGTGGGCAACTATCGTTTCGTTATTGATCGCTTCACTGGCAGTATTTTGTGTTTGTGATCCTTCTTCGTTCGTCCGCATTCGGTGCAGTAAGTGGAATAATCGACTTTGGTAAACTTTCCCGCTAGTACTTTCAGTTAGTTATGTAACATTAAATTTGTCCGATTTGTGTCAGTTCTCATCCTCAATGTAGAATCAAAACAATAATTGTCTAAAAGGTCGGATTCAGCTCAATGTATCTGCAGCTGCTGCTGCTTGCAATAGGTGCCTTTCGTCAGTAACCCTGTTTTATTTTACGTAGCGGACTGCGCCCTGCGAGGATGTACGTGTGACACAGAAAACGACATATGTGCGTGCGCGCGAGATCCAGTCACCGGACCTCAAACACCCGTGGCTCCACGCCCACGCGGCAATGAGTGCAGTAAGTCCAACAGTCCACCATGTAGTCTAGGGTAATTTTTTTCAGGCATAAAGTGATAACCTGCCTGCTAAGTCCTCAGTGTATCGTTCCTAAAACTGGTCTAATCGGCGATCGCCTCGATTTTATTAGATTTGGTCGCAGGGGTATCCAGGCTCTCACCAATATAGTTATCATACTATGGAAATGATACGATCCTATCACATTGAAACGTTTTCGTTTGCAGCTGACTGCGGGTTTTGCGATTGTGGTGTCGAATCGACGAAAAACAGGGATTTTCCGTGGGGTTTCCCTACTACCAAAAAATTCCAATTAATGTCCTTTGGCGGATGTAGACAGGGTAAGTAGGAAAGGCAGCTTTTCATTCACATTTGACAATTTGCATTTTTCTTTTTCGTATCAAAGGTGTTGGAACAGTAATGATATGCTCAAATTAAAATACTGTCGTTTGGCTTGTTGCAGAAGACTGTGCCAAGGTCATTTGCCACGATGGATCTGGTCATCAGTTTTGCAATTACCCCATTGGTTGCATGTGCCCAAGCCAGATGAAGGGATTGTGATCTAATAATAAGTCTAATCAATTATCAATGACGTGCACTAATGGTAAAAAAAATTGAAAAGTGCCACTGTTTATCCGTACACTGGCGTACAGTACAGAGAAACAGTTATGCATCGGTGCCATCGAAACGTACAAGCCTGTCCGATAATTTCTGTCGTAAAGGTACAGCTAGCGCGAAATTTGCGCTTAAAACCATAGCCACGTCACTGCGCTTATCAGATTGCCTAAATGCGCTCCGCAGTTAGATTGTCCATTACTACACCGACGGTTTTTGAGCCGCCTTGCGCCAGGCAGTTACTGTTATGCTCATTAAATTATCTGGCATGCACCAGGCCACCAGCCAGCCAGGTGCATGTTACGTATTAAAACAGTGTGGCGTGGCGCGTCGTAGCATGGAGTTTGGCGTAACACGCAAATTTGTGTTTTTCGTTGTATTGAACCGGCAGAAATTACCGGACAAGCTTGTACACAGTTGGCGAACGAATTAAGACGCTCATATGATCGAATAACAGGTTTTCGAACCATTTACGGTATTCAGTTTACTTTATTCTTAGGAATTGTTTGAAGTTATTGGCGGTAATTTAGAGACTGTTGAGTACACTTCTGCTTCTTGTAAAATGGTACTAGTACCAGTACCACTGTAGTCTGTACAAAAACAAATCTACACATGTTTTAGTAAGACTGTTATTACTTGTTAAGTCTATAGTACGCGACACGCGTTGAAAACATTGAATTATTTTATTCTTCAATACGTGCATTCACTGCATTGGTAGACGAGAGCGCAGCTTTAAGGAGTGGAGTAAGTTTTAACGCATACGGAGTATTTGATTAGTCGTTGCGCTTTCACCAGCTCACCAAAGCTCCCGTATGATGAGACATGCTATTATGATTTGTTCAAAAGTTTATTTTAAGCAGTTAAGCTTTGTTCTTCTTCGAAAAATTTAAGCGCTTCTACGTCTTTATGTCGGAAAGAAAAACCAGAAATTCACAAGAAAACTAAGCTGCGGAATATTGAGGCAAGTTTTTAAAAACTGTGGCGGCGTCTTATGGTTAGCGGAAATTAATCATCTTTGCTGGAAAAAACAGCTTTTGGCCTCTTCCGAACTTATAAATCGAAATTGCTGGAGGGTTATTACTTTTTGAGTACTTTGGGTTCGCCTTTTTCGCAATGTGTGCATTGGTTTTGCTGATCCAGTTTCAGAACTGGTCAAAGCTGCACCTATATGTATTTAGTTGCGTCCACGTTTTCCGGTGCTACATAAGCCACTTTGTGTACAGCATCATGTACTGACTACATGGCAAATGCAAAAACTTGTGCTTGCTTATAAAGAAAGGTATGAGCAGTAAAGCTGTACGAGGTACGAGTAATTCAAGTTACCGGTAGTCGCCACTTCTGTTTTATCGTTTCTGGTTGCATTCGCCCTACTTTAAAACGAAGTTAAACGATCATAAGTCGTATTCTCGTTAGAAACAGAGGTATTAAGACCCAGTAAACTTTTACCAAATTAGCTTAATTAAGAGAAGCAAATTAATGCCATGTACTGTCGTTGTAGAGTTTAGTCCCGTAAAAAGTGAGACCGGACAACAATCACAATTAAACCAAATAAACACCACTCTGACAGCACTGATTTTGCAACAGAACTTTTAAGCGCAAGGGTAGAGTTGACGCTAAAATTTCCTCCTATGGGAACAGACGAACGGAGAAGCGTATTGGATAGTAGTCTAGGAATATAATAATCAAGTGAGGTTGCGTTGGAGTCCTCCGGTGTCAATGGTAGCGGTGGGGGACAATTGTCGCCCCGTGGTCCGTTACATCGAAAGGCCTCCATGATAGCGTTATTAACGCGCTCGTTGAGATCTTGAGCCTGCACTCCGCATTTGTCAGCCACTTCTGCACGGTAACACTCTCCATATGCTTTCCAGGCGCTACAACCAAACAAGTGTTAATTATGCATTAATGTAAACAATTAGGGATAAAAGACAGTTCCGGCGATCATTAGTTAGTAGCGGTAATTATGAACGTAAGTCTAAACCAATATGGCAACATTTATCTAAAGTTTCGATTTCGACGAATTCGAATATGTTTGAAAAATATTTTTAAATTTGAAGCAATACTGTATAATACCCTTTATGTGAGACTTACACCGAAATTATTCAACCTGGAATCAGTACCTTACCAACAATATTGTTTCATTCTGCTACCACTGCGCCATGCTGCCCATACATCGGTGCTATTCTCAAAAAAGCTGGTTTGCCCAATCTCCTTGAAAGCTGATCGGCCACAAGCAATTGCCGGGCTGGCAATCTGTTCAAGGACGTCCTGGCAGCGCAGTATCGTTTGGAGGTTGCTATACGAATCCGGAAGATCGCAGGCTGTGAGCAGCTCCATCCATCCGGCATACAGATCGTGAATGTCCGGAAAGAAGCGAGTACTACCTCTGCATTCCATGCTTTCTTTAGTGCATCCAAGTGTAGTCTTGCCAAATCTTTAACGGAAATGGTTGAAAACAATTGTCAATATGGTTTACCAGACCTTGGTCTTCCAAGAAGAATTTCCTTGCGCTTTGAATGTTTACGTAATGTACAAAATAAATATATGTTCGTACCGGCAAATATCCGCGAGCAGCGATTCATTGACGTTTGCGCTTAGTCTCATCCGGAGCAGTGGCACAAATTCCTGGTTTTTTTTGTATTTTTGCACCGGATCATAACATTTTGTGAAGTTCTGAGTTTCACAGTTTATCGACACATTCATAGACACTACGAAACTTAGCGAGACTGAAACTAGAATAAGTGCGAGGAACGCCTTGACGTTTGGCATTGCTTGGTACTTGCAGTTCGTAGTCTGTATAAAGTATAAACGTTTAAAAACAGTCCCGTAACGTCTAAAAGTATAGCGATAAACGTTTCGGTTGTTCCATATGCACTTCCTTTTTGATACTAAATTTCATGCGTGCATTAGCATTCGAACCAGTTTTAGAGCATATTTACTTTTACACGCTTGCGGCACTTCCACATTCAGTTTGCTTTTCCGTTTTCCGCCACCACCCGCATGACTACATACCGCGAAACTAGCGCTGAACTCTGTTGTATACTCATACGTTTCCAGTAATATTGTCAGCGCAGCTTTGGATTTCTCTGAAGACACAATACGCATAACCTACCGGTTCTAGGATTACTTAATAGATAACATTCGGCTTTCCAAAGATAAACAGAGAAAACTTACACTTCTATGGATTGGAACAACACTTGGAAACCTTTTTCGCTTCCACACACCGCCCAAAAATACCATTGCGTTTACTCTGTTGATTGCTATGAATTGGAATACTATGAACGAATTAAGGGTTTGTTACAGTTTTCAAGGTATACAACTGTATTTATAAATTCTTGGGATAATAACGAAATTGAAGTCATTTTGCCAGCACAGCTTGCTCGGATGCATCGCTCACCAACCCTGCGTTTAAACGAAGCTAGGGACTATTCTACGTAGAACAAATTACAAGTTTCTTCTTCACCAAAGGCTATTGCGCAGCAGTAAAACAAGCAACAGACCTGCAAGAAGTCACCGTGGTTAGATTTTCGTCGAAAAAGGGATGATTCCCTTAGGCCACTCGAACCAACAAAGCCACCGGTACCTCTTAAACCATCCACTCCACTGAAACACCCCAACCAACCCTTACCGGCGCGGCGGCGCCTAATGATTTTTGGATATACAGTACAACCCGCGTACCTCATCCTCGGCCGTCGGGGCCGATTGTACCGGACAGCTTTCCCAACGTGCACCAAAGCACTTGAATGGTACTCGTACAGCATTATTCACACTGGGGACGATGTCTGGCGCCATTGGTCCACACATTTTTTAACAATCTCTGTTTTTTATGCAATTAGATTTGCTAAGGTCAGAATTAAGAAAATACAAAATCATTTATCCTCTTTCCGTTGCGAAATTCAAGTACGAAAAATATACAATGTGCAATAATCGTAAATGGGCTGAATAAACACCAGTCTGATACGAATGCTCTTGAAACGTAGCTTTTCATTAGAAGACTGAAGCTGACATTAGTTTCCTCCTATAGAAGCAGACGAGCGCAGCAGCCCAGGCATGTAATAATCGAGTGAATGTTTGTTTGAGTCGTCCGTTGTCAACGGTAGCGGTGGGGGGCAGTTGTCACTTGTCACCCGTGGTCCGTTACATCGAAAGGCCTCCATAATAACGTTAATAACGCGCTCGTTGAGGTCCTGAGCCTGAACTTCGCATTTGTCAGCTATTTCCGCACGGTAGCACTCTCTGTATGCTTTCCAAGCGCCACAACCAAAGAAACGCTAATTATGCAGTTCACACATAGTCACATATCTGTACAAGACCGTGCCGAAAATTAGTAAGTAATAAGCACAAGTAACTACGAAGACAATTCTAAACTACAAACGTAGCGGTTGCCTGCTACTTCCAGACAGATTTAATTACTGTATATGGTTGAAAATTCTTTTAAAATTTGACTAGAATACAATGCAACTTGTTTAAGATTTAGAAATGCGTTCATAGCTATTAGATACGTAATTTACAAGAAAGGACGTAATGAATCCTAAATGCACTTTAACTGCAGCACTCCGTAGGTGACTATTACAGACAAACAACGAAACTATTTCACTCGATATTAGTATTTTACCAACAATGCTGTTTCATTATACTGCCACTACGCCATGCTGCCCACATATTGTTACTATTCTCAAAAAATCGGGTTTGGCCGATCTCCTTGAAAACCGATCGAAAATAGGCAGATGCCGGGCTGGCAGTTTGATCAAAGGCATCCTGGCAGCGCAATATCGTTTGCAGGTTGTTATACGAATCCGGAGGATCGCAGGCGTTGGAACAGCTCCACCCACCCGGCATATTCCGGACATATTTTCACAACATGGGTAAATGGCGTACCGGAAATTAGTGACCTGGTATTCTCGGTGTTGTGCAACATGAAAAAGTTTTCAAAAGCTGATTTCATGAAAATCGTTGTTCTTAAACAATCTTGTATGTGACATTGATCAAAAATTATCAGGTTTTCTAAGGAGGAACAGCGTAGAGAATACTGTATCTGGTGTCCGGTATGCAAATCCATATTGTGAAAACGTCTGGAATGCAAAACACGTCGCACTATGCGCAAATGTATGTAGCGGCGGTGCCGCTTACGTGTGTACGAGTGCAGTTGTATGAGACGTACGGGTAGTTCAGATTGCCCAGTTTAGGCTATTTAAGCGCAGCGACGACTAATGTGATGAGGTCATTCTCTGGCTTTCTTGGATTTCGGTCTGGAATTAAAGAGAATCTGGCCCGTAGTCTGGGTTTCTGGTGTTTCTATCCTCCTAGTTCTAATAGAATGTAAGGAAATAGGGACCCGTTTATCCAACTACGCTACAATTGGCGCTCCTGGGTGCTACGACGGTAGCCGACTTTTCGACGGCATGGACGTTTTCCATCGTGGATCCTGTATTTGCCTGGCAAGGACCGCGCAACCTCGCCGTGGAGGAGAAGAATCCACAGTGGATGACCTTCCGTGACCGTGGATTGTCAGCCGAAGCAAGAGCATGAAAGGAAGAATGGATGGAGAGAAGTGTCTGTGCTGATTTTCCTATTCTCAGGAGTTACAGTGAGATTAATTTTCTTGAAAATTCATTATTTCCTTTTAGTGAGGAGTGTCTAAAATCGCTGAAATTTTCTTGACAGAAATATTAATGAATTATTCTCGCATTTCACTTCAGTAGTTTCCTTGTGCGCGATTGTTTACCGTTGATGTTGCTTTTCCGACTGACGGTGTTCTTCTATTCAGAAAGTTTCTAATGATAAATTAAGGCACAGTTTAAAGGATTGCGAGAATTTTCAAGATTTTTCGATTTTGTTAACTGAATGATTTAGTTTACTAATAGTCTGAAATTTGCTGCGACTATTAGTTCCTTCATTGAGGATTGTTTTAGAATGTGATGACTCTGTTAATAGCTGATTTTCCTTCAGTAGGAATTAGAAGGTGATAATTTCGCCCTTCTAAATTTTATTCTTGAATTTAGTTGGTTGTTATTTGGCTTAAGTATTGGAATATTCTAATTAGGAAATACCGAAATTAAGAATTTGTTTTAATTGAGAAATGAATATTCTGCGTTCAGAAATAATTGTGCAGATGGTGTTATGATGATGATGTATGTTGTGATGATTTAATGGTTGTTGTTCTATTTGAGAATTTATTTGTGCCGGAGTTTTTTCTGAAGAATGACGATGTTGTGTAGAAGTTAGAGTAAGATCTTTTATTATTATTTTACGGAGAAAGGGGTCTTCCGCCCATGGTTGTTTTTTTTGTTAATGGCATTCCTGTTTTTCTATCCCGGAGAAAGGGGTAGTGTAGCGGCGGTGCCGCTTACGTGTGTACGAGTGCAGTTGTATGAGACGTACGGGTAGTACAGATTGCCCAGTTTAGGCTATTTAAGCGCAGCGACGACTAATGTGATGAGGTCATTCTCTGGCTTTCTTGGATTTCGGTCTGGAATTAAAGAGAATCTGGCCCGTAGTCTGGGTTTCTGGTGTTTCTATCCTCCTAGTTCTAATAGAATGTAAGGAAATAGGGACCCGTTTATCCAACTACGTTACATGTACGTACTTGCAAAAATCCGTGAGCAGCGATTCGTTGATGTTTGTGCTCAGTCTCATCTGGAGCAGTTTCTCGGTCATATCATACTGGTATTTTTGCACCGGATCATAACATCTTATGAAGTTTTTAGGTTCACAATTTATTGACAAGTTCATAGATACTACAAAACTGATATATGGACGATTTCGTACCACTCCAAGTATTCGACCCATTGTTTTTCAATACGTATGCTTGTTATTCTTGCGTATTCCACCGGCATTCTGGTGTGTTTTGCCGGTATTCCGCCTTACCGCTCAGCATCCATTAATCCACTGTACACTAGGCCCTGTATTCCTCGTATTCCACCGGTATTCTCGCGTGTTCTGACTGTATTCTTCCGTATTCCTTCACGTCTCCTTATGTTTTATCAGTCAGAATACCCGCGTAATACAGGCAGAACACGCGACAATACCGGTGAAATACGGGGAATACAGGGCCCGCTGCAGAGAGACAAGAAACCTAAGAAACCTAAGAATATCTTGGAATACCTAAAACTGCAGAGAGAATACGCACGAACACCGGTGGAACCGCTCCGTTTTCAGTAAGTGTCTCTCTGCAGCGGGTTCTGTATTCCCCGTATTTCACCGGTATTTCGCGTGTTCTGCCTGTATTCCGCGGGTATTCTGACTGAGAAAACATAAGAACACGTGAATGAATACAGAAGAATACAGGCAGAACACGCGAGAATACCAGTGGAATACGGAGTAGGACCCCCTGTAGAGGAACACTTAATGGATACGGAGAGGATAAAGGCTAAATGCAGGCAGAACACGAACGAATACCGGTGGAATACGCGGGAATACTAGGAATACGTAACGGAAAATAATGGGTTGCATTTTTGGAGTGGTACGAAACGAGCCATAGGTGACAAAACTTGGCAACACTGTTATTATCTTAAGCACGAGGAATGCCTCATCGTTTAGCATTCTTGTTTAGCTACAGTAACTAACTTGTATAACAGTTTTAACAGCAAGTAAAGTCTAAAAAATTAGCAGTAAATCCTTTTGCTTGTTCCGTGTACACGGCTGTTTTGATACTAAATTTCATGTGCACATTAGCATTCCAGTCAGTTTCGGCAATAACAAAATAAGATTTTACACGCTTACGGCATATCCGCAGTTCGTTGCTTTTCAGTTTGGACCACCACCGGAATGACTGCATGCCGTGAAACAGATGCTAAACTTTATTGTGCTTTCCGGTGTTTCCGGTACAAACTATCACATAATTTTTGGATTTTCTCTGAAGACAGAACAGGAACAGCCTGCGGACTCTAGCATTACTTAAAGTTTTCTGCTTCCACTCTCTGTTTAAAAATACTACTGGCTTTAATCTGTGGATTTGTAAGGCTATAAATAAATTAGTATTTTCTGCAAATTTCTCATTGTTTTACAGTAAGGGTTTTTTTATATATGTCGGATAGCAATCATATATGTTCGTTTATGCATCGAAGATTTGTTGATCCGTAAAGTTTATATCCGTCCTGTTTGCTTTAATTGTATTTATTTTGTAAATTAAAGTCAGTTGTACGCAACAACTATTACGCTGAACTATAATAAGCATGATTTACAGTGATCGAAAATTTAGGAAAAACGGAAGTAGTACTCCAATGCAGTGAGAAGTTGCGCCGCATTTTACTGCTATCCAAAAATGCCATCAAATTACAGTACAGTTGACCCTTTTATTAGTGGTAACCAGTTGCTCTTAAAATGCCGTAAGCTCCTTTGCTACGATTTATCTGCTATAGTTAAGTAGCTCCTGCTCTTCTCCTCTGGTTCGAAACACGAGTAATAATTAAAACACCCATGTGTTCGGTATTAGTAATATTATCAGCATGCGCTACTTTATCGTTGCTTCGATAAGGCTGACAAGACCTACGGCTGATAAGCAACTTAGCAGCTCTTGTAATTCGTAAATGCGAATGATTATCCTTGTGGCTCTGTTCTCGTTTAACGTGCGTAAACAACAGAATCACAAAATAATCGGATTTATTCGTACTTTGAAGTATGCTTAATCGAGTACGACGGATATGTATCTCCGTTTCCGTTTTGTTCGGAGTATGGCGCAGGCTCGGGTTGTCTTTACGACACCTGTTCGAGGTTGTACGGAGATACCTGGAGCCGCATCAGCATCAGCTACCAAGTGGACGAAAGTAACCGAAATCAGCCGATCGAAGAGTGGTAAGGTGTCTCCACCAGCCCATCCCGTTACTAGTGATGCACATACTGTAAATAATGCGCTCAAGTAAATAAAATTAAAGCAACCGGTAGAATACACTGTCTTGCGTTTCTGCAGATGATACCGAAAAAGGCAATGCGGAAAATTTCGCTAGCACAGCAGCAGACAAGAGAAATTCTTCGACGGAAAACGGAGGGCACGGCAGTTCGCCAAACTGTGGAAACCAGAAGTGGGTTTCCTTGATTGCCTGTTTCATCTAATTATTATGCTTTTCTTTGCTTCGGAGTGAGCTTATCTCGGAAATGTTTAGCTGCGCACCCATCAATGGCGTTCATGACAATTGTAAGCGTTATGGCCATGCAGTTGCAAATACGGTATTTGGTGTAATTTATTGAATATAAGTTGTAGGAGATTATTTTTTGTGACTTTTCAGTGAGTCTGCCTTTTCTTCACAATGGAAGGGTTCTAAATCCAGTGCGAGATAACAACAACAATGTAATTGGATACATGTTTGAAAACCAAATATCTGCAGGTACTGCTGATTTCTAAGTCTGAACATAATAATTATACTTTAACTCGGTGCTATGATGGCGGCAAACCTGACTGATGCAGCGGCATGACCGCCAACTGTGCCAACGGCAGTGTATCTGTATGCTAAGTTGCAGACTTTAGTTAATGATAGTCGTCTTTCTTTTCGAAAATAAGAGAATGCGGATTTGACAAATGGTAAATGTGATGAAGGAACCGATAATGCAAAGGAAAAACCGGAAAGCCGCGACGCAACGAAGAATACTGCCGGACAAGGAGGACAACCAATTACTAAGGACGACCTGGTAGCTAAAACATGGGCTCATTAGATAATGCCAATAATGTACACATGTTATCATGCTAGGTGATAGTGACAATAACAGTTTTTTTTATACAGCGAGCTGTCTACCGATTCATCATGGAAAATATCCATTACGTCTGGGTCGCAGCTGCGTTCGGTATCACTTGTGGATTTAAGTATTTGATTTTGCTAGGCCTGATAATGTTAATGTTTATAAAACTCTAACCAGGGCACATAGGCATCCTCCAAATTCAGAAAATTTTCGTTTTTTGTAAAAAGATAGTATACTATTCTAGTATGCTTAAAAAAATATTTTCAGCTGCCATCGTCAAGGAGGCGTGGCCACAGAACAATTGAAAGTTTAAAAATCACATACTTGATACTGCTAAATCATATACTTGCACAAGTACTGGATTTTTTTTATTTCGCGTTACGAGCAACAATATTTTTCACACATTCTACATAAGATTATGAGAGGCTAAAAACACAAGCGAGTTACACAGCAACATCTAAAAACACAGGCGGGCGAATAACAGAAAAGATTAACAGAAAAGACTGCACAAGTTTTTCGTAATACTATGCTTGCTTCTTACTGCAGCACAGTGGACTTTCACAGCTGTCGAACAGCGATGTCGTAAAAGAAGCCCACTTGCGGCGGCTCGTGCCGTTGATGCCTAAGTGCACATTTTCGAAAATTTGTTATGAAGTGCAGCACGTTCTGCTTAGAAGAAAAAATTTTTTTCGCACAGGTTATTGTTTACAACGCTAATCGACAGCTGAAAAGTCCACGGTGCTGAATCAAGAAGTAAACGTACTCTAATAATTACGAATAACTTGTGCAGTGCTGCACTGCAATACACAGTATGAAGTATGTGATTTAGCCCACTTTTAATTGTTCTCTGGCCACTCCCCTTTGACGATGGCAGCTGAAAATATTTTTTTACGCATACCATAGTAGTATACTACCTTTTTACAAAAAAATGAAAATTTTTTGAATTTGGAGGGGGCCTATGTGCCCTGGTAAGTGACCGACAGATCACAATGGGCCAGAAACAACCCAAAGCCATAACAAGCAAACATGTATCACATCATAACGGTCGTACGCTTGGTATCCAGGCTGTAGCAGCCATTTTCATACCGTGAAGATTATATAAAATGGTAAAATCGTGATTTAGCTTTATTGACAAGCACGAGCAAAGCAGTAACCAAATAGTAACCAAATTATAGCTTAAAAGCTGTTTTGATATCCTAGCCCTGTGCATTTGCGTCACCCACAACCTCTCCATCTAAAAGACCCCGGGACTATTCAAGGAAGAATTGAAACGTTTTACTTTCACAAAATGCTAAACTGCGCAACGTAAAGCTAAGTTACCAAGATGAGCTACTATCCTTGAAAAAGTGACGTTCCTCCCAGGCCACTCAAACCGCCGAAACCACCGGCTCCTCCTAAGCCACTTAAACCGCCGCCACCCCCTAAGCCTCCCATACCCCCAAAACCACCCATACCGGCGCCGAATAATTTTTGAATATCGAATCCGCCTGCTTCGTCCTCGGCTGTCGGAGCCGGCTGTACCGGGCAGTTTTCTCCACGTGGCCCGTAACACTTGAACGTCTCTCGTATAGCATTATTCACACGGGTGGCGATGTCTTGCACCTCCGCTCCACATTTATCGGCAATCTCGCTTCCCGTGCATGTTTCATACGAATTCATCATGCTAAAAATATTATGCACGATTTTTATTTTTTTACTTGTATTGTCCAACCGCCACGGTGCATATTTACCAGCACATATTCCGGATAAGGTCACGTCTTTTCACCAAGGCTAGCGCGTTTTCGACGCGGCCCGGACCGGCGTTCGTGGGATAATCATTCATAACGGTTCTCATTGCCGCATTAAAACACCCACGTGTCTTACTGGATGTCTGGTTTATAATTTTGGTGCATTGTGCCATGAGATGATATTTGCTGTAGAAATCCGGCCGGTCACAGACGTCCATCAATTTGATCGAACCGGTCAGCATTTCGTATGTGTCGGCCATTTGGCTGGGTTCTAAATAGCACTCTGCCATATCCTTGACACAACCCATAACAGTCCGACCCATTCTGTACAAAGGAGAGATTGTAAAACATTTTTAAAACCGAGGCGTACAGTAGCTAAAACCCAAACGGACTAACTTGCAGATGCCGACGAGCTGTGCTTCGGTGATTTGCGAGGCATCCTTTGTGTTCATGATTTGCTGATAGTCCGGACCGAGGATGTACATTAAAGTTGGGGCCATGCACATCAGTAAGCTGTTACTGTCGGTGTTAGCACACGAATTTGTTGATGACAATGAGCGCGCTGAAATCGAGACAACGGCGGCCATCGCCAATACAACAAAAATTCTTCCTAAATGCATTGTTCTTGCCGCCCTGTTTTGGATAAAAATTAGATAAAAGAATTACGAGTATTATCTTTCGCTAACTCGCTAGTAGGGTTGGCATCTGCACTGATTACTTTGCTGATATACGGTATTTAAGATCAGTTGCATCATAACCATATGATTAAATCATCGTTCGCCTAAGGCAGACGATGAGTTTTGGTAGTTTTTTCTTGTTTTTACGACACAAGGCCCAGTAAAAGTGTGCCATAAAACAGCCAATTCTTTGCAAACTCGTTTGTACTGCAATAAAAATACTGTATGATGTATATGCTGTTTATTCGGACAGTTGCAATAGACTGGATTGGGCGTATTTCCGAGAAAATGTATGCTGTATGTACTTTCAGGATTGTTTGTTCATAACAGCATATTCCAAACTACAACAAAATATAGGGAGCCGAGCAATGAAATAAGTGGCACCTTAAAGTACAACAGCAATAAGCTGCGGACAAAAAAATACAGCAGCAACATGGACATATCACACAACCGTCGCTGTGCTTAGGCGTGATCGAAACTCACATATAAACCTGATTAAAAAAACCTGTTCTGTCTTCCAAAACAGCTAAACAAATTGTTTTGAATATGAAACACTGCCACTGGGTATAACCAGCCGAATAACGTATAAACTTTGCAGCTTTACATGGACAGATGCACTGAGATCCATGTTTTCTAAGTGTTTTGTAAGGCATTGCCGAGCGTACTGTCACAAGGGATGCGTGAACTCAAAAACCCTCGCCTTCGAACATTATCGCCAGCTTTACTTAAGAAAGAACAAGACCCTGCAAAATTGAGTTCTAAAGCGTTTCAAAGTTTTTCTCAACCCTACAGATCACAACGTATTGGGGTGGAATGTAGGCTAATATTCCCAACTTACTAAGCAGAACAATTGACCAGTACTTATAGAAGTATGTTCAGAGATCGTGCAGCTACGTACATCCTGCACTTTGAGTTAACCCCGTGTTGCATTCACCAATGAGTTCTCGAAATTGCAAAAGAAAGTCTCACTGATGACATGAAAGAAAGAAAGACTCACTGATGACATGAAAAACAGGGTGGACCAGTGGGATACTGCATATAGTTTTAGCTCTTAAGGTACTGGTCCATTGTTCGGTTTTTATGAGTAGTGCATGCGAACGATACTTCTGCCAGACAGAATCAGCGACGTTTTAATGGCAATGGCAACGAGTAAACGTACTCAGTTGATCTCATGTGCTCATGAAAAAGGACTATTTGGTCGCAACTAACCGTAGCCGCCAATGCTCGGCGAATGGTAACCGTAAGAGTGATACATCTTGATCCGTGTATTGTTACGCACACCGGCAGGGTTACTTTGTAACAGAAGAATCCGTCATATCGCATGTTATTGAGAGTGTCTTACAGGATTTCTAATTTTTCTTTGATTGCCGATTAATTGGCACAGCAATAAAGAATAAGTAGATACAATCAAAGGATCGGGATACTATAGTATAAACTGTATAATTATGTAATATGGTAAACATTAGCGCTATATCAAGAAAAGTAGAAAACTGGAACAAAATCTGTTAACCAGGCAATGGCGGGCAAGGACTGCAACACTAAATTTAAATACTTATTTACCCACCACGAAAGACAAAAAAATGCGATTTTATGATGCATTATTTTTTGTATTCTGGGCGTTATTCTGACGGCCTCTGCCGTTGCCCCGATGCTTTTTGCAGCGACCCTTTCTTGTCTGGTTCTCCAGTAATGGCGCACCTGGACTATTGCTTCCCATGTTTTCTTCCAAATTACACAGCATCTGTTGCGCAGACTGACCACCGTTACCAATGATCCCTCCGGCATTGATCCCGGCACTTGGTACACTGTTTCCAGACCCCGTTCCTGATGCCCCGTTAAGGCTAGGCAGCAGTCCAATTGGAGGCAGACCGGCCAACCCGCTGTTAGGAAGAGTCCCGGTATTGGGAGTACTTCCGCCGGTGTTTGGCAGTGCACTCACGGGACCGCTGGACGGACTGGCATTGATCTGGGCGCCGGCTCTGGGCGCGTTTCCGCTATTGCCGCTGCTGGCGCTAGAACCAACCGCTCCGTTGCCGTTGACTTTGGCATTGCTGCTGGACGATTGAGCCTTATTACTGTTGGATACGCTCGCTGCACCGCTACCAGTGTTGTCTGAACTTCCGCCGATGTTCGTGCCGGAGGATCCTCCGTTTGTGGTTTTGCCTCCGCCGTTGTTCGAGTTTCCAGCTATAGCAAGTACAATCAACCGTAAGAAAGTCTTATCGAGATATCGTTCGTTATCGCCACGTAGGACCGATATGCCAGTAAAGGTGATTCCAAGTACTGTAATACTCACACTTTGCCAATGTTTAACGGTATATAATAATAATTAGATTGTATATTATAGTAACTGTGGTTAATACAGCTCATGCCATAATACAGTGCTTGTGTGGTGTCGCACTCTTTGCAATGTCATCATTCACATCTGGGCATTTTAACATTACAGGAAATGCTGCAGTGTATTAAAGTACTTCTACAGTAAACCATGTACGTAGTCAAGACTTACAAGCTCTTCGGCTCCTTATACTTTGGTCGTCGGTTGGCAGGCCCTCAATAGCTATAACGCAACAAATTAATAGCATAACATTCATTTTGCTGGGTAATTCCATTTGAACTGATACAGAATAAAATGCGGCGTTACGACCGTACTAGTGCACCCGCCGGCAGATAAAGCAGTTCACCAAATACAACAAAAAAGCTTTACTACAACACTACCATTCTTGGTAGCGCATATATAACCTTTAACCTAATGCTTATTTGGGGTTGATGATTCAACTGGGTGGAAGAATCTTTGACTGCGAACTATATATCCACCAAACTGGCAATATCAGTAGAGAGTCCGCGTCTGCTCGGTGAAAATGGGTGAAATCAACGCGCATTTGTTGGAAGTTGGAATGTCCCCGTCTCCGTTTGTAAACACTTTATTAATGAAGCCTTATTGCTGTTTTGACCGAATGTTTAGCAAACGGCACAAAAATAAAGAATGCCGCAGGCCGTATATGCGTATGGACATAAATAGTAAAACGCTTGTTTACGGAAAACTGTACCGGCATAAACAAAGGTAATACAATCAATACTGTGGTCGGCATTTTACGTAAAGACTCAAAAGTGTAAATCTGTAAAAGGCGCATCACCCGAATATTCATCACGTAAAAAAACATGACTCATCAAAAACCGTGAGTAATGGTTGTACGCGGTATAAAGTTATCTTCTGTTCTACGGTTGGAACAAGTGCTACGGTTTAGTTTATTATAACTGGTGTTACGATTAGCGAAATACGTCCGCCACATTCGTCGGCTGCTTGTCGTGCCTGCTGCGGATAGGAACACAAAAGGCACTGTATGGGATCCAACAAAATCAACAGTGAGTGCACTGTTGCCTGAAAAAGACGAAAGCGCCGGATGCGCACTAAGCGCTGACTGGATTAGTACTTGCATTCACCAACCATTTCATTTCTCGACAACTGGACCCTCTTAGTTAATATTTTGACCAACCGACCACCAGCCCCGACCCCCGTTTGATGTTTTGATAGTTAGCAGTCAGATTAACTACTGATCGCATTTGCAATAATGAAAATACCGCATATTTTGATGTTGCATCTAAACTGGGCTTTGCGGCTATATCCGGTTTCGGAACTGAATGGGAGGGAGGAATGGAGCACAGAAAGAGAAGAGTGACCGGTAGTTGATAAATCATAGCAAGCAGAGCGGAAGGTAGTTTGTAGTAAGTAAAGAACCTGCGTCGGTAGCCAACACCCCGTAAACCCATTGCTAAACGGGGCGCACCAAAACGGTTGCGCTCTGTTGCTGCGGCTTGCCACTATTGCTCGGTCTGCTCCTAATTTTTCGTTCGTTCGTTATAAATATCTGAGCAACAAGAGCGGATAGTAGATCGGGATAAATAACGTCGTAACGCTTTGCATGGAAGAGAGTTGCGGGTTAAATGGACCTAAATCGAATGCAATACCAATTTGGGCAGCGCTACAAAGCTTGGTTCATTATTCTGTAGGAAATACGGTGAGATGGTTATCTCGATGCCTCTCTTAAGAACAACAGGGATTATTCTTTTACATTTTGTCATCCATGCAATTTTTGCGAATTGTGCCGGTTAAGCTGTACTGATTATGCCATTAGGAGATTTGATATCTCGAAGCAGCTAGGATGGGTCTTGCATTTTTGTACATGTTACATATAATTAACTTACGGACGGATGAACCGCACACTGCTTTAAAAAGATGAGCACCGTAAATGTTTTTCATCCCAACTGTTTTTCGCTTCGATAATATATGTATAAATAAAAGGTCTTGGTTCAAAATTTTGTACGCAGACGATTTTGTCAAATGTACAGCTCTATCGCACCAAGTGTGGACAGTTGCATAAAATAAATTTAAAAATAATTTGGTACGTCATTTTGTTTATTGTTTTGCATTATTCTAGTGTAGTTTCTTATTGCGGATCCAGAAACATCAAAACCAAAATATTTTGATGTGCCAGTAGGGAGACGAGCGGTATTTTAGGGGAGGGGGTAGCGGTCGTTTGTTTTATGCTCATGAATGCTCCTGCAAAAGTATCACCATTTAAGATTTTTGCGTGCAATTTTTTGGAAGTTATTCAATGATCCACAAGGTGTCCGTTACGCGCTATCAGAGGCATCATGTATAATCACTGCTTGCGGTAATCCCGGAACAAAGTGGTTCTCCCATAGACTTCTATGGTAAAAAGAACATACCGAGAAATGCGGTTGCCTAGCACACGGAGCTGAGTGACCTCGAACTGATAACTTCCATGAATCAGTCGTGGGTTACGTTAGTTTATTTTAGAGTGTTGACAAATATCAACAACACAGGCGAGGAGGTATAAGTGCCGGACGAATGGAAGAAAAAACCATTAAAGCGGCGACTAAAAAAAGCTACGACTGCTGCTTAATCTTGCTGGAACGAGATGCCTCGGGCTTACTGTGCGGACGAAAAGTTTAAAAAGGACGCCCAATACCTTCTGAATGAGATTTTATCAAGAACGGGTGCTTGCGACATTCGGCGGCTGTTCGGCGAAGGCGCAAAGGAGGTCATCCCCGTATTTAACGGGGCCCGCCGTAACTTTGCAAAGGTCACGCAGGCTTCATGGGATCCGATGGGTGTCCTGCATACATCGCAAGAGCCTTGTTGCGAAACAGCCCCAACGTATTAATTTTGCTTTGCGGCATCAGTGAAATTTTTAAACAAATTTTAAGTCGGAAGATGGCAACCACAGTCAATGGGTCGAGCCACATTTTTAAACCGGTCGGTTTTTGGTTTTTATATCGCAGTAAAGTAGAACACGCTTTCAGCAGGGCAAACCAAAATCCAAAACATGCTAAACACATGCAGCAACCATATCATAATAAAATAATTATAAATTTGTCGACTCCTGACCTTTAGTGATTTTTGAGAAAAAGTGTCCACACTTGGTGCGATAGATCTGTAATTGACAGTCGAACAGGTTTGCCGCCTCTGGACAGTAATGGCAACGCGTCATCAATAGCTCTCTTCAGCATTGGACCCATCGGAAGTACATGTGGTATGTGTATGTATTCATTCAATTCCATTAATGCAAAAAGTTTTCAAAATAGCACCTAAAACTGAGTGCGAAAGTAACCACGTTTTCAGGCCAGGAGGCACTAAAAAAGTTCACAGGTTACGCATATACAGCATAATAATTATGATATTATTCATACATTTTATAACAACATCGTAATCATGCATTATATAATATTATTCACATCTGGTAAACCAGTACACGTGTCCACCAGCTTGTAGTTATGGAAGTGTCGATTTCAGAACGAAAGAGAAAGAGTTTGGAAAAAAAAATGGTTGGCTGAATTATAAAGCACGTAATAAATTTATTTAACTTACCAATTCATTGGATTTTGAATAGCCGGAAGCAACATTTGCTTGCGGCACGTTTGTTGCACTTCAAGAATACGTTAGTCGCGTCCGCCGGCTGGCACAAAACACGGCGGTTAACAAGCGATTGCTGATACCTACATTTCTTTTTCGCCACTTTGAAGCGGATTCAGACGGTTATAAACCCATTCCTGATTTCTACTAATACAACTTCCGCTTTGTTCGTTCATAAAGTCGGGCGTGCACTTGTGTTCAAACCTGTAACCACTGATTTTAACTCAGTTGATAACTGATTGATAACTCAGTTTAAATAGCTGTTGACAGTGATTTTTATGTACTCTGTACATCAACCAAAATGTAATCGCCATGATACTCCTTATTTATGCCAGCTCCTTTTTTATGTCGTCTCTTCTTTTACTCTTCCTGTATTAAGGGATCACTCCTGCTGATTTTCCTAAAACATTTGAAAATTATTCAACATGATAATTATTAACCATATTTGTAAATGCCAAACACGTGGCATTTCTGTGAATGTATGGAATTGTTCTACTCTAGGTAAAACGCGGGAGAACAACACTGGGATGCGCTCGCGCAGCTCTGGGACCAAGACAGGCTTTCCGTGGATGATATGCGAAGCTATACCTCAACGCCAAAGCTGACAAAGACCATCCAAACCCGATTAACATTCACCCCGGGAAATTCTGATTTTGGTGCCCAAAAGCAGCTTGGATTTTATGCCGATGTCGACTCGAAGTTCATTCACAATTTAATTTCGTCCTGTAGCAGTGTCATGCAATCCAGTGCGTTAGTTTCGTTGTGCATACGACTACGAGTGTAATTTGGTATCCCAGTAGAACCTTAATTTTACGAGTAACAAGGAAATGAATGGCAACTACACTGACAAGAATGAATGGCAAAAATGAATGTTTCAGAAATGCAGAGCAGTCATGCTCTCTTCTTGTACCCAGATTATAACAATATGATCCGTTGAAGTTGTGAGAATGTCCAGAATGTCCGAAGCTAAACAAACCGAACACCGTTGTTTGGTTGCAAAGTTTATTAACGACAAGTACGTTTTCAGCGCAAACACTCCGACAAATGGGACTACTGAAGAATTTTATAAAATACATATTCATGAGATAACGATAAATGACAATGTCTATAGTTCTGTAACCGTCTGTACCGTTTCTTGTTGCGCCTGTTCTTATGGTTAGGCGAAATCTGGAATGTGTTAATCAGTTGCAAGTGAACAATCAACCAGTTTAACCGGTCAAAGAAAAAGCCGCTGTTTGTGACATGATTGTATACTTGCTTCTAGCGTTCTTATAATACCGCACGACATTCTATTTCGAACATCTCCTTTCTAATGATGCTCAAAAACCTTGGATGTAAAACAGTTATTTTGGCGCACAGTAACTTTTGCACATTAAAAATCCTTTACAGGGACGTTCAGTTTGAAAGTGTGGTTCGATTAGAATTTCTGAGGAGTGGGAGCCTGAACGGGATTTCCGGTGGGCCCAGCAAACCCCGACGGATTAACCACCATCACCGGTTGTCCATACGGCATATTGTACACAGCAGCCGGTCCACCGGGATAAAATCCGGGCGACACAGGAGGGGCCTGCGTGACCACGTACTGCACGGTGGTACCCTGGCTCGGCAGCTTGCACATATTAATCCCAGCGGCGATGGACTGTCCCAGACTGGCCACGAAGGCCATGAACTGAAAGGCCAGATTGGCTGACAGCAGTGCGTTGCCGACGTCGCGGTACCATCCGCCAAAGGGGCAGTAGAAGCCCTGACAGTTGAAGTCGAAGACGCCGGTCTGCAGAAACACCAGCAGGATGGTAAAAGCGACGGTCATGGTGATGGAGGAGATGGTGGACAGGATGCTCATGACCATGGACGTGATGAGGTAACAGCGGCGCTCCACGGCGGAACGCCCCATCGGCAAGGGGCGTCCGCTGGCAATACCGAAGGCGCCCGTGATGACGAAGAAGATGCCGGTGTAGAATCCTGATCCGGCACAGGAGAAGATGATGGCATGATCCACAGTGGTGCTGAACGCTGTAATGCGGAGACTGTTTAGTCTGATCACACATCACTGTAGAATTGCTAATCTTTGTTAATTGCTATCAATGCCATACCAAACAAATATCGACAATATCGTCGTCGCATGTTATCTTCGACTCAATATTTTTACTTTGTATTGTGCGGTGCAAATTAATACTGCGCTCATGCAAGAAAAAAATAATTTTATTGTGAGAAAACAACAAAGTCGCAATGTGAAATGCGCAGCAACTACTGCATAAAAAAAGGGAGTACGCTTTTAATACAACCATGTATCACCACAGTCTACACTCCAAATATTAAATATCAGGTTAAAATTGGACTAGTAGTGCTAGTAATAATGATTTGCCGTATTCGCAGGATTTTGGCGGTGAGCTAAATGTTAATTTTAAATCAGTGCGGCATGGATTAATTTTCAGGCTTAGGTTTTTTTATTTTTTTAAGAATTACTTACAGACAATGTCGCTAATGATCAGGGCGGCACCGAAGATCAGCTGCATAATCCCGAATGTTAACACCGGCGCTGCATTGTGCAGGCGCGGGGCGGTGCCCAGATGGTTGTATGGTGGAGTCATTCTCTAATAGGCAGCAAAAATCTCCACGGTCGGTGTAGCGTTTGAATACCACACTTCCGGGATCAGACAATTGAATAATCTACCTAATTCGACAACCAGCACTTGCAAAATCTGAACGTGATCAGTGATGCGTCTTATAAGAAGAACGACGACGAGCGACTGTATATTCCATGAGCTATATTGTCAGCGTATTCAAGGCCAGATATGATAATCATATGGTCCAGTCTAATTGTCCGATAGTTGATTTGATAAAAAGACGATGATTTCCTGTTCATTACGCGGGAAAAACAGAATTTTATGGCTTGAAATGACAACAAGCGTAGAGAAAATTGATATTTGCCGCTTCCATTTCCACACAGTAGTATCGATATTATACATCGTAATTTTTGCCAATCAAGAAGATAATATTAACAGATAAGCTGAAAGCAGCGATTAGATAATTACTGTATATACGGTTAAATTAGCTTTTTGATTTCTTTTGTTAAGGTTATAGCAGCACTTTGACTTCGGGTACATAAGTAATTACTCGTATATACGCTGCGCCGGCTGCGGCAACGATAACGATGTTCAATGTTTGTACCAGTCATGCTATGAGGTCATCTGTTAGCACTCAGGAAACTTACGAACCAGAACGCATCTGCTAAATTGTAAGAGAGACAAAATCCTTAACTACAATTTTGCAAATAGTACAACTGCAGTTGGACTTCTTCCAGCTATGAAACTGTTCATCAGTTTCAAGGGTGATCGGTCTTGTTTATCAAACCGTTTAGGCATATTGCTTCTCTTATGCTTTAATCGTTCTTTATTTCATAATCTAATAATTCCACCTCAGTTGCGCTTGCATCGGGGGGTATACAACAAAATTTTAGTTTTAGAAGTTTAATCATAACTGTATACAAAGGTCACCCGGTGTTTCTGGAAGTGGTAAACTCACTTGCTTAAGTAAATCCAAGCATCCACAAGAAAGCATGCAGGAGTTGTGAGTAAATACTACGTGATCCTCTCTAACTTACATATAAAATTAAGATGAAGTCCTTTTTTTCTTTACGCGAGTCTTTCGTACCAGGTACGTTTTGTTCTCAAACAGCCACTTCCGGCAGGCCAACGGTCTGTTGATATTAGCGCTTGCACTTTGCACATTTCCCAATGAAAACCACCAAGCAATATCTCAAACGAATAAAACAGGGCAAGAATTTTGATACCAAGCAGGTTGTTTTTTATGGGATGTACCGGAAAATCGAGTCATTTAAGTTTCTCGTAGGCAAAGCACAGGATTTGGACCAACGGTTTGGTTGCATTTTTTAAGCAGAAATCGTATGCTTCGTCTGCGACAAACAAAAATGGCTCTATTTTCTCTTGGATCTCGTAAAGGATAACCGGCTTGGTAGCGAAAATCTTGTTCGGTCTAGCCATCTATTATACACGTTCTAAAGAAACGGTTAAAGAATGGCACTGGAGCGCTACTTACCTTATTCTTGTGTAACTGATTTTCAGTTTAGGTATTTGGGACCGGGGAATGCGAAAGGAAATTTTTATTTATACCGTGCAGTTTAATCACTTTAATGTGCTGTGAAACTCCATGAAGCTACTGTACTGACTGCACAAATCGATCAAACTTTTTCAACCTTTATAGCGTGCTACACAAGCAATAATTGACTCCGCATTCCCAGCTTTTGCATTGTCGCAGTGTTCCAAGATCTTTTGGATCACGATTTTTTAATAATGATTTAACATAATTTTTTAATAATACAACGCTTAACGTATATAAATTGTTCCACTTAGAAGTAACGTGAAATTTTGTAAAGTACGTAATACTGTGTAAATAATTCAATAGCATTCTTTTCAACACGGAACCTCATTGTCAAAGTGACCAAGTAGCATTGAAAGATACAAAATCTGTTTTCTGTACGAGTCTCTATGATTGGTCGTCCGGTCTTTTAACCGACCCGGCTTCAGTGACAAGATCATCTGTTCGGCATTATTCCAAGTTTCCAATCACGAGCCTATTTTGGGGCTTCCGTTGCAGGTGGGCCCACTGGAATCGCGGCAGTGGACAATTTAGGCAGTCTACTGAGATTCTGCACCGACGCAACGGTCAGGCCGATGCCGACGATACAACCGCAGATATGGACTATTATAATAATTGCCCGTAATGCCTCGCTCCGTGTGAAGTCATGGTCAGTGATAATCTGCAGCAGAACAAGCAGCGCACCCCCATAAGACATTACGCTTAATGTCAGGCACAGGACGAGAAGCATATAGGCCATAGCTCGCTCTCCCTTGACGAAAAACTTCCCAACACAGAAGATAATCGGTCCACACATCACGAACAGACAGCCCAAGTAGAAACCCAGTCCGAACGTTACGGTGATGCCAAGCCCGTTAGCTAAAACATAATACAACCGAATCCGAATGAAGCCACAAGATAACTGTACTTTCTTGGCAAATTCAAATTATACGGTACGGTTATTTTTTGGCACATAACTGTACAGACTGTATAAAGAGTCGAAAATACCATCATGGTTAAGTCTAACCAGCATATCTTCACACGCAAATGGCGCATGTTATTTAGTAACGGATTTTCTATGCATCTGAACCGCGAAAAGATTTGTCGGAGTCACGATGAAGACAACTCTACATCTTTGAAAACCCTGTGCTTTTCCCACGCTATATAATCGCTTACCGATGCTATGGCAAATGATCATTCCTACACCTGCGGCAAGCTCCAAGATCCCAAATATCCTTAAAGGACGAGAATTATACAAGGCAATCTGCTCCACGGAAGGAGTTACCGGAGTGTAGGAAGTCATTTCCAAAGAAAACAAAATCCCTTCTCCGGAAACCAGCTATTGCCAAAAGCTCGTTAAGCTTTCGTTAAACGTTGACTCCTATAAAGAACAATTAAACCAACAGAATCCATTTCTCTCCGTAATTCCGTAAAAGCTATAGAACATTTGTTCGAAAATTTTCTATCTCGTGGCGGATTCATCATGCAGTGAAAAGTTTAACTGCATGTTTTGCTTGAATAGGAACACTTCGCAGTTTGCACTTTGCTGTACTCGCACACTGTCAACACTTGTACACTGGGTCTTTCGGCAGCGCGTTTTCTGCACAACATTGCAGTGTCAGGCTACTGGATACCGGTACCGTTGGCACGGGCCGTAGTCTCCGTACATGTGCATACTGCATCATGCAAGCACACCATCCAGCCGGCAACATACAAATCGATGAAACACTGCGTTCTCGCAGTCTGTCGGCGACTCGGCATGCTCATTAGTCATACGGACAATTTTCTCCCAAGACGCATAATGCAGATCGTGTACTGTACCACGGAGTATTTAGATAAACATTTAACCACAAATAACGGTCTTTTTATGTAAAGGCGTAAAGACTGCAATGAACTGTGCAAAACGTTTTTGGGATTACCGTATCTCTGTCTGCTGCTTTTTTTCTTGTCGATAAAACCAGCAAGCAGCAGTGCGGGTTTATGTCTAACCAGTTCAATAAACACTTGCTGAACAGACTTCGCAGTTGAATGAAGTATGAGAGATTATGGAATATGATATGCTGACAATGAGTGCTTGTTGAAAGATAACAAAATCTACTCTTTAGACGCGCGATCTTGCTGATTACTAGTCATAGGTATATTGTACAGTATACCGGCGTGTGTTTACGGGCTTTAATGCCACGTACTTCTCGATAATCGACTTTGTACAATAATTTTTATGCGCGGTAATTGTTGCTAATATTAGCGTGGATATTAGCCGGATGTATTATCGCGCACCAGTTATCGAGTACATTGTTTACGGCCGTCACCGGAAGTTGGTCAGATGAGCTGCTCGCGTGATATACTTAATGTTTCGCTTATTGATACATTTGATAATTCCGTGCTGCTAATCGCTAAAGCACCAAGTCAGTACGGGTCACTGGACCGGATTCTGATTAATACATGACGACACAACTTTCACCCGCTCGTCAGTCGTCATTTACTGGATTGTCGCAGAAATATTGTTGAAATGACCATATTTTTTAAATACAAAAAAACTCAAGAAAATTTACAGCTCACGACAAACGGATTTTAACACGCTGCTGTGTGCATCAACGATAAAAAAGATGGTCAAGCACAAATAATCCTAGCATTGCGGTACTCGCTTGTAACATGCTCAATTACGGTTGAGCTAAAAGATGCGCCCTACTAGTTTGACTTCGTTTAATAACCATTCTTTCACGACTTTTGTACAACTGGCGCTGGGTCCGGGTTCACCATTTGAACGGGCGGATCCGCCATCACTGCTGGTTGGCCGGGCACGAAATAGACAGGCTGTCCTGGCACCGTAGGATGGAACGGAACACCTTGTGGATAACCGTAGCCAGGCTGTACATACACCACTTGTGTTGCAGTTTTGCTTTTGGGCAGCTTGCACAGATTGATTCCAGCGGTGATTGCCTGGGCCAAACTGAATATCCACATTACACTTTGGAATGCCAGGTGGGTGCCCATAATTGCTCGGCTATAATAACGGAAAACGTAACACAGACGTGAACTGTAATTATAATTGGAGGAGCAATAATAACTGATGCGCCAAGCAGTAATATTGGAAAGTAAAACCGCGAGAACAATGACGAGAGCCGTTGCCATGATGGTGGACAATATACTCATGACCAGAGAGGTGATGAGAAGGCATTTCCGTGAGCGCGGTGAACGGCCCATCGCCAGAGGTCGCCCCGCTGCGATACCGAACGATGCTGTTATGATGAAGAAAACTCCGGCATAGAATCCCGAACCACCGGCACTAAATTCTACCGCAGAATACCAACTGATGCAGAAATCTGGAAAAAAATTTCCGTCACAATTCGCTTTCAGTGGTCTTACGGGCGTAATTAATTGTGATGGCCGTAAATTTCAAAGCAAAGAAACATCCTCGGTGTACCATGTATACGAGTACAGACAGATAATAGTATTTGCAAAGGAAAATTGTATAAAATGTTATGCAAACGCGGAATATATATAATTTTTTTGTTGTATAAATTTTATTGAAAGTGCTTATTAGGTACTGTAACTTACTGACAATGTCGGTGATAATCATAAAAACTCCAAAAAGCAGCTGGAGTATGCCAAATGCCAAAACCGGTGTCCGATTGTACAGCCCCATAACCGGGGGCTGTTGGACAGGATATGCACCATAAGGAGCCGCCATTTCTGTTCTAGTAGAGAAAGCTGCAGTATAGCAGTGCTAATCCGTGCAACGAACCACCACTGGTTCATCATTGTTACGATATATATGCAGACAAACTCGCTCGTACTTGCGTGAGTAGTAGATTAGGCAACAATTACTTTGATAATCGCGTCGATAACATTGTTAAGTTCAGTAGGTACTGATTCTTCTAGTAACATTTTACGTTGCACGTTATCGACAAAACACCATATACATAGTACATACTTGTTTTATCCTTGTTAACCGGGATTTCTATTACAGCGTAAACGTGATGGTAAACGTTTGGGTCTATGAATAATGAATAATGCTCATATTTCGGGCTAATGAGGTAGCAGTTAGCAGTTAAACACATAAAGTAAAATTAAATAACTGCTTGTTTTGAATTGCTACTCCCGCAGTCTCATCAGTTTATTCTGGACATTATCGGCGGAATTGTCGCCGGGGGGACGACAGTAACGGCCCTGCCAAGTTTTACTATAAATTGTGATTCGACTGATGGAGATCGACTTTCTTCCTCTGCTCCAGTCACCGACAAATATGAGCTTGTGTTTAGCTCTTTACTAATTACTGGGCGTGTTTGTATGCGCATAATCCTTTAATGCGATAACAGTAACCCCAGTTTTAATACGTACTTTTTACCTCACTAAGGGTATTTTTAACCCAAATGAACCGTTTGGATATATGTTTAAAGTAGTTAACAATCTTTTATAGATGGGTTTGCATTGGCAATTGTCTGGCACACATCATGCAAACAGTCCCTTTGATAATTAATCGTGCACCCTATGGAGATTTCCGATTGTGGAATATTTATACGAAACAATCGCGAAACCCTTCATGACATCAGAGGTTATCAAACTAATAAAAGCTTGAAAGTTAACAAGACAAGCTTGTCTGCACAACCAGCGTTGATGTGGCGCTGTGTACATTCGGCAAAAGCCCAGTACAGCATGCATTTTGTTCCCATTGCGGCAACCGGCTGGCTCACTGGGCGTTTGCAGTGACCTTAGAGAATGTGATCTACATACCGAGTAATGACTACGGTTAGGCATATACCTCACAAACATGATATATATCTCATAAATAATGACTACAGCTTGCCGGAATAGTTTTCAATTCTTTAAACCAGCCCTTTGTTCAGGCTTCTTATTTAAAGGAGCCAACAGCGTTTGTTTGCTCGTAGGAAACGGTTAAAATAACCTGAAACAGGTGCAGCTGATGAGTTCTGACGCGCAGGAACAAAGTACACCGGAGCAAAATATATAAAAATGTGAGCGACACATTTTTCGGTTATCGGTGTGCTCTCTTTGCTAATCACCGAAGCATATTCACGTCGATCGTCACTAGAAATTCTTAAAACCCGGACTGCGATCATCAGTCTCCGTACGGTCTGCATTCGTAACCCTTACACTTCAACGGGCATTAACAAAAATTAATGAGCCTTAATTATATTCCACGGTTGGATTCGAAAGAGAGGAAAATTTCAAATTACAGGCATGAAAGATTTTTCACGTTTACATTTTCCAAGTTTAAAGCTTCTTATGATTATAATAAAATTATCCTACAGCAAGTGTACGATTTTACGTCATACTCGTACTGTGTTTGTATTGATCAGCATGTTGCTGTTGGATGTTGTGTTCATCAAAATTAATGCTAACAACGATTGTTTTTTTGGTTCTACAGCCAGCTGTAGATGCATGGTTCTACAGCCACCTACAGCAAGTGTACGATTTTACGTCATACTCGTTCTGTGTTTGTAATGATCAGCATGTTGCTGTTGGATGTTGTGTTCATCAAAATTAATGCTAACAACGATTGTTTTTTTGGTTCTACAGCCAGCTGTAGATGCATGATGCCGGCTGCCATCATAAATATAATGAGTCATCTTTTGGCAACTTTCAACATTCAAGTCAAATCCTGAAAGAATCCGATTGCAGGCAAAATCTACTGCTTCTACGTATAACTTGTATCGCGAAAATTTTACTAAACATTACCGCTATCTGGATGGGGAGCATTATTCGATTTTGAAAAACAATACTTCAAATTTATATCAGCAAGGGAAATGCCAGAAACTTGGAATCTTTAAGCTGTAAAAAGGCTTAACAAAGTGCATTTAATACTCGAGAAGAATTAAAGACGCTTGTATATACTGTATATGTCTCTTTTATAAATCTTTTCACCATGCACAAGGTAAACTAAAGTAATTCATGCTGAGCATATAATTTGTACAAAGCAGGAGCCATTACTACACAGAACTTTGTTAAATTTTGACGCCTTGAGAAAATAATAAGCAGTTGCAAACCAATTTACGCAGCCGCTGCTTCAGGTGCAGCCGCTGCTTCTGATGCTGCTGCACCGGAAACCGCATTGTCCACCCAGACCCAGTTTCCGTTGGGACCCGACGCGCTGCCCTGGTTGGCTCCTTTGCCGGGGGTATCGAAGAGGACTTCGCTGGTATACAGGCGACGGTTACCGAAGTATTCATCTTTGATGAAGCTGTTAAGCAAAAACTCGGTTAATTCATTTTGTTGAAAAAAATTTCATTAAATACCCTTACGCATCACAGTCAACGTTGAACCAGTAGTCGCAGATGAGGGTGATCGGGTTGAAGAGGGTTCGGTTGACACAGATGTAGCTGGTCATGTTGCCGTTTGGGTCACAGCGATGGAATGTCTGGCATTTGGTAGCGGGATCTTAGTAATTAAATTCTTATACATGCACAGCTTAACTGTTTATGTACCTAATAATCAATGAAAGTCCTTGTAAACACACATAACAGCGTTCGCTTTGCTGTCAGTTGGTATCTTGTACTACAGTATAAGAGCCAGAATTTACTGGAAATTTCTATGAACTTGAAACGCTTTAGCTAACTGGTAAGTACTAAAAGTTTGAAACGGTTTTAGAAATGTTCCGGAAACCAAAACTTTTTTTCCAAGCTGCATTTAGAAAGCTTTGGAAGATGCTGGATTTTATAAAACTATCAAAAGCTTCACAAACTGAATCTCGAATTAGAACATATTTTCTAAAAAATAAGGATGTATAACATACAGCCGCTGAGCCGCGTAAAGTTTGTATAATACGAGTATTTTATATATGCATATGATGCATATGATATATGTATAGAAAATACATTTACGTAAAATGAAAATTACGATTATCGACCATCACTAACACTGCATAAAGATTAAATCGTAAACTTACCTGCATAATAACCCGGGTATTGTTTTTGGTCACAGGTAAAGCTGGGCGCCGGAATATCGTACTCGGATCGTTCCGGCCATACAACATCTCGCTGTGCCAAGAGAGCGTAAATTTCGGGATTGGTCAGCACCTTCGTCCAGTCGAAGACATACTGATGGCTGAACGTCGCTCCACTACTGGCCTTGGCCTTGACCGTCTTCTGCGCTAATGCCGCGCCAAGCAGAGCGAATACGGCTACCAGTTTAAGCATGGTGCGATTTTACACAGGCTGTATAAATAATATACAAGGAGAAGCTTTTCGGTATATTTCGACTAGACTGGATAGCTGACATTTTTCGCATGTAGAGATCGTGGTATTTTATACTAACAAAAAGCCATGGCACATGTCTCTGTTCCTCCAAATTTGGCGGCAGACGGTCAGTCGAGCGTTCGAGCCATCCAAGTAATGCGCTCAGGGCATCACCGGATCTGGCTGCCAAGCCGCCGTTAATTGAATGCGAATTATGCAAGCGTAAAAAGAGCTTCTTAAGAATGCAGATTGCAATCAATGTACTTAAGTCAACGGTACAGTTATTAGTTGCACACTGTGGTGATCAAACTTAAATGTGGATGATCAATGCCCGCAATGAACGGCAAGGTCGAAATCACAATTAATTAATTAGCCATAACGTAACATGCATTTGGCTCTCAGTTAGGTAAAGTGTATTAAACCTGCTCTCTGATCGAAAGGAAAAAGCTAATAACTGCCGTAAAAAGTCTTTTCAGGCATATGTGTTTCAATACATTGTTATTCGATAAAGTAAGATTTTCTACCAAAAATGATGTCCATCAGTGCTAACGGTTGGCGATGCTTTAAAAATCAGGAAAATTTAGTTAGAAACAATAGAAAGATCAAGGACAAGTAAAATATTTCCTCGAGCGAAACCACTTGAACTGCTTGAAGTTTTTCTATAAAAGGTGGTAATAATTTCAAAGAGCAGTTGTAAAATGCAAATTAGGTTCAGTTTATAATGATTTTAGAATTGTTGCTGCACAACTCCAAGAAGAAGCACCGATACGTTGTTTTAATTATGTCTTACCGCATGCGTATGTGTACATGGCGGATACCTGTTCATGACTTTTAAAATGTTAACGAAAGCCATTTTGTCAAATATTTTTGACAAATCTCGGAGATAATAAATCTATTGTAACAGATTTTCGTCGTAGAAGATGATATTAACGATATCTTTCCGTTTAAGCAGAGCGACTGAAAATTCTGGCACTGGCAGTATTGTGGAACACAATGCAGATGCATTTTTAGTACAGTGCAGCGGTTTATCTGAATGGTTCTCTCTGTTCTACTCGTGAACTTCAAAAGCGTATTGGCGTATTGTGTAAGCTGGAATCGTTTTTATTTAGCACAAAGTAGTATATGAATGCACAAATGCACAACGACATCGTACTTGATTACTGTAATATTACATTGTATTATTTTGGACATTAAGCGCTAGCGCAATGCGGCTTTGGCTGGAGCTAACTGGCACAAAATGATCTGCGGGACAATCTCATGCAAGAGACGTTTGCCCTTAATTTCAACAACTATGCCTTTTTACGAAGGGACCACTAAAGTAAATCAAACGGGGGGTCCAGCGAGGTAGCTTACCAGGGTACAAATACGGGATAAACGTTCCGTTGCCGAACAAAGTGATCTGGACCAAAACCCACATCGCTATCAACAGGGTTTGAACGGTGACCTTTCTCAAGTCGTATCGCCACATACATTCGGTTCGTTTGGTGTTGTACATAAGCATCGCGAATTGGATGCTTGTAGTGTTGCACAATATATGTACATGCCTTATGTCAACGTGTGTGCCTTTTTTGGTATGCATATGGTTTACCGGCAAATTTATAATGATGTCAATTAAATTCGTTACAAATAAGGTTGACGGCTACGTTTGAGTTGTGGAAATTGTTGTGGTGAACTTTCCGGTAATATTCAAGCACACATATTCGTTGAGGAAAACGATTCGATGGAGATGTATAAAGTTTTGTTGTCAGAAAAACTGTTCGTGTAATTTCAAATTAAAGGAGGCCACCAAGCTTCAAGTTGCAAAGGAAAACAAACAGCATTTGTTGTGTTTGCAACTTAGCACTATCAACTATCAGGGGGATCATAAAGTTCGGACCATTTGCACTAGTATACATCCATAAGCGCTTTGATCATGATCGTGCAGCGCTCTCACTATAGCGGAATAAGCGGATGCATACAGTGGCTTAATATTTTTTTGAGTCGCTGAAATGTACATGTACACATGAAAATTTAATGTACACTTTATCAAAGACGTTACAGTTTCGTAAAATATATGCACGCACACTGCGTACATGTTGTGAACCATGTGTGTAGAGCACACGTATTTTTTTGCTTTTTTTGTTAAAAGCAAGAACAGAATCCTTTAACATATTCAATATCCATATTTAATATTTAATCTGAATAAAAACAACGGTAGTTATTGTGTAGCAAACTGTATGCCAGCTAGCAAAAAAAATTGTAGTTTGAGCTGCATTAACCCCATTAGAAAGTATGCCATACAGAGTAGTGCGAAACTCAAGCGCTACATGAGACTATTTCCTGGAGATCGGAGCAGAGGCAGAGGGCGTCAGCTGAATTGCACCATCCGGCGTACTCGGCAGTTTACATAAATTAACCGCGGCTGTTACGGTCGACCCCACGGCGACAATAACACCGACAATGTCCAAGGCCAAACTGGCGCTCGACAACGCCGACCGTTGCTGATGGTACTGGGCACATTCGGCAGAAAATCCCGTCATTGTCATATTGGCCGAGGTTTCCCGCGACCACATTCTTCCGTTTCGAGGGTCACATGGAGTACCTGTACTGTTCGAATGGAACTCGCTGTTAAATGCGGACATCAACAGGACAAACAGCGCACGCAAAAACGTAATTATGCTTAACATCACGCATTTGAAGAGGAGGAAGTTGACGAAGCCACGTTGACCCTTGACCAGAAACATTCCCACAGCGAAAATAATTAGTCCAACTAGAAAGAATACAGTGCCCAAATAAAAGCCCCATCCGAGCGTGCCGATGAGACCGATGCTGTACCCTACAACGCTACATTAACGGCCAACTGTAATAGAGTACTGGAAATCGAAAAATTAGCAAACAGCTAAGGATGCGGATAGAAAATTACGAAGGGTATTTTTTGTATGCACTTACAGATGCTGTTGCAGATTATCAGTCCAATGCCAGTTAAAAACTGCAGGATGCCGAATATCCATAAAGGACGAGGACAGAACAAAGCAACTCCGTCGGTGGCAGCAGGAACCAGGGAGTAGGTAGCCATTTTCAGGAAACCGTAAGCAATCAGAGGAATGAATCGTCTTCCGATTGCCGATGGATATCTTAACTTTAGCGGCTCATAAAAGCAGGAAACTTTGGCATATCAGTGAATGATTTGAAAGTACATTGTTGGAACTTACAAGTTAGAACGTTTACACCTGCTAATTTTTAATCACATACAACGTTAACGGCCATCTTGTTGTCCAGTTTACTTCATATGCAGGAAGTTTACAAGTTTACGCTTTGCACCCAGAAAAAAAAGCACTTTAATAGCAGTCAGTCCTCAGCCGGCATACATACTTCTATAGATAACTTTGCTGCAGGCAGCAAGTTCCAGAGCACGTGCAAGTAGCGCATTGGTAAAACTATCCGCTGATCGGCGCTACATAAACATAAACCTAAAATAAGGAGCATAAAATCTGTTTCCGGAAATCTAGAGCAAAGCGGCTGAGTAACTGTCGCATATTTCGGAATGCGCTCATTAAAATTGTGGGAAGTTGTAATATGCTGTACAGTGCTCGTATAGTCGTATTTAAAGCCACAACCTTTCCTTGTAATTGATAGATCTGACTGTACCAATCAGAAGTCATTTTCCTCAACATGAGCAACGTAATGAATCTTTTTGTATCAGCAAAAAGAAAAAGACATAATGGGAATCAAAATATTTCGTTCCAGCAGCGCCTGAATGACCGAAACAAACCGTATTTCATTTAGCAAAAATAAAGCTCATCCCTTTCGTGTCCAACAACACCCATAAGCCACGGATGCAATAATTAAACCCAGCCCGCTCATTAAGCCAAGGAACAGGATTGCGTTGTTTATGCCCTGGAATGCATCCCTCCATTGGAAATAGTTTTGGCACTCCGGAGTTTTTGATTTATCCATCGCGGGAGTCGTGCTGTCTGACCACGACCATTTCGAAGAACTAGTTCTTACGGCACAAACATCGTCGTACGGGTTTTCATGATCGGGCCCGATCACGAGGACAAGAAGCGCGCCCAAGAAGCAGATTCCCCCGAGAAGCTTACATGCCATAAGGAAACAGGACACCGCTGATGGACCTCCTTTCACCATATACTTTGCCACACCATAAACAATCAGTCCAATAAGAGCAAAAGCTATTCCCAAATGGGAGCCAATACGATGGGTCGACGTTACGCTCATACCGTTACCTGAAATAAGTTACGTACCATTTAGTAGTAGGGAAAAAAATCGACGAAGGTTTTTCTCGAAGCAACTTACTTATGCCGTAACTGATCATTAGAGCAAGACCGATGGCTGACATCACGATACCAAGTGTCCGCATAGCACGTGGATCTTTCGGGATTGTCTGGGGAGCAGGAACCGGAACGAGAGAGTATACGGTTGTAACAGCCGTACTCATTTCCAGAACTAGATGTTCAACGTACTATCACTTCCTGTTCCTTCACGTAGCGATCCGAACTACTTCATTTTAAAAAATACAGCCAAAACTTGAATAACTTCTGTATATGTGTTAACCTGACATCAACATCTCTGAGACCGAAACCTTTCAATACATTTTATTCGCAAAAAGTAATGCAAACTTCCATTTTGCACTTTACAAGGTGGACTTCTATGGCTTGATATTTTAAGGGAATAACGTTGGGTAGATCAATAACCAAGTCAGAGGATATCGATCAAGAGGATCTGCTGAGCAGTAACAGTACGTTTTGCGCTATTAATTTTAGCTGTGCGCAGTATGGTTTGTACCGGTGTGCAGTCGCACAAATAATGCAGTAATATTCAGTTAAGTGCGCAAATATTTGCACACCATGCAGTGCATTATGATAGTTAAACTATGAATACTTCGAAGTATTTTTAACAGATGGAAAAATTATTAGTGCTGTAAAATTTGCAGTAATAAATTGTACGGGATTATTTAATAGTTCTGTACAAAAGAGTACCGTTTACAGCGGCGATATATATACGTAGTGCAATTTCTACAAAAAAATTATGTCGAAAAAATTGTAGTCACATCAGAAAACCGGGAAAGGCTGAGTCAGGGAGGCAATGCTGTACTGGACACTTTTTTAAACAAGCAGATGCCCCTCCTAGAAGGCTTACGAAAAGGTTGATAGTAACCTCGAGAAACTACATACTTCGTAAAATGCGATTTTTATAGCCGGTTCTACAGATATTTTTCATTACAGGCAATAAAGTTTAATACAGTGTCATAGAGAAGTGTCACATAAGTGGACTTTCCGTTTTTTACACGTTTATAGCGTGGATCACAAAGCCACCATGAATCACAAAGTCAGTACCTTTCATGGCTTACATTTTGACTTTGAATTTGCTACATTAATAAATTAGCGTAGGTCGTAAGAGTGAGAGCAGGCTATATCCATGCTGCCTGTGACCCCTAGATTTTATTATTTAAATTTTCACCGCACAACGCCACAATCATAGTCGGCAAGTTTTGAGAACATATGAGGCGATAACCAAACGATGGTAAAAACTATTACAATTTTTTAGTCAGCGAGAGAGCACCAGAAAGCAGAGTCGGCACGCCACAATTAACACAAGGCGGTACTTTGCGAGCAAAAAATTGAGTGATTGTAGTTAATGGCAGACACTGTGTAATTCTTCTCATGCCGCCGCATAAGACGACGATTCAGCGACCCCACTTGCCAGATTTTGCAGCCAGACGTTGGCTGTTCCCATATCGCTAATTGCGGAGGCGTGAGGAAAGGGCAAGAGGTGCACACAGAACGATTTCTGATTCCTGATTAATCAGTCGGTTGACGCTTTACGGGATAGCACGACGACTTAGTCAGCAACACGCGGACTGACACAATGATGAGCACGGCTGTTATTATAATGATAGTAAAAAAAAGGCTCCTTCGGTTCTCTCCATCATGACCTTCGGGAATTCTTTCGACACAAATGAATGATGTCACCTATTTGTAATGGAGCAACAGTAAACTATAGATGCGATAGACGCACAAAGACCCACTATCAATCCAAAAACCAAAAAGACGTTGATAGCGGCTGCTAAATTTGCACTCTGGCGCATAAAGTTTATACACTCCACTGATTTCAAAGGATCAGGTGTAGTAGTCGTAGTGGTCGTAGTGGTCGTCGTTCTGGACCAGGAAAGCAGTGATACCCAGTCGTAATCTTTCTGTTTTGGTAGACATGGATTATTATCACGACTAGGGTGTGAGAAATCGTCTGCCGTCTTGGATAGCACCAGGATAAATAGGGCTCCCAAAAAGACGCATGCGCTGAGAATCGCGCATTTAGTCAGGAATATAGACACAAACGTTCGATCTCCCGTAACCATGCATTTGCCGACAATGTACACGATCGGCCCGATGAAGGAAAGGAACACACCCAGATAAAATCCCAAGCCCATTACAGCCGTGATGCCCTGGCCATATGCTGCAACAAAAAATTCTCTATGTAAATTTTGAAATATTTTGTTTAACATGTACGTAGAATTATTTTACACGGAACCAACGTTTCTTAAAAAAATTGTATAAATAGGTAAAGCCAAGCGCTAAACAACGTAATCCATGAACATCGGGACCATATCCAGCTCGTCTCAAAGAGAAACATGGGTGCGTTAATGCAACTTTTGACTCACCGATACTGTGGCAGACCACCAGGCAGAGGCCTACAACGGACTGCAGTATGCCTAGTAATGGCAGAACGCGCGGATAAATTGGAACGGTTTTTGGAACGGGAACGGGTACCATAGGAACAACCTGAGTAGTCATGATCAAAACCGAAAAAACGGTGAGCGTATTAACACTCGTATTATCCGATAATCTTTCTGTCGAACTCTCTTATCCGGGAGAAATTTTTACTTGCGATAACAACAAAGCGTCGTGGGCTTTATGTATAACTATTGTGGAAGGCAGTCACCTGACATAAAATCTTACAATAAGTACAGCAACAAATGCATTAAATTACAATGTTCAACCCATCTGTAGCATGATACATCTGTAAAACGCTTTGTCTGGAAGGCTGAATCGAATAGTGCCGGTCTCATCGACATCCAGATCGATAAGTGAGCAGTGTGTGCCGGGAACTGGTAGTGACTTGTATAAAGGTAGTATATATCACAGCAATACAAATATCACGCACGCGAGAATGAGAAGTGTGAACAGACATTACCAGGAACAAGTGCTAATGCTTTTTGGGAAAAGGTCGAAGGTTGGGTGCATGATTCACAAGCGCTCTTACGACAAGTTGCTCGACTTCCTTCGAGTTGGGTGTCACCTGTGATGCATTGATGAACGTTCGATATTTGTTAACTCTGCGTCAATCACAGGCAGCTATCAGTAAGTATTTTTAGCAGGACTTCTGATGTACTGATTTTATAATAATTATTATTCCTGCGTACGTTCTAGGGTTGCTTTGTCTGTGAGCTTGTGGCGAATAAATTTTGAATGTCTTAAGTTATGAAATTCTGCGGCATTATTTCAAGTTTATTGCATTGTTATGAACGTGTCCTTCGAATATTATGTAGTTATAGCGATTGAGCATTACGCAGGATTTATATCTGGCTGGGATGATGTGTAAATTATCAATATTATTACATTGCTTGAGTTTTTTTTTGCTACGTGATCACTGTACGTTCAGAACACACAGTGGGAACTGGGAAGCATTAGTGCACTGATGTGCAACTGCCGCGTTTAGAACAGCATAATCTAGCCGATTTTACCGGATCACTGGTCGACGACTTGCCAGGTCCTGGAAGTGCTAATTTCATATTATTTTCTCTTCGCGTGCGTTGAAACAGCTGTTTGGACATGTGCGATGAGTACCATGAAAATCAATTCACAATATCATATTGCCCTAATTCTAACTCCAAACCAACACAATTATGCGAACTGTTACTTGTACATGTCCAGACAATAATAAATACAATTATACAATTATGCGAAATAATAAGACAATTATGTGAACTGTTACATGTCCAGACAGTAATAAGGACTTGCGGTACGTAGGTATAGTATGTAACTGCATTTTCGTCGGCTCTCACTGTTAGTTGACGGCCAATCGTCATCAAACCTGTCTACTGATTCTTTTCGCCGCCAAAAGATTTGTAGAAATGTTAGATGACCTAATAAAAAGCCTGATTTTGAACTTCAGCCTGGGAAAACATTCACGAGCTTGTTCGTTTGTTGTGAAAATTTACCTTCAGCAAATTGGTAACTGAGTGATTAAAGCTAAAGATGGCTATATTGTAGTTTAATTACTCATTAAGCTTTACCCTATATTGTGGTTTTGAAAGGTCTGTTTCGATTACAAAAGTAACTTCTGATTTCAAAGATTGCTCATAAATTCGTGTACGCTTGTTTAATTGCTGATAAAATTCATGGGTGTCTGGTTCAGTGTTATTCGCAGTCGCAGATACAGTAATTATCGAATTTGTGGCACTCCCCCTTTTAATAAGCCCATTTCCCCTTTCATGTTTGAAAGATAAGAGACTACATATATGCCGTGAAACATGTGTTTTCAAGATTAAGCAGATCCAAATATTATATACTCTAGAGTAATGTTTTTGGCGGACTTCCGCTATTAGCGCGTGAATGATGATCAGCCAGTGCCACACTTGTTACTGTACATCTGCACCAAAAACAAAACTGACTCCTTACAACAAGCTAACAATAAACATCTTTACAAATAACAGAATTAAAGCTCTCTAATGGTAGATCCAGAATAGATCCACAGACGGAGACAGAAACGGAATCTATCCCGTAGAAGTGAGCGATACGACCTGGATCGCGAGCTATGCGGAAACACAAACGTCGCACCGTAAATCGCTGACTTTTAATAATATTGAAAGTCTGGAGAACAGAAATCAACAAGTGATCGGCGCAGCTCGATCGTAAAACGTAGAGCCAATTCAACAGCGTGCAACGCTGTGCAGCACGTGCTATGCCGCGCCCACTAATAAAGCGCAAGCCAATCAGAAGCGAGACACAACACAGACCGTAATCCAAAGGCGTAGCGCCTAGCGCCACGGGCGTGAACGCTAGTGAGGCCTCGTCTCACATGCCTCTGGGGGGATGCCGAGCTCTTGTGAGGCCCAACATACTCCCGAATCCACGAAAAGACGGTCGCCGGTGTCTGTGCGTGCTCGAAAACATCAAATTCTCTTATTCCATTTATCATATCACATCAATTCCATAAGGCACAATTCCATTTTAATACGATATGAATAAAGAGATCCAATTACAAAAATACTATCATAAAAACAGATCAACAGTTATAAGATCAACAAAAGTAATAATCAAATTGTAGACTAGGATCCTCCATTTCTGACTCGTAAAGGTCACAGGTCCTGTCCACCGTTTTCCGCACTTTGGCCCATTCCGCTCTGTTGAGCAATTCCGCGCATCCGTAGTGCGACTTTTCATCACAATCCGCTTGAGAATCAGGTGCGTATCAAGTACGACTTAAGAATACTGCTTCAGTCTTTGGAATAAGGTGCGTATCAATTGTACGACTTCAAATGAGATCCATAAAGGTCATGGAGGGACGTCATGTAGACAAGCGTAGTTCGCTTCCTCCCTAGTAAAGGTCATCCTTTGTTGAGATGATCCGTTGAGATGTGCAACTCGTTTTGGGTTAATGGTCCCAAAGGTCATGCGACTTGAATTCCGATACGGTGACTCTGTTGGGCAATTGATGATCCCAAAGGTCATCCCACTCGTCAAAACTTCCATTAAAGGTCATGGAGGGACTTAGCCAATTTTCTGCGGCTTTCAAGCACTTCTTCGCTTGCCTCCCTGGTAAAATTTGCAGTTTGACCTTTCCGTCGCACATCCAACTTCAGTATGCCTCGAGCGGCCAGAGTGCCGGCAAATTTACCGTAACATCTCTGATGGGGCCGGCTAATTACCGCATTAAGTTTACCCCATGAAATTTCCACCTTAAATCTTTTACTCTTGTTCGCCGCCTGTGGCCCATGTCAATACGAGAAATCCGGCTCGATTACCGTAGTTTTTCTCGTTTCACCTTTAACACTGAGTCGCTTAAGAAGAGTGCCGGCAGAGTTTACCGTAACAACTCTAATGAGGCCGGCTGGTTACCGCATTAAGTTAACCTCATCAATATTCCACCTGTTGTCTTTCTCTTTTTCGCCGCTTGTGGCCCCGTTTCGTATTCAAGAGATCCGGCTTGATTACCGTAGTTTCTCTTGTCACTTTATAACACTGAATCGCGTAAGGAGGAGAGCCGGCTAACTGCCGTAACTACTCCCTTGGGGCCGGCTTTATAGACTGAATCAATTTCAACCCCAATAGATATTCCACATGATTTCTTTCGGCAATTCTGTGCTACAATTGCTGCAACCAACAAATACACAAATACAATTAATGTTAACATGTCAAATGTCACGCCCTTTATACAACACCGTTTTTCATTTTTGTGACGTACCGACAAAATGCCGTAGACGTCCTTTCGATAGTGTGATCCTAACGATCAACACTATTCCATTTCATTTGAATCGCCCTCGCCATCTCTTGGCGGGCGTTTCTTAGCGCTTTCCGGTTGGTTTCGATCGGAAGTTCGGTCAACTGGTTCCGTCGAGTCAACTTCCATGACCTTTGTCGGGTCGACTTTGCGCTGGCCTCGACCTTTACCTTGGCGACTTCGCTTAACCGCCTCAAGTCGATGGCGTGCGTCATTTTCTTCTAGTCGCAGTCTTCGGTTATCGGGGTCTTCCGCCGATCGACGCTGCACGTCGGCGAGATTATCCCGCAGCTGTTGGTTTCGTATGCCGCGTCGTCCCATCTGGTTAGGGGCGCGTTCCGGACGTCGGTCGCTTTTCTTTACCAGGAATTCATCGATGTACGTTTCGATTCCGTCCACCGGTTCGACGTAGTCGCTTCCCAGAGAATCTTTGATCTTATTAATCCTTTCTTCAATTTGGGATGCATGGCGCTGTATCAAGTTGCCCTTTTCCATCCGTGTCTTACACTTCTTCAGCGCCTTGCGAGCCGTATGCGCTATGCTGATGTGTTCCATCGGTTGTCCCAATTTAGCGACATGAGCTCGGAAGAACGGTGGAATGTCGTCCTTCATAGTGTTAGACACCAATTGATTCTGTGTCTTGTAATGTGCCAATCTCGCAGCGAAGACCTTTTGCCCCATCCTTTTTGCGGCATAGTCCTTCGGATCCACCTGTAATCCGATCGACGCTCTCGCAGCTAACAACTTGAAAGCTGGATTCACATATCGTAAAACGAACTGGGCCACGTATTCTTGTCGTTCCGGATAGTCGCGATAATAAAATTGGGTCATCCCAATTGGGTCCGTTGTTTCCAGTGGCACATCCAGTAGGCTCAAATCGACCAAACTGTGTAACCCATTCCGTCTAATAGGGAGATAGCAGTCCCGTGCCGAATCGCGGTGGATGAATAATCGACGAAAAATTCCCTTTTCTACTCCCTCTTTAATTTCTTTTGCGTAGCCCGAGTCAAGTAAGAATTGGCTCAACTGTCTCAGAATTGTGGCAATTTTGTTGGCTTCAACCGAGTCCGATTCAAGTCCAAAGTATCGACAAATTTCGACCGTTTGCTCATCAATATCAGTCGTCTTATATTCCATGTCAATGCTTTCAGGTTGTCGGTTATCAAATCTGGAGTTTAATCGGTGATCACCTTGGCGACGATTATCCGGTTCGCCTTGGCCTTCCAGTTCACGTCGCTCTCCTGACTCAGGCTGCGACGGTTCATTACTCGTCGGTGTAGCCAGTTGAAGGTCACTATCCAAAATCACATTTCGTCGATGGGTCACGTTTTCTTGAGACGCTTCCACAATCGAGCTGGTTCCTTCCATCGCATCGTCCTCTTGTACGACGCTCACAATTGGATCCACGACGTGAACCATTGACTCCACCCGCTGATACTTTGGGGGTGAATCTTCCCGTTCAGTGCTTGATGACCTTTTGCTTGTGCCCGAGTCAAAGGTCGCATAAAATGCGGCTCCCTGTTGCCATCTTTTATCCTGTGGATCGGGTGTTCGATTCCGCGTCTGTTCGCGTCTTTTGTCCCATGACCTTTCAGGTGTTGACATTCTGACATTGCGATTCCGGAATGCAACTCCCATCGGCACCTGATGTCCTTGCTTCTCGGGTTCTGTACGGAATGTTTCCGCACGCCGTTTCTCTTCACGTCCTCTTGTGGCTGCTGAGATCTTTGCCGTGTCGATTTTCCTCTGAACACTCGTTTCTGTTACTTCATCTCCATGGCGCACCCATCCTCTTCCGCCACGGTAATCTCGGTCGCGAGAGTGTTCGCGTGACCTTTCACTGTGGTAGTCACGTGTCCTTTCACGAGAGTGTTCGCGTGACCTTTCGCTCCGTCTTTCAGAAATCCGTTCATGTTCACGTGAATGTCCGCGTGACCTTTCTCTATGCGGAGGCGATCGAGGTCGAATGAAACCTTCGTCCCGTTTAAAACTTCTGAGTGCTTGCAGCACATCGCTTCCGGTTCGGCGAGATTTACGTAGGTCATCCATACGTCTTTCGACTTCCTTCTTTATGTATGGTGCCGGCGCGAACCCGTCTTGCAGTCGTTTCTTCTCCCGCAACAGCATTTTGAATAACTCGTCTGACATAGCAGCTGGATCTTTCGTTAACGTTTCGATTTGTATGATGAGCGACTGTCGTACAAGTTGCATTTCGTCTTCATTAAGACTGGCCATGCCCGTGGGTGCAGCTAAACCCGACGTACTGGGCAATGCTTCCCGTGCGGCCTGTTCATTTGCTCTTTTATTTTCCGCATTAATTTTCGCTCTGATTTCATCCTCCATTTGCTGAACACGCATCTTCTCTTGATCTTCTTCAAACTTCTTTCGATACGCGTCTGTTTGTGGACATTTCAACGGTTCCAAGGTGTCATCCCAACCAGGTTCGTTGTTTCGGATCGCTTCCCGATAACGATCCTCAAATAGCATTCGCTCTTCTACTGGGATGCTGCCGTAATTTCTTGCGCTTATGAGATTTCGAAAAACGTCCAAATTCCCACGTTTGGCTTCCATGATCCCAACAAGCGTGACGGCATGTGGGTCTTCCAGCTTGTGAATACAAGTGTAGCAAGGGAATTTCTTATCAACCTTTTTGTTGTTCCGTAAGCAGTCCGGACATTTTGGATTATAGCCCGTAAACTGATCGATGTCTGCCGCCATTCCCGAACGTTTAGGGGTGGCTTGACCTTTTTGTGCCATCTTTCTCCTTCAATCTGCAATTATAAAACAATCCGTCATATTAACCTCTCCACGTTAATCCTTTCCATTCCTATCCGTTATCAAGGCTTTCTATCATTTTTACGCCTATCCGTTACTGAGCTGAGACTTTCCTAGCTCCTGCTGGCTTTTCTATCACTGTAACGTGGTGACCTTTCTCACGTTATCAGCACTCTCTGACTACTGTGACCTTTTCTATTAGTCCTATTGCTGCTTTCAGGTGACCTTTCCTAACACTTTTCTCTTTCGTTTTGAACTATTTTATGCTTTTTCTGTAATATGCAGGGTTCATTACTCACTGCATATTACACTGTCGACATTCATTCTGCTTCTTTCTCCGGTGGTGGTAACGGTGGAAAATCTATCCGGCCATCGCTGTTGATGTGAACTGCTTCGTCCGCAATCAAAGCTTCCACCGCATTCTTGATCCATTCCTTATCTTTCTCGATGTTCAATTCGCCCAATTCATAACGAACGGCCATGAAATTTGAAAGGTCACCCCATGACGCTCCGTTGGTACCTCCGATGGCGTCCAAAGCCACGTCTGTGATGGCTATCTTCCATGCCTCTAATACCATTGGAAGTCTGGGAGTACGCTCTCGGCCCTGTTTCGGTAGGTAATAAATGACCTTGTTGTCCTTGTTGTATTTACATCCTAGTTTCCCTTCCTTGTATGCTCGTTTCAGAACTCTTTCGGTCATATTGAGTGACGACCTCCCCTTCGAGTTTTCAGCCACTTGTCTCTTCAGTTCGGGGCCAAGTAGTTCGCCTTCTCTGACCATCTGGAGCGTATTTTGGACTTCCTTCCATGTACGGTTGTTTACGTCCAATGCCGGCCCTAACGTGTAATCTGTAGCCTCCTTCGCTGGTGTATCGCTACTTTTCTGGGAGGATGTCGAATCCGTTGGGTCAGCTGTCGCTGTTTCGTCGATCCTCAGCTTTGCCAACGATCCTGATGATGACCCCGCTGATTTTGGTTCGGCTGTCTTCTTCTCCTCTTGCGGCAAAGTCTCTTGACCTTTTAGATCGCCAACCGACTTCGATCGTTCCTTCTCCAAGACCTCCTTTAATGGTATGAACAGTGATTTGTGAAACACCTGTCGCGCCGAATCCGCTTCAGCTTCTGCCGCTGCCTTATCCATCGGGAGCATGACCTTTTCTTTCTCCCGTTTATCTGAAGTCTCGTGACCTTTCGGTTGAACTCCTGCGGTAGATTCCGATGTCTCTTGACCTTTCGACTGTTCGTCTTTTTCTGTCGCAGGTCCAGAAGGAGCCGTTATTGTAGTATCGTCATCACTTCCCGATTCCGAGTCCATTGGTCCTTTTTTTCTCGACACTTTCGGGGCTTGTGATTTCAACCTCGCCGCATCTTCTTCGGCCGTTTTCTGTGCGATCTGATCCAATATCGGAGTTGACGGGTCTCCGCTCAATGGGGCTGTGACCTTTTCCGTATCCTGACTGTCAGACATATGACAGTGGATCTGTCTTTCCGGTGGTATCAAACCAACTCTCGTGTATCGGATTGGATGTCCTTTATTTGCGTTTGTTGTGGCAAGGACATTCTGTTTAATCAACTTTGGCAGTACGCGTTCGGTTGCCGTGTCGATCTCCTTTATCATCCCGTTCCCATCATTCCAAACTGCGTTAATATATTGGCTAATCCGATGGCTTGTTGATCCTAACGGGCTTGTCATTCCTGCGATTGCCCTTTCTACTCGCATTGGGACCGCTTCATTCGGAGTAGTCAGCGTTTTGTCCGAACTGGCAGGTCTGAACAGCTTGGCCTTATACGAAAAGTTTGGGTGCTTTTGGATAAGTTTCCCTGCACTCCGTGCGAATTCCAATACAACGTCGAACTTTCGTTTAGTGAAGCTGCGACTCTGTTTCTTCAGATAAGTCTTCAGGCCCGCTTTAAATTTCGCTGTCACCGATGCTGTTCTTATTCGTGTGAAATTCTTCTCGGCTCCGTTATACGCGTTGATGATTTCATCGACCGTGGTCAAATTGTCGTCGTCTGAACCATCGAACTCTTCATCTGAGGTGAAATCCAGTTCACTCTCTCCATCTGGTTCAGTGTAATTGATCATTGCCATTGCGTCGACTTTTATGGCTGTCTTGACCTTTCCTTTTGTCTTAACGGGTTCGCTCTTTGCTTTTTGCCCTTTATCCAGTGCGTCCGCTAAGCTCCTTGGTTCAGTGGTTCTTGATCGTGTCGTTTTCGAATCCGCATGTGACCTTGCACTGACCGTCGAGGTGCTTGCAAGGCTCACTTCCGATGCCTCCGATTCACGCGACGTCTCCCGTTTCGCTTTTTCGCGGATCTGTTTGTCCTTGCGCTCTTTTGGCGTGGATGCAGAGATGACGATGGGGACAACTTGTTTCACTGCTATGACCTTTCCTTTGGGTTTTGATGGCTCTGCTGTAGCCGATTGGATAACTTTCTTTGACTTCGTAGGTGTCGATGACCTTTCTTCAACTTCGCCAACTGACTCGTCCAATATCTCAACGTCATGAGACGCTGGTTCGTCTCTTTTCTTTGATCCTTCCCTTTTCTTCTTCCCGGTGCTTGTGCTATCGCTTTCATCACCGCTCTTTTTCTTCTTATCTTCTTCCTCCTGTCGTTTCTTCTTCTCTTCTTCCTCCCGTCGTTTCTTGAGGAAATCGCCTTTCTTAACCTTGTCACGGTTCATGGCCACTTCTAATCTGGGCGCTTTCCTCGGTTTGACTTTTGAGGGCTTCACTTTTGAGGGCTTTTTATGCTTGTCGGCCGTTTCTTCGTCTGAGCCTTCTTCCTCAGGTGGGTTATTGTCTTCCGACTCTGGTTCGTCGTCACCAGGTGGATTACAATGGGCACAGTTTGGTTCATCACACTGAAGGTGCTCATGACTTCCTTGGGCAATCTCGAGTACTCTTTGTAGCGAGCGTCTGGCCCCTCCTGTTTCAGTTACATTTGCCGACGTGCCCTGCGCCTCTTCCGTCTCTCCGGCTCCGCCTTCTTGTGCCGGGGGATGAATTTCCAAGTGTCTTGTCTCTTTCGGAGATCCCTGTGAGGCGACCTCCCACAAAGGGTTCTTCTTAGCGTCGTAAAATACCGTTTTGTACGTTCCGTCTTCCATTCGTCTTGTGAGTCGGAAATGTGCTCCATCGATCTCCGCTCGATGCCGCATCATGCTAATGAGTGTGCTTGCTTGCTTGAACCACGGCATCTTTTCGGTCGCTTTCAGGTATCAAATCCCATAACTGGTCGATGGCTGCCTGATTCGCATTTCGGGCGCTCTCTTCTGATACATCCCATGGGGCATATGGAATCGGGTCTCCTGTTATTGGGTCGACTATTACTGCAGTTATGGTTTCCACCGCTTCTCCATTACTAGCGAAAAGTCTGAGGGTGACCTTTCTGCTTGTCGCCTCTGTATATCTCTGGACCGACTCATAATCATCTGACGATCGTTTCTTCGGATCTGGATCCGCCGTCGGTTTTGAACGAGTTCTTTCTTTGGTCAACAATTTGCCGTCCGTTGTGTATGTATATGCCAAGTGGTCATCATTTGTGCCCACTTTGATACGGATCCATGCATCTTCGTCAGTCGCAACTTTAGATACCACGTGCTTCATCATCTGAATGATAACTCTTGGGTTATGATGTTCTTCTGGGGGAATAAACTGTAGCGCCTCGTTAACTACCGTTTTTGACTCTTCCCCAATGGCATCCTTAACTGACCTATCCGCGAGGGGATTATACGAGTCGATCTCTTTATTTGTTTTCTTGTCAACTATTCGTGCGGTGACCTTTCGTTCTTTATGGTCTTCCCCAGTGTATTTGGCAGTGAAACTTCTACACTTCGGGAATCGAATCTGACCTTCTGTTCCAACTGGTGTGGGTGGCGCACTCTTTCTACCCACTGGGACTGGGCCTTGTGGCTTTGCCGGCTCAGCTGGTGTTGCTTTACCTGACGTGGCCTTCTTCGTTCGCTGCCCTTTCTTGTCAGTTTCTTTTGGGCTTATCGTTGGTGACCTTGCTCTTTTTCCACTCTTCGTGGCTCCGCTAGATGGTTCTGTAACCGAACTAGTGCGTCCACGTATTGATCCTGCGGTCGAGCTGGCCCGTGACCTTTCTGCTCGTTCAGTTAACTCGGCATCAATCTTTCTCTTTGTTGCCAACAGGTCCTCGTCCGTCATTTCATCGACCGGGGCGTCCCTTTCAGCTATTGGTTTGGATGGTCCCGCGACGCTGGTAGTCGGCGTCTGTCTTGTTTCTGGGAACACCTTGAGATATCGAAGGATCTTTTCGACAGTCTCCGGCCACCTTCTACCTTTTATTGTCGGGTGATATTGCCACATCGATGCAACTTGGATTGCGTATTCCTTACGCTTTGCTTCAACCTGCTTCGTCTTATCTTTCATGGCAATGTGGCATGGTTTGATAACAGCTTCCAAGCTGATTAACTTTCCATACCATGCGTGTTCGTCTTCAACTCGCATGTGGATTCTGTAAAGGTCACGGCATTTCCGATTGAAGTCGCGAATGGCTTCTAAATCGGTTTCCGTCAGTTTTTCCTTTTTATCCACGATTAAATTCAGGTTTGGGTCATCGTCCCTCAAGTCCAAAGGGAGCTTCGGTGCGTATTCGTGTAATGAGGGTTCGCCTGGGGGCGTAAGCCGTAAGCCATCTGGTCCAGTCTGCTCCAAGTTGGGACCCAGTGACGGTAGAATGCCTCTCGGTCGCCTTCCTCCTCTGTGTGGCGAATTACGATGAGGGCGCTGCGCTCCAAGTTGCTGCGGTGTTCTCATGCGAGGCGCTCCGATGTCCGACAGTGACAAGCCTCCCGTCTCCGGAAAAGGCGGTAATATCGGAGATGACCTTTGTGATCGCGCTGGAGTTACCATCATTCCGCCGAATCCTCCCTGTCCCGTAAATCGGCTCGGTGTAGTCTGTTGTGGTGGCGGCATTAGCATTCTTGCCGGTCCCATTATCACCTGCGATGATCCCGGTGGG